CTGCAAAAAGATCCCCAGGTAGCACTTGTGTGATCATCTTATTGTTATGAGGTGCCATCAAGCCTCCTCCGATTTATGGCAAGCCTACAAATGAGTGCCCTCCAGGCGTCCTTAGACATTCCCATCCTTGGTTTAGATGGGGCAAGGCTTATGGCTACCGGCATTCCCCAGCCAGCATGGCAATGCACATTTGTGATCACACCGCAGCCATCACATGCAGTAATGAAACAAGTGCCAAACCCAAGGAATAGCCCCATTCAAGTGGCACGATTCTCTCTCCGAGTCCCTTGTATCTTTCTAACAGAGATGTGGCCTATTTGATCTTAAATGCAAATGCAGAATGCAAATGCCTGTGGCATTAACATTTTCTTACATCTTTCTCTCAGAAACAAAGCATAATGATCCGACTTTGTTTCTTCTGCGTCTCCAGGGCCCAGGGCACTCCATTGACATTTGGTTTTCTTGTATCATTGTGATGTGCCATCAAGTCATCTCCAATTTATGGTCACCCTATGAAGGAGTCCAAAATATCTTGTCCTTGGTAGGCCTGCTCAGCTCTTGAAAATTTCAGGCTGTGGCTTCTTTTATGGACCCAATCCACCTTATAGTTGGTCTTTCTCTTCTTTGTTACTGTTCATACTGATTCAGAATGGAACTTAACACAATATGGTTTAGGGTTGTTGGTGGTGGTGTTGACCTTAAACCTGAGCCATTTCATCATCCTTGTATTCTACTGCAAGGAAATTGATTGTTCTGGAGAACTGCCTGGCAACAGTGACACATGCACTGGTTACCTCCTGTTTGGACTACTGTAATGTGCTCTACGTGGGGTTGCCCTTGAAGACAGTCCGGATACTTCAGATGGTGCAAAATAGAGCTGCCAGGATGCTGTTGGGGACTGGTCATTATTCTCATATAACTCCAGTCCTCTATCAGCTCCATTGGCTTCCCATCGAAGTCCGGGCTCAATTCAAGGTGCTGGTTATTACCTATAAAGCCCTAAACAGCTTGGAACCAGAATACCTAAAGGAACGCCTTTTTCCCTACATGCCCACCCACCCTCTAAGATCGGCAGCAGAGGCCCTCCTCCGAGAACCATCTTTGAAAGAGGTCAGGAGACAGAGTACTCAGAGGAGGGCCTTCTCTGTGGTGGCGCCCTGACTATGGAATGCGCTCCGCCTGGTGCCATCATTATATGTCTTTTGGTGCCAGGTCAAGGCCTTTTTATTTGGCCAATATTTTAACATATAGTAATTTAATTTATTTTAAATGATGCTCAGTGTGGAATAGTTAATTTATCTTATTTTATTGTAGTCTGAAATAATGTTGTAAGCCGTCCAGAGACAACAGTAATGGACGGCATACAAATTTTTAAATAAATGAATAAATAAAATTGTTCTGTAGTGCTCTAACCTGCCTTCCACCTGTGTGCATGTGAAGCAGGGAGTGGGGGGATGCATCTGTTTTAATTTGAGATTTTCATTAAAATGTTTTTGGGGGTCTTTTGGGCCCTAATAAAATTGAGCAAGAGAAAACAAAACATTGCATATCAAAGCAACTTATGTTTCATCTCCACATGGTGAAAACAAACCTTTACTAACACAATGACTACTTTGTATGGAGTCAGTTGCTAAGAAAAGGAGGCTTAGCCATTCACTATTTGTGAATGTTTCTCTCCAAGTGACTTGGAATTGCAAGAAAAGTAGTTAAACAATGTATTGGGAAGAAATGTACAGATTCACAGAAGAAATCCCTATATATTTATATCGTTGGCACAAAAAAATCTAATATTTTACGCAAACTGGTATTTTTTCCATTAAATTGGAATCATTGACAGTATTTCTCACTGAAATTTTAAAAATTATGACTGAATTGGAGGGAACGATTTGACCCAACATCTGATTAGTAAAGATTATCAAGCAGAGGATGGTTAAACTTAGACAAGAAAATAAAAAGGTTTATCAACACATGTACTTTGAAATGTGCAGTTCTTTAATTTTGTAGAAACAGCAATGGCTACCAATATTAAATTACTTAGAAAGATAATATCCATAGCAGCAAACTTAGTTATAACACATTGTTCCAACCTGTTACCAAATTCTTAAAGAAAACTTACAGGAAACAGCCAGGGAAGAGAGAGGAATAAATAACAGATTAAATGAACAAATAATGGAATTTAATGTTGAGAAAGTGACAAGGAATGTGGGAATTATGATTAAGAGGAGCCAGAGGCCTGAGAAAAGTGGAACCAAAGATGACAGTAACACAAATTTTTCAGAAAAGAAAAGTAGATTCATTCTCACAGCCATAAATTCTCACAGAAGGAATCTCCAACACCCCACCAGATTTGTGGTTTTCTTTTTTTTAAAAAAAAAACTGGTTAAGTAAAATACAGACAGCTCTAAACCAAAATAGCTCCACGGCAGACCAGTTTCCCACCTGAATTCTGCATCCACATTTGTGTGATTTACAGGTGGAAAGGGAAGTGCCCCCCTTACAGATCCAGAAGTATCCTGGCTTCTGCATTGGGACTTCATGTCTAGAGAGAAGAAGCAAGTTACAAAAAGCCATGTTGCCTACATGCGACCCACGTAGACAACACACCTGACAAGTATTATGGACTCCCAGTTACTTGGCTCCTCCAGCTTTTTGCAGTCCCAGGAAAGAAGACTTTGTCGAGAACCTGGAGGTCCACCAGGCATGGGTGCCTCGTTGTGTTCGGCTTGGTAGATCACATGCTCAGCAGGCCTGATGTGGACCCATAATGTCCATCCAGTCACAGGAGCAGCTGGCACAGCCCTGGCATGTCCAGACCACAAACAGGCTGTGGAAACTCTAGAAGAAAGACTTGCTCAACTCCCCCAGCACAAAGCAGGCAGGCCAGTGCAATCTGCAGCATCTCAGATTTTTGCAATAACTAAATCCATCCGTGAGCCTCTTCAAATGTGCTCCATTTGTAAGAAAAGACATTTGCGTTCGACTTTGTGTTACCAACTTTTTTCACAACTGCTTTGTTTTTGCAAATGACATTCTTCAATGCCAGTCACTAACAATGGATCAACTAAATCAATCATTCTGAAACATGTTTCAAACATTTGTTTTTAATCATGTAAATAATTAACTTTAGATCAGGTAACAAATGCAATTAAACATCATTTGTACATAATTATATATGGAGAATGGTAGATTGTGCATAATAAACCTTCCTACAGATTGGTGATTGCATTTGCATTTATATAAAGAGCAGTTCCTTGTCCAAGTGGGGGGAGGTCTAACCCTTGTTGTTCTTTGTACATGCAAATGGCTTTCCCACTAGCAAATCCATTTATCTACGATTGACAAATCTTTCTGGGCTGAGAAAAAAAAATCTATTAACCTCCACATAATCCATTATGATGATAAATGCTCCAGGCGGCATCTTCTTCAGTTCCCTTCCTTATTCAGAATTTCTGTTGGCAGGAAATGTCCAGGTCAAGCCAGGCAGGAATTTCTTTCTGAGTCTGGTGAATCCAAATAAGCTGCACCTCATCAAGTTGCTCTTCCTAAAATTTCAGCTATCGCCCCAAGCTTAATAGCTGGGTTTTTAAAAGCAGAGTGCAGAGGTCCCCAGTATCTGATTCTGCAATGATATGGTAGCATCTCAGGAGAACATGTATAGGCATTGTTTTGGTTGTTGCCTGCTATTTACTTTTGCGTGTGTGTGTTTAAGCAGCCAAAGGTAGGCTAGATGCTATTTTTAATATAACCCATTAGTATTTGGGATTTGGACTTTTCATTCATTGCGTTTGTGTCAGGTTGCTTTTAAACACAGTCAAGATCTCTATCCAGGAACTTACAGTTGAGAAATAGGACTTGACATGAAGTGTGACAGAGCAAAATTGGCTGGTGTGATCTACATTTCTCTTCAGTTGACTCCAAATGTGAAATGCTAACTATATTCATCAGAAAAGTTTGAAAATCGACTCTATTACTGAAGGAGAAAGAAGATACTGACTTCTATCAAACTTGGGACCTTTTTTATGATTGGCTGGAGAAATGGGATTTGGCTTAGATTTAAAGATGTCTTTAAATTTTTATAAATCAATTTGAATATGATTATTGAATGTTAAAAAAGATATGTTATAGGGGGCTGATCCAGTACATTCGATGTAATTGATGATTGTTTTTTTAGTTTTTAGTTGAAAAATTTAATAAAAAACGTGCAAAAAAAGAGAAAAGTTTGAAAATCAAAGAAGGATAGGCTAGGAATGATAACATGGGAAGAGATGAAAATAAGACAATGCAGAAAGGAATTACGACGAGCTTCTCCCCCTGTTGATACCTCGATTAATTCTGGCACAACATTCCTATACTTTTCCTTGGAATCACTTTCACCAAATTTCTGTCAGGCTTTGCTGGTGCAATCCAGAACATGTCTGTGCATACTTAACTCCCATTAATTTCAAAAGGACCTTGGCTCAAGAAGTTCTACTGGGATTGCCGCTGGTTAATTTCCAATATTCTAAGGAGGCAGCAAAAGCCTGTGTCCTTCGAAGAAATACTGCAAGCCAGCCATGATACCAGTGCCAATTTGTGTGGATTTCTTTCCACAGGATACAGAAGGGAGCCTTCCTTATTTTTGCTTGTTTATTTTTTGCTGCCTAGAAATTGGCAAATATTTGTCACACTAGGACGTCACAGGGACAAATAATGCATTCCTGTCTGTTCTAAGTCACTCAGCATGATGTTTAAAATTGCAATTCAGTGACAATTGAAATCGCCAAGAGATGACTGTATTCTTTCCACTTTCTAGTATGTGAAAATTCAGCTTTTCCATATTGCTAGCCCGGGAATCTTCATGGGCAAGTTAAGGTACATTCTTTTCTCTCTTTTAAAGAGCACGGTGACCAGTTGCTTAACTGGTTCCTTGCGATGCTGGCTTTCAAGAAGAAGAATAGAAAGAAAAGGACAGCTCTAAAATCTTGCAGGGGCATCACACTGAAAAAGGCATCCTCTTGGCATTACTTGACATCACACAGCAGTGCGACTCCACGCAGTATCCAATGCTCAGGAGGTTGTGTGGAACGCAGCTCCACTGCAGCTATGTAATTCAAATCCGTTCGCACTGGTTTTTTGTAGATTGGACATGAGTAGAGACGCGGATCCCTTGAGGCTGAGGAGGTAAAAAAAAAGAACATGCATCGTGGTTGTAAGGATAAGCACAAACCGAGCAGCTTATTCAAGGGCATGGGCTGAGGTGTCCTAAGGAGTCCATCAGGCCAGTCCATGCTATTGGCACTGTGCTAGAAGGTTCCTCATCGCACACCCTGGAAGAGCTGGAGCATTGCATGTTGAGTGTAGAACATCACACCCTACCCAAGTCTAGCGCCAATCAGTCTTGGGCATATCATGTTCTGAGAAGAATTATCATGATAAAATGAGCTACATGAAGCCTGCGCCCAGCTTTTAAGACAGAAGCAGGGGGAAAGCCTTCTGAATGTATTTTCATACAAGGATTGGGCTACAATCCTATATCCACCTACCTGGAGTTAGTCCCATGGATTTCATGGAGCTTACTTCTGAATCCGCATTGGAAGCCCTCAATCCTACACCCATTTATGTCAACAGTGACTTTTTAAATCTTTAGGCATCTTAGTTCTCTGAATTATTGTAAACAAATCAGATTTTCAGATGTTACAGAAAAAATACACAATGGAAGACTGCAGCACTGGCACAGATCACTTTCAATGGCAGTAGAATCTTCTTGATAACTGCATAGTAAAACTACCTTTCTGTTTCCAGAGGCACTGTGGGGTATAAGAGCCAATAAAAGGAAGACCCATAAAAGGGAGGGCCATAGCAAACCCCAGACTGGAGTTAATTTTTTTTCTGTCAGTTAGAAGTGTGCCCACCACACCAGCTAAATAGTATCTAGACTGAGTCCATGTAGTGCTGGGCATACTGCATTTCAGCCAGTTCACCCATCCCTAACTTCACATGGCCACATTGCTGGTCTACAACTACAATTTCCAACCCCATAGACACTATGAAAGGTAGAAACATGGCCAGCAGCATTTTATGAGAGCATATGAAATCCAAGGAGTTAAAAACATGTGTCAACTGGTCAACAACGGCCAGAATACAAAAATACCTTTGTCTTTAGCATCTATTTGGATGCTCCTCACTCCTATCAGAAAAAGGGGAAATGCTGCCTAGGGAACATGTTTGCAGCAGGGCAATACCCAAACTTGCTCCTGACAATGGATGGGACATTCCCTACCAAAAGGCCCCCCACAAAGGCCCCTCACTGGATGGACCCACTCCCCCAACTGGGGGCATATGGGCTAGCCGTCTTGCTTGCTTCTAATTACAAGCTGCAATGTACAAATCTCTCAATTAAGCAAACAGCCTTGACCACAGAACTTGACTGTGTCAAATAAAATGACAGCAAGAGATTGGGCCACAAGGATGTGCCCTTCAAACCTCTTCTATTCATTTCACATGGAATTTTATGCCTTTCACAAACCAACTGTTTTCAGGCAACCAGCAGAAGATTTCTGCAAAGTAGAACAGGCCAGGCTTCGGGTGCCCATCGCTCCAGCCCACAATCCATTCTGACAGCTGCTTCCCTCCTTTGTGGACCCCAGAGGTGCTTCTCCTCCCTTCTAAAGTTGCTCTTTCAATCTTTTGACTTGTTTGCTCAAGCAGAGCCAAGCTCAGTACATGTAGCTGTCAACACCAGCGCCAGAATGCAGCTTGTAGCCTCCCCAGCACTTGCTAAAAACTTCGTATTCTCACAACAGTGAAAATTTGGTTTTAAGTTTTAAAAAGTCCTTCCAAGAAACTAAGCAGAAAACAAAACAAAGCAATCCATCTCTTTTCTGATGTGCTGATTTTCTGTTGTTGCTTTAACAAATGTTTTAATCATTGCGTCTTATCACTGAGTCTCATTACAACAGATTCAGCCTACCATAAATGGATTTATAAATTCCTATTTATTAGCCACTTCCAGTTTATTGGCTAATACACTTTGAGTGGTGGTCAGCATCTGAAATCAGGCAAAAAAGAGAAACCTTCTGGAACCAAGCATCACTTGGCTGCCTTTTTCCAACCCTAAGTGCATGAACTGCCAACCATTATTCTTTTGCTAACACCAAAACACTGCATCTGTCAACTGCTTTTCATTTCAGTCTTGAGAAAGGAAATGAAGAACATATTCACATGATTGTAGAAAAGTCCAGAACGGCATAGTAACGTGGGCTGCAATCTTACACCCAGTTACATATTGGTTAAACCTGTGGATTTTCTGTGCCTAAGCATACCCAAGGTTGTTGCAATCCATGTGCCCCATTGTTCTAATTCACACACACCTCAACTAACATTGTTCGTTGCCATATGCACTGATTTAAAATGGTGGCATGAAAAGCACATTCGTTACCTCTTCTACTGCTGACGGGTGACTGTCCTTTGGTACCAATGTCCACAGTCATCACTGAGCTTTGCAAACCACAATAACCATTTTTGTTCCTGTCTTGTAGCAAAATCCTCTTTGCCTCTTGACAGGATGAAATGACCAGGTTACTTCAGCATGTGAGAGAGAATACACCCAGTAGGTAGCTTGGCCATATGCATGAGTTCCACGCTCATGCTAGAACAGAGTTTCTATTCTCTATTAGTGATCACAGGTATAGAACCAGACAATAGTCATTATTACAGTTAACCCATCAGGTACGAAAGATCATAATTTTACAACCCAGGCCTGAAACACAAACTGGTTCTGCACAAGAGGTCTCCTGGAAGAGAAATCTGAAGTGTGTATGACTTGGCATCCTTTCTCTGTGCACACAGGAGTCTCCTCATCCTTTCCCCCAGTATCAGACGCTTTCCCATCTTCCTTTTTATTGTAGTTGTGCCTTGTTATCACAGCCAACAAATATTCGAGGGAGGACGGGCATTCCTGAAGACACTGGCAAGAATGGCTAACCTAGACCATGGTCCTTGGGGGTTCTCTGACAGTACCTTCAGTCAATTTGGATCACTTACAGAATGCTGCCAAGGGTCTCAGGGGCAGCAGCTGTATTGTTCACCATTCTCTAAGCTTTCTTGGAACTTCAGTAGATCATTCGTGGCCATGATCATGAAGCATCCGTGCTAACAGAGCTGCTGCCTGGGATATGCTGGGGGATAAATGGTGCACGCCATTCATGTGTGCCTGAAGCATCAAGGAACATTTTAACATTCCGGCTTCCGAACAGATCTCCACCACTGGGGAGGCATTTCAATGAGCTGTATGCAGAGCAGCAGCATTCAACTGGCCCTTGGGACCACCGTCAGCAATCAATTTCATTTGGTTGGCAGCTCAGTCGCATCGTGAAATTTGGCTGCAACAAACCTATGGGCACACGCTGCGGCAAGAACTGCAGTAGAGCCATAAAAAGGGGAAAGCACTTCCAAACAGCCACAAATATGCCATCACCACGGCCAATTTAATACTTACCATTGTTTTCTGCATATATCCTTATCACAGGCATGGGCTCAAACAGCACCTTTGGTTTCGATTCCATGAGCTTCATGTTCCTTTTGTCCCACCCAGCACCTTCTAGGTAGAGCCCGTATACATAGACGCCTTCCGAAGGAGGAGATGTGATGTCATCCTTCATCCACTTGGTGACCTCATTACACAGAACTACACTGTCAAGGGCCCAGCCCTTGTTTGCTCGAGTAATTTCCTGTTCAAAGTAACACACTGTGAGAACCTGTAAGACTATGCTGCATAGACTTAACCTTTCTAGACTAAGATCCAGTTATTACATAACTTCGGAATACTCTGACAAACCATCAGGAATGGCCATGTGCAGTCCTGTGGACTGTGGCTCAGGCAGACCTCCCCCTTCCCCAAGGGCTTAACAAGCTAAGTAAATGCAATCATCCATTTCATTATTCCAGAATCCAGCAACACTGCATGTTCAGTCTCTTCTAGAAAGCCCACCTGCTGCCAGTTAGCATCACCTAACCAGAAAGATAGGACCACTTTAGGTTATTCTTTCCCAGAAGAATTAACAGAGTCAGAAAATATTTATTTTATTGCGGTGTCAATAAAATTCCCCATTTGCTTGCAAAAATCCTTGTCCTAAGTCAATGCCAAAGTCTCCTGCTGCCAGAAGGCCTCTTTCCGGCTTTCCTGAACAATAGTTAATTCTTCCCGGAATTTCACAAAGGTAGGTTTCCAGTGTCGTTCTGCTTCTGCAACAGATGCCTGAAACACCAACCATTTTAAAGAAATAACATTTGCAGGCCTAGCGCTCTGCTAACCCTCTGCCTGTTCCATCGGATAAGAGAAGACCTGAGTGCATTCTGTTTCAAGCAGATGCTCTCAGAGGATGATTTCCCAAGCCTCCCACCAGGAACCAAATGCTATCAGGAGCATGGCCATCAGGGGAATGGCTACCCCACTTAAGACCAGCCAGCTTTTAGTGGGCTCTCGGGGAGGAGGGGCACAGACACCCGCATCTGATTCAGGTTGCCTACCCCTGCTCGAGACAGAAATATTCCACAGCCTGTGCCCAGCTACAAAAAAAGGGAGCCAAAGTAGGGCTTGAATTGTGTAGGACCCTCATTGCATCAGCATGGCAAAACATCTCAAATCTCTTTGCATGAGGACAAATATTATCTCCTCTATCATTTGTTTCAGACAGTAAGCAAGCAAGAAATACATTAAATTAAATTAACACAGAGTACATTTTAAAGGCATTATTTAACCTGTCTCATTGCTGTTAAAAATCCTTGAGGGTTGAAGAACCCTGTCATCCAAAAGCAGTTTGGTCGCCCTTCAAAAATCCAACAGTAAAATTGCCGGTTCCTTTCGAGAAGCTCGGTAAACCAAAATCCAAGAGTGCTGGAAGCCCAGGATGCCTAGACACAGAGGAACGTCTTATAATTTAATTAACCCAATACACTTATCTTGCAATACCTCCAAGATCAGTGTCGACTCATCAGGGCCTAGTTCTTCCTGAGGTGGTAAAGTCCAGCCTGCCCACACTGTGACTTGCTCCTCCACGCAGAAAGCAAGATGTCAGGGAGGCAACTACCCTAGAATCCTTCTCCTAAGATGGAGGCATATTCTAACATGGAAAGATGTTGGCTGAAGCACTGCTGCCCAGGTTTACCACCTTCGTCAGAACCAAGCCCTCATTACCACGAGAAAAGATCATTGACGAATTTAGAAGATCATGTGATAAGCACAACTGTTGTTTAAACCTAACAGATTCTAATGTACTAAATTTGTCCATTAAGGAACAAGGTAGGAAAATAACTGCATCATACACATTTCCCATGCAATCAAGAAACTTCAAATGGTAGGAAATGACTAGATAGAGAGTGTTAGATAGAGCAACCATGCCTTTCAGGTTCTATAAAGCATTGGCTTTCAAATAAAAGGGATCTATTTCCAACACCTGTGTGTTTGTGTGTGCACACACGAACGCAAATCACAAACTGGTGTCAGCTGAAATGAAAGTGCGAGAAAATGGAGGCCAGAGACTGGGAAGGGTTTTAACCCTTCCTTCCCAGTGTGCATTGGTCCCAGTCTAAATTGAGACTGCAATTACTCGGAAGGAAGGAAGGAAGGAAGGAAGGAAGGAAGGAAGGAAGGAAGGAAGGAAGGGATGCAACTAATATTAAGTGCAATGTGGACCCCACACTATCATGTTTCCTCCAGTGAAAGAAGCGGTGCCCACCTTCCTCCAGCGTTCGGGAATCCTTGCATCATACATGCAGTCCAAGGCATCTCTCAGGCTCTCACTCATTATGATGGTTCCATCAATGGCAAGTTTTAGATCTGTCAGAGTGTTTTGCACCAGAGCGAGAATCCTCTGCATTCTGTCAATCTCCTGCCGCAGGAAGATGTTCATAGGCTGGAATGGCCCCATATGCTGAAGCCTTTCCTTTACCTAACATGAGAACAGAGGGTATATGACTAGAAAGAGCTATAAACGGTAAGAAGAAGCTAGCAGCTGACTTTTTTGAAAGCATATCTAGGAGGAAAGAAGCAAAGAGAGCAGCACTTTTCAAGGAAAAATGACAGGCAAAGCTGAAAGCTGTTGTTTCCCTAAAGAATGAGAGTGTGTGAGAGAGGTTTACATGAAGATCTCAGACACTGGCTGGCACATTCAATTTCTCCCCCCCCCCCTCTCTCTCTCTCTCTCTCTCTGTGTGTGTGTGTGTGTGTGTGTGTGAGAGAGAGAGAGAGAGAGAGAGAGAGAGAGAGAGAGAGAGAGAGAGGAGAGAGAGGGATGAATACAAATATAATTGGTGTTATCACCTGTAGAGAATTGACCTTTCCCATATAACCATAATTCTGTAGGAGATCCCTGAAGACACACGGAGAAGCATTTTGCTATGAGGATATAAACAACAGCTTCATAATTCAGAGTAAAAACATAGATATGAAGTCATGCCAAAAGATGTAGGAAACAGACATATATCCTTCATTACCTGTGAATTTCAACTTCACAAGGGATACCCTTTTGTCCTGTGCCTTGTACTGCAGTTTGGGAGACCTTACTGAGACTCTTTTTCTCAGGTATTGTTTTTATATATACTTCATCCAAATAACTTTTCCATCTGTTTTATACTCATTATGTTATTCCAATTTAAGTGTGTATGAATCAAAACAAAAACAAAACACTAGCACTTTAAGGCTGGGTGAGCACCAATGCCACATTCTCCCTTCCCCCAGGCTGAACCTGACTTCCAGCTCATTTCTTGGTACCAGAGGTCAATGCATATAGACAGCATTAAGCAAGGCTTTGTGCCAGTGGGGGAACTCCATTTCCAATTGTCTTCTACCACAAGCAGCATTCCTTTACCTCAAATGGTACATAGTTTGCAGGCAGTTTCTCCAGCATGTCATCTGCCAGCCGAGCAACCACGGCTTCTCTGGTCTCTCCTCCTCCACTGGAACTGTCTTTAGGCTGAATGCTGAGAATCGTGTCCAGGACATCTTTGGCAAGCTTGCTTTGATAAGTAATGTCTGCATTGGGGTGCAGCCCAAAGACTTCTGGAGTATCATAAGTAGGCAAGCCCTACACAGGGAAACATTAAGAACATAAAGAAGACCTACATCATACTAAGAAACACAAGCACTGGTGGTTCTTATGAACAGTTCTAAAAGAAGAGTAGCAATCAGTCAGGTTTGCAATGTTAAACAGAATTTGGATTTTTGGAAAAGAAGCAAGAAGGATTATGGAATTGTTGTAGATCAAAAGCTGAATATGAGTCGACCATCTGATATGGCTGCAAATACAAAAAAGCAAAGGCTATTTGGGGCTGCATTAATAGAAGTATTACTTCCAAATAATATGAAATTCTGAAGGTAAAGGTAAAGGTGGTAAAGTTTCTCCATGACGTTAAGTCTAGTCGTGTCTGACTGTAGAGGATGGTGCTCATCGCTGTTTCTTAGCAGAGGGAGTTTGTCTACAGAAATTTGTCTACAGACAGTTCCGTGGTCATGTGGCTGGCATGACTAAACACTGAGGCACGCAGAATGCTGTTACCTTCCCACCAAAGTGGTACCTATTTATCTACTCGCATTTGCATGCTTTCAAACTGCTAGGTAGTCTGACGCCCAGCTCCAGCCAGCTCCACTCACGACATGCCCACCATGTGCATGTCACGCCTATCCTTGAACACCCTCGTCGATGGGGCGTCAACCACCTCCCGTGGAAGCCCATTCCACACCCTCAGGGTCCTAAGAGTTGCCTTGACTTTCCATGAAAGGAAGGACTCTGTTCATGGAAGGTCCCTCGGCCCAATTTGGGAGTATCCTCCTTCACACCACAGCTCCCGTCAGCAGGGTCAGCCATCTGTCTGCTTTCAGGGGTCCTGAAAGGCTGTCCTGGAAAAATGGAGGGACAGAAAGGTCCATTGTCATCTGCATGGCTGATCCTGTATAATATCTGGATCCAGCCCAACGTTTATATACTCCCTTCAAGACATCAAAGTGCTTTACATGCATTATCTATCCATAATCCTTGCAAGGAAAGTCAGATAAAATGGGGGCTGAAGCTGAGAGTATCTGACTGAGACCACATGGCAAGATTCGAATCAGGGACTTTCTCTACTACACTACCCTGCTTTCCAAAGATGAAAGGCAGTAATGGGAGACTACCAATACTGTCCAGGTTGCAGTTTGCCCACTAGCAGGAATTATATAACTGAGCATCTAATCCTTTGTACCTGAGAGATCACCAGATACATCCTCAGGAACCCTTCAGGAAGCACCATTAGACTAGAAGTAAACCAGTAGGCTGCCCTTGGGCTGGAAGGAAGTTTGTGTTTGATCAGGTCTTCCATTTCCCTTTTGATGGTTTTGTTAACTACACAAACCTGAATGTAGTGAAGGTACTGATCCACCACTGTGCACTTGGGTATGCTGTAGCCTTTGTAGAAGGAGAAGTCTTGGCTGAACATGTTTTCACTGAACCACACCTTAGCAAAGGTGTTAAGCAGCCTCTTGTCATAGTCGTCCGTAACTCTCCCACCATATTGAATTTCTCCTATCATGTAACGAACGGTATTCCATGACACACCCTGAAACAAGATTCATGCAGTACTGTGTTAAGAATTCTTTCTCATAGATGAAGAAATGGGAAATCTAAGAATTCCAAGAATTCCAAGAGATCTATACCCCACCTCTTGGCCTACTGTGAGCTAATTTCATTATGTTATAATTATCACATTGCATTTACATCCTACTTTTCTTCCTCTTGCAAGGGACCCAAGGTGTTTTTCAAGTTCCTCCTTCCAGTGAGGTAGGTTGGGCTGAGTGTCTGTGACTGGCCAAAGTCACCCAGAGGGCTCCATGGCTGAGCGGGGACTCGAACCCAGATCTCCTGAGTACTCTTAACCACCGTACCACACTGGCCATATATGGCTGAATTTCCTCACCATTTCCCTCACCCATCCCTCAGCTCTCACCTACTAGCCTCCTTTCTTCCCTATTTATTCATCCAGTGAACATCGAAAAAGTTGGAGAATATGGCAGAGGTGGTAGGTATCATGAAACAGTTGAAGCTTCCCACCCCATCCCTTTACTCCAACCCACCTAAGTGCATGTGCCTTTAGCTTAAAAGGTCAATTGACTTCCAAGCAGTACAACAGAAAGAAGATAATTTTATATATTTATTCCATTTATATAGCACTGCAATAGCTGAAGTTCTCTGGGCAACTCACAAGAATTCAGTCAACAAACTCAGATACTTATTTCCAGCAAAGTAGTGTCAAGCACCTTTTTGATGTCCATGTCATCCAAATGATTCTGAACAAACTGTACTGTGGCATTGAAATCAGCTTGATTGAATTCATAAGGAATGTTCCATCCCAGAGGTCCAAATTTTCTCCTTTCCTGGACTGTGGAATGGAGGAAAGCTACAGCATATAGCATTGGCTTCCACTGTACCATGTTGCTGATATCCAAGAGATCTTGACTCACACCTGTTTCCAAGACATGGTTTGATAAGCATCATAAACAAGAAGCTTTAGATGTCTGGTGGATCCTCCATAAAGAGTCCTATAGGGAAGGGACTTCTCAGAGCTGCATTTTTAATCCCATACCCATTTCTTCATATGCTTTCACATAGCAATAATGTGCACAAAAATATGTTATGTTAGATCACTGCATTTATTAGTTACATTCTCCAGGACAAAGATTTTAAAACCAACAACAAAAATAAACCCAAGAGGTTAGGTTTCAAAACTATCCAGTTTTAAGTTTGGAGTGGGAAACAGAGAAAAGTAGAAGTCCAATTCCACAAAATTCCACAAACTCACCACACACATAAAAATAACATTCATAAAAATAATCACCAGTAAATATACCTAATACCATGCTGGTAGTTATCTATAACATTTTCCCATACAAATAAAGTAACAAATGTAATTTTTCTGGGAAATATATCATTACTGATTTTTGATTGACTTATCCGTCAAACTTCAGAAAGAAATTCACAATCATTATTGTCTGGCATTCTATTTACAGACATGACCAGTGACATTAACTAAGACAACTTATGTATTTAAATGCTTCTACAAATTAGAATGGCCAGTACAAATTGACCACTTAAGATACCACTAAAAAGCTATGTGGAAACTCCACAGAAACTTAGGCATAGTTTTGTCCCACTGAAATCAGCTGGATTGGTAGGTACATGGCTATATGCTCAAATGTCTATGGAATACCTATCAAGAAACTAGAAAAGATTATCAAGCATAAGGATACCCAGGCCAAGATGATCCACACTATTGCATTCCCAATCACAATGTATAGGTGTAAAAGATGGACAGTGAAGAAGGCTGAAAGGAAGAAAATGTATGCACTTGAAATATGGCGTTGGAGGAGAGCTGTGCGAAAACAAGTCAGAGCTTTCCCTAGAAACAAAAATGAGGCTGTCACACTTTGGGCACATCATGAGAAGGCAAGGCTCCCTGGAGAAGACAGTCACGCCAGGGAAAGCTGAAGGCAGGCAAAGAAAAGGAAGGCCAACTATGAGATGGATGGACTCCACAAAGGAATCAGTGGCCCTGAGCTCGGAAGAGCTGAATGGAGCAGTCATGGACAGCACATTTTGGAGGGCTTTCACTCATAAGGTTGCCATAAGTCAGAAATGACTTGCCAACAACCTGTCCCGACTGTGAGAGGGAGATAAGTCACTTACCTCCATAGGTCCTTTTTAGGCCAGCTCTGAGTCCCTGGGGAGGCTCATTGGTGAATTTAATGGACATCTGCAGAAGGGTAATGGGAAATCGCTTATGAACCTCTGTGGTCATCCACAAGCGGAACGCGTCATGAACCACCTCCGTTTCCACAACCGTGTCCATCAACTCGTCCATGAAGTCAAGCCCTAGGTGGCAGTTCTGCAGAAGTGCCCATCCACCCTAAGGAAAGGAAACCACAGGAGAAATCAACACGGTCGGCATCATGACTGTATTAGCGTTATTCATCCGCCAGGAATGCTTATGTTCACATCCCAACAATACGGGCATAAGCATGTTCCCTGCTAATGTGAAGAAATACTGTTTCTTGCCATCCCCAAAGAGATTTAGAATAGGACCAGACAGGCTCAGACTCAATTCTCCTTCTCCCCAGTCCTGGTAGATGGTCAAACACCTCACACCTCACCTCACAAGCCAACTCTCGAAAGTATACACTGTTGAAGTCATTCCTCAAAGCGGTATTAGGCTTGTTTTGCGGGTGGGGAACCAGGATTTGGCTGAAATTACTTTCAGCACAAGATGAACAAATGATTTAGGCATTCAGAACAGTAATCGGCTGCCTTATCCAAGTGACCTATGCATAGCACAAATGATTTAGGCATTCAGTAATCGGCTGCCTTATCCAAGTGACCTATGCATAGCACAAATGTTCAGCCAATGATAGACTTTATAGTCCCACCATTCTCTCTCTCTCTCCCTCCCTCTCTCTCTCTCTCAGCTGCTCACATTTGTAGTCCTAAATTGAGTGTTACCACTATTACTGGAGATGGTGAATCATACCTATGACTCCAGCTACGGGCTGAAAATATACATGATACAATGTATGTGCCATAAGCAGGAGACCCATGTCATTTTTCTCCCTCCTGCAACATCTTTTTGACACTCCACTGACACATTTCATTGGAGAGTTATGGAAACCCACAACCTGATAGCATCATACCATGCTCTGCACATCAGGTTGTGCCTCAAGTTTATGTTTCGTTGCCTGACAAGGACTTGAGAAATGCTGATCTGTGTAACCCAGTGGTCCAGAGTCAGTATGCTACTGGTTAAAAATAATCATTCTATTTTAAGTCTTTTCAGAAGAAAAGGAGGAATTGGCCCTGCATCATTCAGCAGCCAGTTCTGCTGTACCAGTGTGGAGTCCTAGCATTTGCGTACGCGAAGCTTGAGAATGATGACACCCAGAAATTCCAAGGCTGACACACGCTAACACAGAGATCAGATTCTGACTCACATGAGCCATAGTTTGCTGCAGAAGTTTGCGTGCATGGACCTCTTGCCCTTGGCCCATGGAAACATAACGCGTCTCGATCTTCAGTCTTTTCCCCAGGGCAGTAATGGAATCCGTAGGGTCAGAGCCCGTGGAAAGGAAGCAGATGAGAGGTGTGCGAGGATCAGATTCCTCCCAAATCTCTTCCAAGGATAGGATCACCCCTTCTGCGTATTTTTCCCCCATGGTATCTATAATGTACTTTCGAGCCTAGTGAGAGAAGAGAAAAATTTTATATTTATTCGATAGCATGAATGCAGAGGCATGAGGAGGAGGGGTTTTGGTTTTTTCAGATAAACATCATTGTGGAGCCAAACCAGTTCTGGACTCAGTACCAGGCTGGCTTCACATATTCTGATGTTTGGCCTGATGTACTCGCTTCTTTTCCTAATATCAGTCTATCCACATGGATCAACTCTTTCCTAAATTCAGGTTCTTCCCAAAAGGTTGGGAAGAGTCTTTGCCAACCCTGGAGATAAACATGGCCTCTCTGTTCGTGCCTCACCCTCTCCAGATCATGCAAACCATTCTAAAAGCCACAGTGGGGACAAGAGTAGATTCTGCTAGTATTTATAAAATGGATAAAGAAACAAGAACCCAGCAGGAGTTGGGGCCCAGCTCTGGCGCTGCAGTGACCTTCATAGTTTGTAGCCAGAATCTGATCATGAGTGGCCAAGAAGGGTTGGGCTTATTCAGCCTGTGCAGTGTCAAAATCACTGTGAGATTCTCTTTGTCGATGCTCTCAAGGCCAAGCAGGCAGGAGGCAACTGGTCTTGGCAGGGAAGGAAGCTTGCAGGGACTCTGGGAGAGCTGTGCAGAAGAGCGAGGACTTTCAGAAGTGCCACGCCAGCTGAAGCATCTCTCTTACAAACCAGGAGGGAGTTGCCCCATTCAGAGAGGGGACCCCACTGATGGGCACAATCCACTGTCAGTCAGTTTTCAGGAAGAGCCCTTTCCTTTTAAGCTGGTGCCTGGGATGAGTGCCTTTGCTGGGACCATTCTCCTATCCCCTTCCTGAAGCCCTCTCTGTGTGGACTTTCTGCAGTTCTGAGGCACTCCTCCCACAGAATCTTCTTCCACTTTGGACTGTTGTCCCTTGAATTTCGTACCATTAAGAACTTGCCATGAAAAATACTTCCATTCTTTCCAGAGAAGGGGAATTCTTGTTGGAAGTGGATTGTAGAACTTCATTGTCCATAGCCAAATGCCTAGGACTGTTCCTGATGCTTGGGTGCCTGCAGCCATGTAGCACTAAGATACCAAGGTGAACGCCATGGTTGTTGAACCTCTACATGCGTGAGGTTCCTCTGGATGAACTTTTCGATCTGTTTTGTCTTAGATGTGACCTAGACTTCTGCAACACAGAGGTCCCAACAAAGATTTCGGTGTTGATGTAACCCTTGGCACACGTGGATTGTTAGGCTCTGCTTCTGGAGCCCTTGCCTTCAGCTGCCTGGGAAGGTTGTCCTCAGGAATCCTTCAAGCCCTTGCCCTGCTTCCTGTGGAGATTATGAGGAAACCAACTCTCTAGATCTTTGATCCAGCAATAGTTATGCACTTTGGGTTGTTGTGGAATTACTTAAGGAGCCAATGGCTAATTGTCACCAGATCTGTTATTTCTGAAGTCTGTAATCCTGCAATTTGTTACAATAAAAGAATCTCACAGATTTAGGTGCCATTTGTTAGAATGCTAGTATGTTGTGTATTTGGCTGCCCCAATCTCTGAGAACAGGTGAGGGATAAATATGGGTTTTTTGACGTTGTTGTTGTTGGAGGGAGAGGGGGGGAGGACTGCACCCACAACATCAAGGCAGTACAAATTCTTGTCTTTCAGCTTAGAACACCTCAGATTGTTTTATTAATGAAGTTAATAAACTCTCACCAATCTGTTCTGGAAAGGCTTCCTGCAGAATTTCCAATGTTTAGACCTGACATCTGATGCCATCCTTCAAACATACTTTCCTACCTGAGCTATAGTTCTGTCAGGACACCAAGACCTTATGAGGAGGAGACGTCTGAAGCAGTCCAGAGCTTGGTCATAGCCACTGGGAACAAGTTCTTCTTCTGGTTTCTCTTTGTCAAACCAAATTTTCCACTGCTTTTCCGTTCGTGAAATCTGTTTGTGCAATGGGGAAAATATTCATTACATTCCATACATAACAAGATTCTACAGTCCCATGAAGCTTCATGGTGAGCAACTGTGTCCCTTTCTTAAAAAAAAAGAAAAGACAATGACAATGAGGATGAGGATGAAGATGAAGACAGAGGAGGGGGACAACAAAGACCTCAATAACCTGGCTACTCTTTTTCATGCCTTGATAACCTTTTAACTCACTTGCAGCAACGCACCGCTTAACTTGACTACTGTAATGCCCCTGAGCACAGCTAGGAGGTTTCACTTGGCCCCAAATGTGATCCCATGGCTTTTATTCTGGGTAGCCTTGTGCAGCACGTTGCATCAACACTGCAAAAACTCCACTGGCTACCAGTTAGTTTCTGAGCTGTATACAAGAAACTGGTATAAAATTAAAGATTTTTCTAGCCTAAATCTGGGGAATTTAAAGGATGCCTCCTCCCATACATTGTTTGTGATCCTCTACCCATAGAGGTGAGGTTGATCTCTGTTATTAATATGGTGCTTTTCAGAGATACTCTGGAATCATTGGTGTACATAATTAGACATCTCTGTCAAAGAAGATATGTAGGAGAGATTAAAAAACAGTTGAAGACACACTTCAGCAGCATTCGGAACACAAGAGCCGGAGCACCCTTAAAAATCATGTCCTGCACCACGAGAAAGAGTAATCCTGGGAAATCAAAAAACAGTTCAAAGGCGGGTGTAAAACTTCCCTGCAGAAGAAGCTTTGCAGTTCCGAAACTTGGAAGTCTTATCCCAAAAGGTCTAAATGGGGATTTGGAATACCCACCACTGTACATTTCGATGAAGGTTTCAGGCAATTACTCATGAAGTGTGAGGAAGCCTGTCCGGGGCTCAGCTCGACTCCCCAGACTGCAACTGCTTTGCATTGGTCAGAGACTGAGCTCCTGATGAGCTTGTCCAATGTACATGGAGTGCTCCTCAGGAATCACACCCCATGCCCTGCACAAGCAACGCTTGTCCGTGCACCAAAGAGGCCGCCCCGCCAACACCAGCCACTCCTGGACCCAACGAAGGCTGGTCATGGGTGCTCAGTCCCGGGATGCCCACCAGGACAGCTGCTTCCCCCAGTGGCTACACATTGTGTCTATCTGCTGCCCCACCTAGTGTCCCCTGTTGGATGCTGCTACTTATGCAGAAGAAGGTTGCCATTTGTGCAGCTGGGCATGAGTGAACATTTGGGGGGGGGGGGCAGATTCCACCAGGATGCGTCCAATCCCTACCCATGAGTAAGGGGACGGCTCGAATAAGGATGGAAGGAACTCTTCTCTGGAAGAAATAGTGCCATGATTACAGTTCTAAGGAGAAGCTAACCTCCTCCTTCTCTTTCAGTTTCAGCAGAAGAAATGCTACACACTCTCCAGCACAACAGGACACCAGCCAAGAAATCCTTCCATGATCTGTCCCACCCCATCTTGGCCTTCCTACTGGCCAGTCAGATGGACAGTACTTTTGGAGGAAGGTCCACATCAGCAGTAGCCTTCACATGCATAAAACCAAGGGGCATGAAAGCATCAAGAGAATCAGAGCATGAGAACTAGTTATGCTGACTTCGGTCAGTTACCTACTTGGTCAAGAACATCTGAGAATTGTCTCAGTTTACTGAGCTCCACCAAATTTAACCAAGTCATATCCAGGATCCATTTAGCTGGTTTAGGGGGACAAGCTTTCAGATCCAAAGAAGCCCCACCTGGGAAGAGAGGTAATAGCAAACCTGGGTTTTATTTATTTATTTATTTATCTATTTATTTATTTTCAATGGTTAGATCTTCAGCCTGCATTCATGATGCTGGAAGGGGGTGGTGTTTATCCTGCCAGCTCCCCCACCTCTGTTTCACATGCTGGATCCCCTATCTGCATACAAATCTACATCACAGAGTCAAAATGGGCTGGTTTGCCAGATGGGGCTCACTTTTACTTGCAGGCCAATGTGCAAAAGCATGCGGTGTGCATCCCACAGGGAGAGAGGCACCTCATGTGGTCGTGCAGGCAGTCATGCTTCAGGTCCTCTATTGCCTATAGCATGTGAACGTGAATTTTTATTTTACTAGTTAATTATATTTCAATACCACCAAAGTGGTATGCACTCACATCATAGTATAGTGTGCGAGTAATATATACTGCCTAAGTGCCTAGGTGGTTCATGGAAGTGGAAACCATAACACAATAAAACACCACTCAAAATTTTCATACTACTGTAGAGAACCAAAATGAAAACAACCAAAACCAAAATAAAAGCCAGCAGCAGTACAAAGGTTTGAACTGCAGGCCCATTCTGGGAAACAACAAAGCCCAAATGCCCGGGAAAAGAAGCTGGTCTTCGACTAACACCCAGCCTGAAATAAGCCGCCCAGAGACTTCTAGTATTGGGGCGGTATATACAAATTTCTAAATAAATAAATGAGAAGCAAACGAGCTGCACGTCGCCTGCACAGGCGCTGACCTTTAATCAGAGTGAGGAACTCCTCGTGCTTGACTTTGCCCCGCTGCAGGTCAATCTTCAAGGTAAGCAGCAACGTGAACAAGAACTTGTGCTCCTCATACAGCCCTCGGGCAGCATGCCTGCACACTTCGTAGGTCATGTACTCAATGATATTTGCTATTCTCTTGCTTGTAATTGGGCTCTTGACAGACCTTTTCAAAAGAAGGAGAGGGGAGCAAGGAATGAAAGTCTGCCTTTGAGGGAAAGCTTTCAGAAAGCCCCTTTCCTGAAAAGAAGAAAGCATTTTCAAAGCCGTTCTCCGTAATCCTGAGCCACTACTGAGGCACACAAGGTCAATGGGGACAAATCAATAGGATGCTAAACAGTGGTCAGGTGACACGGCCCCACAGAGCTCCCTTTCTGGACTGGGCCTCTTTGAATCGCTGGAAGCTAAGCCACCGCGACTCTCATGGGATCAGAACTGTGTAGAGTCGATTCCTTTGATCTTTATCCTTACACATCCTGTCTGAACCCTGTTTTTGTAAAATGTGGCACAGATGAGATGCTTCTGAAGGCAGAATTCTAAACAATAACACAAGATCTCTGTGCCAAATGGAAGTCAAACAACTTGTTTTGGGAGTATTACAGATTAACACAGCTTAGTGTGAAAGGGTCCTTGAAAAGAGCAACCCATACCAAGCAGCATTTTGTCACAGCAGGAAGGATCTGTCAGTAGATATAACTAAGTGGTGACGGGTTCAATCCATAGCATCACCAATTAAGGAACTGAAGGATTTGGAAAGCTACAGAAGGAAGAGTGACTTCCACAGAAGGTCAACTCTATAGAGCAAAGAGTTAGGGCCAACAAGGACCTGTAGGGAAAAAACAACATAATACACACACGCATAGACATACACAATCCGGAGAACAACCATATAACTCATGGACAGCGATATCAATTGTTCCTTCATATGAAAGGAAAATTGTCTGAAATCTTGGCCTGCCTGACTATTCTTCCCATTATCTCATTATTTTCACATACAGCTGAATTGTTGGACATGGCTGCAGCAAACACAGACCCTCTGGTACAGGGTAGATTGAAGTAACTGCCTCCACCATTGGTTTAGAAACATAGAAACAGAGCGAGTCAGAAGGGGTCTCCTGGGCCATCTAGTCTGACCTCCGGCACCAGCCGGCTCCACTCATGACATGCCCACCATGTGCACGTCCTGAACTGGAAACAGGTGCCCCAAGGCAGGGTAGGCAACAGGTTCAGTCACACATCACTGTGTGTTGGAAGACAAAAGCTATTATTCCTACCTGCCAGTCACATATGCAAATATTCCAAAGGAAGCAGAGCAGTATCCTTTGTTCCTTAATGACCAATTGGTTCCAATGTTTCCCAAACTTTCAGGATGATATTAGATATTCAATTTCCTCTGAAATGTTTTTGCTATCTTAAAAATCGAAAGCTCAACACGGCTTTGGATGCTTACAGCGTCAGCATACAACTAAGATGATTTTTGTCTTCTGTGTAGAATGTTTGTTTCCTTTCCTTATGATGCTCATCTCTCTCTCTCTGTTCTTCCAGCTCCCAAAGGTTAGGAGACAAACACTGGAAGAAAATTTCCCCAGAGTGTACGGGTGAGAAAATTAAGATACCAAACGACAGTGTCTCCATCAAACTGCTTCAGCTCTTAGAAAACGGTTTGTCCATCTTGATCAATCCAATGTCTAGAATGTGTGGTTACCTGGCAAGTGAAAGATCAAAGAGGCCCAGGAACTGTCGAAGTGAAGTTTGATACATGACATTCACCATACTCATCTCGGTTATCAGGAAATAGAGGATGCTGCCTCTTGTTGCAACTGAAGAAAAGAAGGTTGCATTCAATCAATAACTGATGAAGGACAAAAGCAGTCCTTGCAAGATCTCACACCAACAATGAGCATGTTCCTCATAATAAACAGTTAAAAGTTGATTCCTGCAGGAAAACCCACAGCCTATTTTTGTCTGGGGTGGAGAGTCTTGGTTCTTCAACTTTGCTACAACAACATCTACCAACATCAACTCTGCTACAACAACATGCTACAACAACATCTACCCACACATCTACCTGTTCAACAGAAGTCTAAACTCCAAACTGAAAACTTTGTTGTTGTTACTGCTCCAAAGGCAGCATCCCACCATTATATGAATCCAGAAAACCACAAAGATATCAATACACTACTCTAAAAACCTGGATTCTATTTGTGATTTTATTCAGGACTGTGTAAGATCTGGGAATCCATTTCAGCCAGCAGCCATTTCCAGTAGCTCTCCATCACTACTGGATCCACCCATCACACTCTCAGTAAATTTGGAAAAAGGAAGATTGCTGGGAAGGTGCCCCGGAATCGATGTAGCAGGATCTCAGGCCCTAACTTTCAGTCAGCTCAGCACTGCTTGCCAGGACCTAGAGGCTTGATCTATTCCAATTCAGAGTTCTCATTATTTTCTGAATGTCCAAGGGACACTATGCAAAATAATCTGATTTTTGCAAATTATTTATGGAAAAGATATGCATGAAGGCAGCACATCCATCATTAACATATCTGAGCAAAAATCTCACAAGATGCATATAATAAGACTAAGTTTTATAGGTATAGAAATGTATGTATAGATGAAACCAACTTTGCTGGAAGAGGAGAAAAATAGCACAGAAGACCAAGGTTTTCAATCCAGTACTGATGATCATTGGAACACCGCTATCGTTGGAGGCTCTGATAGACGTGTCAATGCTCCAATGGCTACTTTATTCAAAGAAAACCACACATTATTGCATTAACTACTTTCGCAGCTAGCTTTCATTCAAGTTTTCATATTCCGCCCTCTCAGCTTCAGCCACAGTCCATTCTGATGAATGACTTAAATATTTGGGTTAGCATCACTAGGGACAGTCAGCTCACCTGGTCTGTATTCTTCCCGGGCTGAATTAATCTGTATTTCAGTTTCGGCCGAAATTTGCAATTTCTGTGTCACCTCTTCTGCAGTCTTCTTTGTGTTGCTAAGTACAATGATGAGACTCTCATCTTCCACCAGAGAGCCTTGTGTGCTTGTCAGTCGAAACAGCAAGTTATCTTCTAGTTCTTTCATCTTCCTCTTGTTAGCAGTCACATCTTCCATTAGATCGGTTCGCTCTTTCTCCAACTCCTGTTAAAGCCCATCAGAAGGCCACACTTCAGTGGCCTGCATTGCTGGAAGCAGGTTCATTAAGGTATATGAGAGACATAGTATATATAGTACCGTACAGAGGGAAACACACAACTTAGCGAATATTCTGAGTGATGCCAGAGGGAGACTTCTTTATAGCCTGAAGTGCCTGATCCTGCCTAATCTTGAAAGCTAAGTGGGTCAGACCTCTTTAGAATTTGGATGGGAGACTTGATGCCTGCACTGAGCTGGGGGTTGGACCCAATGGCCCTCTAAGCCCCTCCCAACTGTATGATTCCATACAGCCACTTCATCAACGGGTCAAAGAGATCATCCATGCTTTGACGTGGTAGAGGCCATGGGACACACACTGAGACCATTTCAGGGTTTGCAGCGCACCAGGACTTGCCTCACCGGCTGTTTCTGACTTCAGGAGAAACCCAAGACTCCAACTCAGCCTCCAGCTGGGATTAAATTTTGTGGCACTTCTAGTTCCAGCAGTTCTTGATTGTTGGCAGCTCACAGCAAAGATCACAGAGGCATTGATTCTTATTGTTCCTGTTATTAGTCTTATTCTTATTATTTTTATTTCTTTGCTGCCCACAGCTGAAGCTGTCTGGGTAGTTAACTGAAGGGCACTATGGACAACAATTTCTTCTTCACTATTGGAAACTTTCTGGAGTTTTTCTGACCTCATCACAAGGAACACGGTAAGAAATGTGTGCTGTGTTCTATTTATGGTTGATCAAAATACCACAAATACTGAACGAATAGGAAAGATTCATTCCACATAGTTAACACTACCAAAAAGTTAATTTCCATATAATTCAAAAGTGATCTCATTCTGTAGAATGTGTCTTGACCATAAAGCTTTAAAAAAACAGACATAAAAGAAAGACCTATGGCAAGCACAATCTGTAGAAACAAAGGGAAACGTAATTGGGGATTGTGAAAGCAATTTATGAGAATTATGAGTTTTCTTCAGACAAGCCGTGATGGGAAATCTGAGCATTAAACATGCAAATATCTTTAATACAGAAGGATGAAAAGGTAATCCAGAATGAAATGAGAGAACATTTGCTCATTTCATTTGTTTTAATTAGTTTCCACTTCAAGATGAAAAGGTTGGTGAGAAGAGAGATCTCCAGAATACCAACAGGTACAATTGCAAAATTCCACACATGACCTCAGGTCTATGGCATGTTGCTGGTGTGTTCTGTTTTGTTGTCTGGACGATGACAGCAATTTCAATATATAGCACAGACAACCAGTTTTCTGCTACCTTACAAACAAGGCATTGTAACATACTCCTCTTTTAGTATAGATAAGCCAGATGCCATCATGCAACATATCTTGCCAGATGGGATACTTAGACTATTACAACTGGAAGCATAGATATACTTTATTATGCACATTTTTAGAAGTGATATATTCTTTAGTAGCGCCTTAATGAAATATTTCTTTTTCTGCTTACGTTAGCATACTGATCATTGCCACTGCAGTTCAAACATTAATGGAATTATTTAGCGGTGGCCTAGATACACGCTATCTTATGAAGTTTTCATGCTTGGGTGGGTTCTCCCCTAATGGCAACCCGTTGTGACAAATCACAACAGGCTGCTATTCAACCCTAAACCACAACAGGTTGCTATTCAGCCCTAGACTTATCCCACACGAGCCCAACAGATGATCGGGCTCATCACGGTGGCTTTGCTCCCTCTGTCTGCCTCTTCCCCTTTTGCTCCTCCTGGCAGCATCCTGGGGGGCACCAACAGGATGACTGAGGCTGGTCCCTGCTCCTCCTGCAGGACATGAGCGCAATGGGGAGACCTCTGGAGCAGACGGTGAGGACCTCCAATCCAGTCTGTTCCGCTGCCCTGTTCTGGGGGCAGTGCCACCAGACAAATCACCAGTGGTGATCTCCATCCAAGGAAGGAGCCTCTCAGGCAGGAGGTGAGGGGGCGAGCAGCTGGGCAGCGTTGCTGAGAAGACCACAGCTCCTGTCTAGGAGCTGGGGGTGCTATGAGCTGCCCGGCATGGTCCCAGACTTGGAGCAGGCTGCTGAGCAGATCACCAGCTCCTGGCACCTGCCTGGAAGGAAGCTGTTCTGGTATGAGCTGGGGTGCCCCCCCCCCCCGCCTTTGCAGCAATGCTCCATTCCAGGGTAGCACCATGACGCTGATGCCCCCAGCTCCTTCCGGAGAGGACTTCGGCAGAGGTGGGGGAGAACTCTGCCTGGTGGGGCTACCCCAAGAATGGGGCGGTGCTTCGGAGCTTATTGGCAGCTCCCAGCTCCTACCCCAGAGAAGATGGGGCATCTCGGATAGATGCACCGAACTGGGACCGTCACCAGTTGCTCTCTCTGGCCAGCCACTTGGCAAAGGCAGCAATGGCTGCTTGTGCGAAGAGGCTCATTTGTCCTGGAGCTTCAGTCACCATGTCCTGTGTTTCTGCCTTCTGATGACACACCAAGCAAGCATGGCAGGGCAGATCTCGAGGACAGGCCACTGGCCCTGACACACACAGACTGTCACAAGCGTGGAGCCAGTGGGCTGCTTAGCCCCACTTGGGCACCAGATCTGAGCCTTGGCCTTGTGTACCCATTTCCTCTTTCTGATCCCAACCCTGCAAGGCTCAGACCATCAGGCAAGCCATGGTCAATCGCAGAATCTTATATGAAAAGGATTCATATGCTATAAGAAAGCTACTTTCAGGGGTCTTTGCAAAACACACACTTTTGGACAAGGAGTGGGAAGACCTACTTTGTGATCGGGGATTCTTAAGGTCAGCTGATATCTCCAGCTAATGAATCTCAGGGTAGCATGGCTAGGAAAGAGCCGCTGCCCCTGAAAATGGACAATAGATCTGACTCGCACCATAAGGCCATCTCATATGCTCCTAAGAAATATTAGAAATGCAACCACAGAAACAGTGGGTTGGAAAGGGAGGAAGCAAAGGAGCAAGTGAGAGAGCATTGTTGGATTGTGTAGCTTTTGCTTCGATATCTTACTTCTTGACAGTTTTATTTATTTTTCACATTTCTATACCACCCAATAGCTGAAGCTCTCTGGGTGGCTGACAACAGTGAAACCCACAAAATGCAACCTAATCTACACTGCAACAGTTGTAAACTACAGCATAAAATAGAAAAGCCAAAGTGAAACCTAGCAGCAATGCAAAGATGTAAAATGTGGTAAGCTGGTAACGCCCAATCCTATGACTGTTCAACTCTATCTGGATGGCTACAGGAGAGGTCAGAGCCCCAGAGCTAACCTCAGAGACATGCTGGGGCTCCCACCAGTGCTGAGCGTGGGCTCTGAGGCTAGAAGACGGACCCCTGAGCCAGAGGTTTGTGGGTGCTCCGGAGAGTCAGAAGGGGAAGAAAATGGCTTTGCCACAATAAGCTGCATCCTGCCGGTACTCTTCTTCTTCAGCCTTTTCTTCTCATGCCCCTGGGCAAATGATTTTTTAACGCTCTACTGCATCACTGGAAGCTGGGAAGCCCATCTTTCCATCATAAGAGAAGGAAGCATTGCCTCAGTAAGCAGTTACAAAACTAGGTGGAAACGATAGTTCAAAAGGGGCAGCCAAACATTTCTCCACCTACCTGCTTTTCTGTTAGAATGACCCTCCCCAGAAGCTGATCTTCCAGACCTTTCATGGTGACAGTGAAATCAATGATAGATGTGCGAGCACTAATCTCAGGTGTATATGCTGGATTTGGCAGCTTGGAGGTAATATAAAGTCTGAAACCGTTCATGACATCCACTTCTTTATCCCCAACTTTTACCTAATTAACAGAAACCATTGAGGGAGTAAAAGGGAATTAGATGCCCACAAGATCTGTTGTACGCCTTCAAATGCCAACTGGTCATTTATAACATATTGGGCTTCGATTTTATTTTCACTTAAATAAAACAATAATTAAATTTCAAACAATATTGATGTACATAACAGCTTAACTTTGTGTGCCATATCAAAAGTGACTTGCTTCTAAAAGAAATGTCTAAATGGTCTTCAGACTCTTCTTTCAGAATACAACAAGACAGTTTTATTATTTGTATGTAGTATCACAGTAGACTTATAGAATAACACAGTGGCCAGCTCGTGGAATGATTCCCTCTTTCCCCAATTTTTACAGGGCAAGGGTTCTTCACCCATGGTCTAGGACCACCAAGGGATACTGGGCAGTGAACAATACAAACTACCTCCTCCAAAAGGAGGTTTCGCATGCAGAAGAGGGTCTGGATTGTTCTTCCACCCTTCATGAGACAGGCATTAAAAAGGGCAAGGCAGCATTTGCAGAAGAGCTAGAGAACTTTGTACAGTTGTATACACCCTGCTGAAGAAGTCACAGCCACTTTTTGGAATGTAAGGGTAGAAATAAACTGAAAAGGACCTTGCTTTTCAACAATGCAAGCCACAAAGAAATGGAAGGAAGACACCTGAAACCATAACATCTATTTCTAGTGCTGGGCAAGATTTTAGAAAGCTCTCACATTACATTTGCAGGACATTTCTTCCGTTCCTGCAATGTTCTGAAGAGGAGGAAGTGGGAAAGTTGCACTATGAATCGGGTCAAATGGAGAGAAACAAACTCCTGAATGGAGGTTGTAAGAACATTTTGGATCAGTACACAAATCAAACATGTCCCATTTGCATCCTGAATGTGAACAAGGGCACATTTGCTCCAAATGCACCTTTACATTTACAAAATATCTACCTGTACAACTCACAGCTTCTTCAAATTGCACTACTTTCTTAAAACTCACCCATGCTTGAGTCTAAGGCTGTTCGGAGTAAAAAAGAGAACTGCTTTGGGGATACATTCTCCAGAAAAGCAGGAAAAGAAGCTGCAGTGATCCTGGGGGGGAGGAGGGATGTAGGTCATCCAGAGACACTGAGATGAGAGAAGCAGAGACTCTTATCTCAAGGTCAGACTCCCTAGGTGGGCAAGGAAGCCTCTGGGAATAACCAGACATACAGTTGGCAGAAGGGGGCTTGGAGCAGGGGAGTTCCTCAGACAGATGAGGAGGGCATGGCTCTGGACCCCATGATGCAACATCAGCAAAGGAGGGTGGCCCAATTAGAAGACTGGCACATGGAGAAGAGGTGTGCTCACTTTCAGAAGGCCCCTCTCAATGGGATTGGGCCCAGGCACACTCGTAAGGTGAGTTTCTGGAGGTGAATGCTAGATTGGATTCAACAAACCACTCTGCATGTTCATAGGTTCATTCTGGATGTTTGCACTTCTGGAAAAAACATTGATCAATGAAGAACATTTTGCAAGAAAGGTCCGTCACTTTGAATGTGCTCCTGAAAATGCGGGAGGTTTACACACATTTGGGAATTGTTTGCATAACTTACACATACAACAACAGTTTGTTCTGCACATTTGCTCAAAATGAGTGGTGACTGCAAACACAAGCATAAACCATAGACATGTGAAAAGGAAGCTGATGATCAGAGAATCCTGGAGGGCTGGAATATCACTCATTCACCACTTCTTATATTGGAAGCTTTCTCATAAGCAACTTTTCAAGCACCTTCACATGTAATAAGTATAAGCTAAGGAAGTTCAGTAGTCCACAGAGAACAAAGGAAACCAAATATTTATTCAAAGCACAAGTAGTAAAGACTGCTGCTATGAACTATTCTCTTTAAAGTGCAAGTTAAGCAACCTGGTTACACCAAGTCCAAAATCTACGATGGTGAAGAGAATATAGCATCCCCAGTTCTTCCAATGGATGGAAATATCCCACTTCTCTCACCTTGTATGTAGAACCTGTTTTGATGAAATTTCTTTCCAGCACATTATCCAAAGCTGGATCCAGCTCTTCACTGACATCTTCAATTAACAGTGGCCTTCCAAGAGAAAGGCTGTCCTCCAAGTGATTTCTAAAATACTTGTGATTTAAGGAGGTGATCTGAAAAGAGAACCATCTTGCCCAGATATTATGCTGTTGGGTCACCGGGAAAAAGACCTCTCGGCATGCACTTATAAAGCAGCTCAAAAGACAGAGTTTTCCTAACTTCTTTAGCCAGTCAAAAACATTACGACTTGAATCATCATTGGAGCACTTGGAATTAAACTAAATCTGTTCATTTCACACATAGATGAGAATCCGTGCACACAGTAGGACTTGTACTGGTAACACGGAAGTATGTCAGGCAGGCATCCAGCAATACCCCACTCTCATGAAAGGAAATTGCAAAACCAAAAACAAAAGCCCACCACATCAGTTGATAATTGATAACCATGATTGACTTATTATTTATTTATTAAATTTATACCCCACTTTTTCCCTTTCAAGGAATTCAAGGCACCTTACATAATTCTCCTTCTCTCGCTTTTATTCTCAGAATAACAACCCTGTAAGGTCGGTTGGGTGGAGAGTCTGTGCCTGGCCCAGCATCACCCAGTGGGCCCCATGGCTGAGAGGACTAGAACCCAGATCTCCTGAGTCCCAGTCCCGCCCTCTTAGCCACTGCACCATCCTGGCTCTCTGAATGAAACCAAACCATGATCTTCCCTGAGCTCTGTGAAGGGTCCTGAAGTTTGCTTGCAGTTCTGAACATTTAAGAGGCTTCCCCTTGCTGGATGCCAGGTGCCTTAGCCTTGGTCTCCCTCACCTTTACCTGACCTAGCCTCACTATCCCATGAATCTGGGCCGGCACTGGTGCCAACAAGCCTTTAAATAGTAGAAAATGCACCATGCAAACTGTCAAGGTTTAAACAAAAAGAGCCATCATCACTTGGAGGTGCCCAGGTGTGAACTGCGGTCCCCCGGCATCTCTGAAAGGGAGGGGTGTCCTCACAAAGATCTGTTTACATAGGGCAGAGATTAAGCGGGCAGCAGAAGATTAGAAGGCATGTTCTATATTCAGATCAGTTGTGGAGGATCAGAAAGGGGGCAAAATTTGAAGAAAATGTCCTAGCCGGTTACATACTTGGAGGGAAGAACGACACGTGGCTAATGGGGTGGGCTAAAATCTATTAAATAGATAGATAATAAATCCACCATTCTGTGTGAGAAGGAAACACTTTGCCTCTGGGCTGCTGTTGACATCTTTAGCTCAGTCATGCATTGCATTTTGCCATGCACTCTTGGGCCAGGGAGAAGGGAGGTGGAGCTAGCCTGGAACCATCATGGCAAAGGGGCCCTGTAATTCTTGGCCCTTGCCATGGTCTGCTCTGAAGCACACCAACGCTTTGCAGTGGGAGAGAAGCTCCCATTGGTGTACTTGGGTGCTTTCACACCAATCTTAATAACTGGGGAGGGGGCCAATTCTGGCTGAGATCATGACGGAGCTGATCTCCTACTCTGTCCTGCCCCAGCACAACAGAGAATCATGGGAACCAGGGACAACAGGGTTAATGTGAATCATGTCACATCCACCTTAGGCGAGTGTTTCATGCTACATTTAGATTCTAAACAGAAGGGAAAGTGATCTTGTACCGCAACGTTGCGGGTTCCCAGCAAATTCTTTCTAGCCACTGAATCTTCCCAATTAAGACATTGCTGTGGAATGTTTCCTGCTACTGAGGGAAGCACAAAATGCTTCTATTGTATTATTACCAGCCCCACTGAATCAGGCCTACCTGAAGCTCATTCCTGGTTTCCTTGTTTTTAATCCAGATCTTGCCTTGTGTCTGAGGATCAATCAGCAAAGGGTAACGAGCTGCCTTGGTGACAATGATGCCGTTCTGAATGGACAGATCATCATTCGGCAGCCCTTGAAGGTTCCATTCACTGACGGTCGGAGCATCAATCAGCATCTCGGTGAGATTCAGATCGTTCCCAAATGGGATTTTCCGTGATTTCATCTCTTTTTGCCAACCGGTTAACAGCAGATTGCGGAATTCTTGGTTAAAAGGGCCGGAATAGGACAGAAAGGCTGTGGCCAGGAGCACATCTCCTAAATTAACACAGAGAACGATCTCATTTGGAAGGATGCTGTGCAGAAGCACTCCTGAGAAAATGCTTGCACTTGCAGTGAAAATGAAAGCAACAGAAGCTCAGGCTTGCAGGGGTCTATTCCTAAGAGTGTTTTTACTCATCGAGCTCAAATCGCTTTTGTGACTCCCTCCCTCCCTTTATATGAACATCTAGTTGACCATTGTTCATGCAGAAAAGAAAGCACAGGAGAGACATTTGTAATGTGAATGGGAGCATTCCGGCTTGCACAGCTTTTACATTCTCGTGGCATACGCATTTTTTCCATCCTGAGGCAACTGCAGCTTTAAGCTAAATGTGTTAGAACACCCCGAGGGTTCCTACATTAGTAAGCCAGGAGACTTGGGTCAATTCATATAAGCTGATTGTCTATACAAAAATGCTTGTGCTCCACTTGGAAGCAGCTTACCAATGTTCTGGATTCCTTCCTTGAGCACTATTACTGGATTGAAATCCAAGATCTTATACATAGATCATAGTCCCATGTAAGACCCCAAAAATGGAACTAGGAAAGTCATACACTGGGCTCCATTATACACAGAAACTAACTCTGGACACAAATGGCATTTTTGCTTGCTCATAGAGTGTTCCCTCTGGATATACAAACACAAATATTAATTCATCTCTCTAGGCTATGAGGTTCAAAGAAACCTAGAAATGTAAGATGGGCACCAGAGTGGAACAGGGGTTCATGATAAAACAGGATCACAAGGAATTATCTTGGAAATGAAGCCTGGGTTTAACTTGGGACTGCTCAACCAACATAGCCTTTGAGAGTGACTTTTTTACAGAGCGCTGAAATGGCAGTGTATTCACCATACCCACAAGCCTCTTTGTTTGTGCTGCAAACTCTTTGCTTTGTTCCGTCCACCTTTCTTTCTCGCCAGCCAACCCACTAATGAGACTGGAAGCTGTCTGCATTTTGTGTCTGCAGCGTTCTGCATCCTCAAGCAATGTCTGCCAAAATAAAATATATATGTTTAATGAAATATGTGGCCGGGGCAGCAGCTTAGCCTGAACCCAATGCATAAAGTCCCTAGATATGGTTTACCATAAATGATGCACCGGTAATAATAAAATCACTCTAATGTCTTTATCCAAAGTAAGAATCGTGGACGCATCTGGATTACTCCCTTCACATGTCTGGGAGGTGGATTTTACTGCCATCAGAGTTCCAGTGAAAGACATCTTAAATGTTCTGTCCCAGAATCAACTAGACTGCACACCAGGATTGGTTGTTGCCCAGGAATCGAGTTGGTTGAAACCTCTTTGCTTTTCAAGAAAAAACTGGTATAGTTTTTTCTGCACCATGCATCTCACAGTCCCCGGACATGTTTTTAAGGGGTGGAGAGAGCTCAAGGCACTCAGAAGGGGATGCTTGCTGCCTACTTTAGAGACAGATGTTTGTATCTGCTTGTTTAATAGGCTAATAATGCAATTGTAAGTTGCCACATGGAATATTACACAGGTTAATCACAATCATACACCCACTTGAATTTTAAAAGAAATGATGAAGCAAAACAGTTGAAAATAGATCAAACATCCATAAGCAGCTTTTTAAAACAAACACAAAAATTGTAATTCCTGGGGGTTCAGCACCACTGGTTGTTGATCTTGGGAGTTCGAGCTCCTTTTGCCCAATCCCTGCTGCTGGAATTCATGAATGCTGGTGGCACTATTGAAATTAAGAAATGGTCAGAGAGGGAAATAAGGACGGAATCAGGACGATTTTCAATTTGTATGTATGTAATGAGGGCAGCACAGTAAAGGCAAGTGTGAGCTGTGCTTGCTATCCTGGTCACCTGGGTGGTCCTGCCAGATGCTGACCTCTCCAGATTTCTCTGCAGGCCTGGAGGCATGCTGGGATTTTCCTTACCTCTCAGCAAGACTGTCCAGATCCCTAACTGGCTGTAAGCACGCCATGGCGAGTTCACGCCAGCAGAGGATTGCCTCCGTGGGCCTTACAGGAGCACCCCTGGCAGAATGAAGTACCTGTTTCTCCCTCATGGCCTTCTCGTATTCCGCCTGCACAATATCTAGTTCAGTTTGCTTGGCATCCAGCTCAGCTTGAGCTTTCTGCAGGTCTAACATGGCGGTCGTCAGACGGTTCTCCTGAACGGCCAGGTTAGCCTAGGAAATCATCAATTCACAAAGGACAAGGTTTCAAGCAGAACTGCATCATTCGAACATCTGGTTTCTGAGAGAAATATATGCAAACAAAACTCTTTGCCTCCCTTTTGAAAGAATCATCAACAATGAAAATAACTGGTTCCATATGATAAGAATAACTCTTGATAAATGAATTATTATGGGAGGATAATAGTAAAAAAAAAACAATACTACAAAATATCAACCATTTCAAGGGCTTGTTGTAAACTGTCCCGAGATACCAGTAGATGGACGGTCTATAAAAGCTTTAAATAAATAAATGAATGAGGGCACTAGAGAGGGCCAAATGTTCCACTAATCATGTAGCCAAGGCACGTCTTCAGAAACAATGTACTGTAAGTGTACCATGCCTTTCTTACTTTATTGTAAGTGCACAGGGTCCCTGTTGGATCAGGGCCAGCACACTTTGAAAAGGAAGAGTTGAATCTTCTCTCCCTTTTCCCCCCTACCCCTGAGGGTTAAAAGAAAAAAGAAAAGAAAAATCACAGGTGTTGACAAGAGTGAAAATACACCCTTTGAGAGTCTGCTGGGAGTGTACAATCAAAGGAACACTTATAGTTTATGCAGACATACAGGAAATCCACGTAGCACATAGGCAGCCCCTGAAGGGACTACAAAGAGGGAGTCTGTACAAGATGCTTTTGTAACTGACTGGTTACACAGGCAGTTTGGAGGAGGGGTGCGGATCAAGCGTAGGATCAAGTAGGCAGTTTGCTAGAGGCACAGGAGGCTAAAACAATTGGGATGAACAGAGGACCAAAGAAAAGGACCTTCAGGACAGGCAAACCATTGCTGAAAAGAGTATCCGAGGGGCACAGGGGAACATCAGCACCTCTACGTTGCATGCGGGAAGCAAGCCTTGCCACAAGGATTCCTGAGCAGATCAGGAATCCCACCTTAAGTCTAAAGCTGTGCTTGCAGTGTTGGGCTTTTAGCGGCCATTTTCTGGCAGAGCTTTTGCTCATTGGGTTCAGAGAGTGTCCCCAACCTCCATTGTTCACCCATCTGTGCCATTGTTCACCTTTTAAAACCTGCTACTATCCTGAAGTCACGCAGTCCAGGCTACTACCTCTTGGCTCATATCGGAGCATGCAAAAATTCGGGCTAAACTGTAGAGCAATGGGATGAAAAAATAATCTCATAAGATAATGAGAAACGACCAGCTTCTTGCATTTAGGTGTTCCTAGACCAGAAATTTGCAATGCATGGCTCTGAAAGCTGGACCATAAGGAAGGCTGAGTGCCAAAGGATTGAGGCCTTTGAATTGTGGTGCTGGAGGAGACTCGGCGAGTCCCTTGGACTGCAAGGCGATCAAACCGGTCAGTGCTAGAGGAGATCAACCCTGACTGCTCTTTAGAAGGCCCAATCCTGAAGATGAAACTCAAATACTTTGGCCACCTAATGAGAAGGAAGGACTCCCTGGAGAAGAGCCTAAGGCTGGGAACAAGAAATGGCAAAAGAAGAAGACGGCAGAGGATGAGGTGGCTAGATGGAGTCACTGAAGCAGTTGGTGTGAGCTTAAGTGGACTCCAGGGGATGGTGGAGGACAGGAAGGCCTGGAGGAAGGTTGTCCATGGGGTCATGATAGGTTGGACACAACTTCGCGACCAACAACAACAACAGACCAGAAATAGTGGCTGATCTGCTTTAAGTTTGGAGTCAGCTTCGCCATGTGTATTTGGTCTTACCTTTAAAGGTAGCACTTCCTTGTTGATCGCAAAGAAGGCAGACATTGCTTTGGTCCATGAGCAAAGGCCAGCCACATTACCGCACACCCTCTTCGCTGTCTCGATGTTGTAGTCCATCATTTCAAAGTAAGGGCTCAAGAGCTCCACCACTTCTTCATTAATTGTATCTTTGGGGAATTGCTAGGAATACCATCAAGAAGATAAATTAGCATTACCAACCACGCCACATCAAACAGAATGTTCCAAGAACTGCTACAGGCAAAGAAAAAGACGCAGTCACTCGTAGGTAAATCTTTGGTCACTCTTTACTGGGTCAAGCATAGTATGTGAAAGGCTATTTTAAAAGCTGCTGTGACCAAATTTGCTTTGTTCCTGACAGAGACACCTCCTGAAGCTGCTCTGCTAAATGGGACCTGCCCTTGTGTATCTTGTTCTATCAGAATTAACATCAAAATAATTGTTTCGTAATTGCAAGGCAGGAGAAAAAAAGCTTGATTTCCTGAACAACAATTTATTAGTGCTCCTATTGTTGACATAGGTGATAATTTGGACATTCCTGTATCAATACCCAAAAACAGGAGTGCTGGATCTTCCTAGATAGTCCAACGTGCCGAATGAATTGCCCCGGCAACGTTCCTTTTTTTTGCTGCTTCCTTCTCACAGGTCTAGTTTGCTCTGCACGAGTCTGTTGAGAAAGGGGTTTCGAACCGAATGCCTAACTGGCCTCCTGAAGCATCTCCAGAGCTGCTCTCTGCATTGCGCTCAGTTTGCGTGGCAAATGCTCTCATGCTCTGTTGCCTCTGACTTCTTTTAAACCTCTTGAATTTTTGTATTCTACATTTTGCATGTTGTTTTATGTCAAAACAAAACAACTAATTCTGTGTTATTGCTGTTTGTGTTTTAAAAAAGAACTTGGCTACTTAATATCCACAGCTACCATCTTTACTGATATTCTGATTTTTTTTTTTTCAATTTATATCCTGCCATTTTCCTACAAAGGGCTCAAAGCAGCTTACATCATTCTCCTCCTCCTCCATCTTATCCCCACAACAACAACCCTGTGAGGTAGGTTGGGCTGAGAGTCTGTGACTGGCCCAAAGCCACCCAGTTGGCTCCATGGCCAAGCGGGGACTCGAACCCAGATCGCCTGAGTCCCAGTCCCATGCTCTTAACCACCACACCACACTGGCTCTCCTGTGATGAGGCCTAGAACTGGGAACTGTTTAATGTTATGCATCTTAATTAGGCTCAGGTTTACAGGAATGTCTATAGGAATGATTCGGGGATAAACTCCACTGCCATTTGCTCATAAGACCACATGCCTGTGGCAAAGGATCAGAAGGGCCAGCCCTTCCTTTGCAATCCTCCATGCCTCAATGCAGAGGCAACCCAAAGAAGCAACTAACACTTCATACTAATTTCTCGTACCGTGTTTCCCCAAAAATAAGACCTAACTGGAAAATAAGCCCTAGCATGATTTTTTCAGGATGCTCGTAATATAAGCCCTACCCCAAAAATAAGCCCCAGTTAAGATTGTCAGCCAGACGGACGGGGAAACACGGTAGAATGTTCATTGCAACACACAATAAATGTATTTGAATTATAAAAGAATAATGTTAATATATCATTAAACATAAATAAATAATATTATCGGCATTAATACTTAAAATAAATTATAATATACGTAATAATTAAGTATTTGTAAATACCAAAGTGGGTGCCTTTGGAGGAGAGGTAAATGCCTATGCAAACAGATGAACGTGAGACTTATTGCCGAATGACCAACCAGAGTACAGACACAACGCACAAATAACGTCAATACGCCGCGTGCTGTAACGGAAGTACTTAATGCATGGATGCAAAATGCAAGATGGGTGCAAAAAGAAAGAGCTCTTCCGTCAAGTACAAGAGCGGAATCGTGGAGGACTCTCAGGGCAAGAATCTTACGGCTTTCATATGAAAAAATTAGACACCACCTGAAAATAAGCCCTAGTGCATCTTCTGGAGGAAAGATTAATATAAGACCCGGTTTTATTTTTGGGGAAACATGGTAGGTTGTGCAGCATCCCCTACACACGCTAAATCAGTGCCAGCGTGCCCGTCCCTAGTTGGCGCCGACGGGTCGTATTCTCAGCTGAGCAAGGGCTGAAGGGCACAGTGCTGGCTCCACTTGGACACTCCTGCACACACGGGGGGGGGGGGCACAGGTGAAGGACCCTCATCTGCCCCCACTGGGAGCAGCAGCAGGTGCTTAGGCTGAGCTGCTGCAGGTGGCAGCGTTTCTCTCCGCCATTTCTCTCCGCCTCCCTTTCTGCACTGGAGGAAGCAGCTGAAGTGCTTGAGAAGGGGAGAGGTTGGCCAACACCCCTCTCACTCTTCACACAGGAGGAGAGGCAGTTAAAGATCCCTTCGCCTCTGTTTATGCTTGGAAGACAGGGCTGCTGACAATCCTGGGGAGTGTTTCCCACTTTGCTGGAGGCCAGACAGGAAAGCCTTGGAGGGTTCAATTCGACCTTTCCCTTCTGTACAGCGTTCCGCTTCCAAAAAGTCACTGGATGTTACATCCTCTGCATGCACATTTTGTTCTGGCCCATCCTCTGTTTATGTCTCATCAATGCTTCCAACATACCTGCAGGTTTTGTAAGAAGTTTCCTGCTGTCATCAGTGTCAAGGAGGCCTGCCATGATGGAACGGTGCAGTTTCTCTCCAGGTCCACTTTGACTGTGTTGACTCTCCTCTGAAACAGCAGCAGCACGCAGTCCATGATCCGCATGATCAGATGAGGAGGTCGCCCCAAGGTGCGGACCGTGGCGATGTCTGCCGGCTTGATAGTCTAGAGCATTGAGAAAGAGCGGGGTTAGGAACTGCCACCAATTTCCTAGCATTAAGTCCCTGTTAGGTGCTCATCTAGTCCTCTGCAGAAAGGCCTTTAGATTAGGAATGTGTAAGGGATCCACTTTGGGGGTGGGGATCCATTGGGATCCCTGGCTCGGTTCCCCAGACTCTGTCCCACTTCCTCACGGACTTGAGACTGACTTGGCATTCATTGCGTTGAACAGGCATCCATGGAAACACTCCACAAGCAGCATCCCTCTTGCACACACATGACTTGGGCCTTCGTTTGTGCCGCACATGTTGAAGAAGAAGGTTGGTGGCTGTACAACCGGACCTTCAGGAGCATGTGCAGTCAACGACTCAGCTCAGCTCACCTCCTAAGTGAGGGCCGAGCGTGAGAAGTCCAGTGAAGACGACGGGTGGATTCCAGAGAGGATCGTTGCACCCTCACCTCTAGACCATTAAGAGAAATGCCCTGGTTTCAATTATTTTGTCATAAGATCGGAGATCAGCAGCTTCTGGTCCTCCAGAAGGTATGGCAAGTTCTGTCAACCCTAGCCAGCATAGCCAGTGGTGGGACTTGAAGTCCAGTGATACTGCAAGGTCTCTGGCAGGACCAGGGCCGGAGAGGCAACCCTGCAAGTGTCTGCCGCAACAGGAACAGGTGCTTGCAGGGAACAGCTGAGAGGTGGTCAGGTGGTGTGGTGGGTCTCTGGAAACCAACATAAAATGCCTCTCTGCATTGCTGCTTTCTGCCACAGCAGTGCAAGCGGTCCTCACAACTCTCGGCACTCTGGCTCTCCACGTCTCTGCGCTTCGCTCCACATTCCAGCCCAGTTCCGGGGTGCCTACCTCTTTCCTGCTCTGCTCCAGTTGTTCCCACCTTGCTCCAGTTAGTCCTTGCCTGGATCCAGCCCATCCCTACCTTCCTCCTGGAGAGCTCCCGCCTGCTCCCTCAAAATCTCAGCCACCTGCACCTAAGTGCTCTCCCAGCTTTCGAGCTCTGCACTGCACCCGCTCTCTTGTGGCTGATCAGACTGCCCACTTCCTTGTCTTCCATCCTGACGGTGGGCTGTGTTGCCAGCCTCTGGCTCTACAAAGGAGACCCTGTGGAGTCCCGTTTGCCCAGCGTTTCCCACCACTGCATAACACGGACAGGCAACCAGTCTCCTGAAACAGGGGATCTGCCCAGGCCCTTTGAGATGACACCTTAAAGTGTTTTGTCTTGCTGATGCAGGGAAGATCCTGTGCTCAGATAATGGGAATATTAATTTCTCCCTGTGATGGATAGGACAGGGGCATGAGGGCACAAACCCGCTCCCCATCGCTCATGGAGCACCACTCCTGAGAGGCAAACATCTGAACGGGACCAGAGAATACCCTTTTCACTCATCTGGCACTAACCTGCAAAGCAGCCTCGGCTTCTTCTAAAGCAGGTTTGGCAGCTCTGAGCTTTTCTTCGGCAATCGCTTTGTCTGCCGAGATGCTGTCTACGATAGCCTGCGCTTTATCCTTCACTTTCTGAACTTCGGCCTTCACCTTTTCGGCAGCCTGTGCCTTCACGGTGACTTCTTTTAACACCTACGGAGGAAAAGGAGCACCAGCAGAGTGGTATGTGCAATTACTTCAGAAATCCTCAGTGCACATGGTCTTTCATGATGGGTTCATGAGCTCACACAGCTGCTCCCGTTGCAATGATCAAGCAGAGGGCAGACTGTTTTCCCGCAGAAATTTCCCCATTAGCCGAAGAAGGGAGATCAAAGACATCCTTACCATATCGGCTTTTTCATTGGCAACCTGGAGTTCCTTTTCCTTGGCTTCCAGCTCTCTGCTCAAAGCCGCCACTGACTCAGATGCCTCTTTCAGCTTCTCCAACCCGGTCTTCATCCTGCAGTTTAACATGTAGAATAATCCATTTTTCTGAAGTCCCAACAGGGTCATAATCCCCCCCCCCCCGCTCCCAAAGCAGACCAGGGGTGCTGGGAGATGTCACCATCAAATGCCAGTTCTGACATTTTGAAAGCAACCATTCCTAAGCTTTGTTTTTCTTTGATCTAAAGAGTTCTTTCAAAAATCCTGGGGGGGGGGGAACAGGGATGGGGAAGATGAGTCTGCAGAAAATGCAAACATTGTTTCTTCGACTGAGTGCAGCCTCACCATGCCAGCCACCTGCTTGCACAAGGAGGTAAGAGCGACTGTGCCCAAACAGACAATCGTTTGGATATGCCAGGTGCGGAGGGTCAATTTCAGCCAGAGGCAATGGCATCTGTGTGCCAACAGGGGGCAAGTGGTGAAGCTCTACTGGTGAGCACCTCCTCACATGCACACCCCTCCCTGGCTCAATGGACTGGCACAGGTCATTTTCATTCCCATCATAGCGTACTGGCTGAAGCCTCCCCACACAGCACACCATGAAGGATATGAACATGGGTCCCACGATTGCCTGGCAACAGTGAAACATGCATTGGTAACTTCCTGATTAGACTTCTGTAACGCGTTCTACGTGGGGCTGCCCTTGAAGACGGTCCGGATACTTCAATTAGTGCAAAACAGAGCTGCCAGGTTGCTGACGGGGACTGGGCATTGTTCTCATATAACCCCAGTCCTCCGTCAGCTTCGCTGGCTTCCCATTGAAGTCCGGGCCCAATTCAAGGTGTTGGTTATCACCTACAAAGCCCTCAACAGCTTGGGTCCTGGTTACCTAAAGGAGCGCTTGTGTCCATATATGCCCTCCCGCCCCTTGAGATCAGCTGCAGAGGCCCTTCTCCGGGAACCCTCCGTGAAAGATATTAGGAGGCAAAGTACCCGGAGGAGGGCCTTCTCTGCGGAGGTGCCCTGCCTATGAAATGCACTCCCCAGAGAGGTCCGCCTGGCGCCATCATTATTTGTTTTTCAGCACCAGGCCAAGACCTTTTTATTTAAAAGTTATTTTAATTGTTAATTATTGATTGTATTTATTGGGTTTTTATACATGTGCCGAGATGTTTCCAGATTTTTAAGGTTAATTATATTATTGTTTATTTATTTTGTAAGCTGCCCCAAGGCTTTTTGTGATTGGGGCGGCATAGAAATGTTCTAAACAAATAAAATAAAATAAAATAAAATAAAATAAAATAAAATAAAATAAAATGGGTCCCCCTCCAATCTTTAACTGACCTATGATGGTCCACTGAGATGCAGAGAAGATCTGATTCAGCTCCTAGCTTAGCCACTGGCTCAAGGGGTGCACCTTGAGGCCACCTTTCCTCCAGGAACTCCTCTAATGGGGCATGGCTTGCAGGGAGAAGGCATGGCCTCATCTGAAGGAGGCCAAAGCAGGAGGACTGGAGGGCCAAACCACTCAGCAAGCCACCCAGAGATTATCCACCACCAAAATCGTTCATCTACAGAGCAGGCAGAGTAATGCCCAGTCACTCATATCTCGTATAAGTGTGAACAATGTACCTGTTGGCCAAAGTCTGCACCTCAGCATGTTTTTCTTTGTATATAGCTTTATACCCCTGAATAAAGGACAAGTAAGACTTGGGGGTCACATGTGTTGAGCGGCGATATCTCTGGAAATATTCGACACATTTCTCAGCCACTCCATCCTGGAAGGAACCCATGCACTGCACCATCTCATTTTTTATCTCATCAGTGCAATCAACTTTATAGGCAGACAAAAAATGTCGAGAGACTACAACGAGAAGAGAATTTAACATGATTAGTGTTAAGGGCCTGATATGTTGAACACAGAAGATGCATTTCCACGAACTTGAGTGCTTCCACACAATGTGGGTTCATCATCCTTTAGGTCAAGGGACTTATGAGCCAAAGTCCAAATTATGATGGGAGGGGGAGAAAGGGAACCCACCCAATTGCTCCTGTTCAGATCGAGAAGCTATCCTGAGCATCTCTCCAAGACAGAGGAACTCTCCTTTCTTCTCAACAACCAATCCCCCATCTCTTGACAACCTGTCCTGATATTCTTGTTTGACAGACATGTCCCAACTCTGTGATTTCTCATGAGCCACCCATCCTTGGGTGCACAGCTCTGCTTCAGGAACACTTTGCCCCCAGTGGTTGCACACTGATGACTATCTCCTTGACCATCAGAGCTTTTTTAGCCCAGAGGCAACCATACGGCTCTCCAAATAACTGAAAGCCAGGCCAGGCTAATTCAGGATGTTGAATAAGTGACCTTAAATATCTAATACCTGTTTGGGCTCCCCAGACTTTATTTTACACGTTATTATTCCTGTCTTTTTCAAATTTGTGTGTCAGAGGGCTCTCTATCATCCCAGAAGTGAGACTTGCCTTTTTTCACTGCTGGGTAATCCTGCTTTTGTAATTATTGGCTAGTTATGCTAGTACTTGTGTCTTCGTGGGATTAAGAACTCTTGGGCAGAGAGAACATGTGAGTGGGTCTTATCTATTTTCAGAATCTTCAGCTCTCACAAGGCATTCATTTTAAGGAAAAGATCCAATTATGAAACAGGTTTTATGTATGCTTTCTCTTTCACTAACATTTCACATGTGCACTGACAAAACTCTCTGGCACTTTAATATATATAATATAATATATATAATATATATAATATTATATATATATATATATAATATATATTGAATATATCACAGAGAGCCCAAGTGAAATGCAAGGAACATACTGCTTGCCTTGTAAATGTGTGTTTGTAGTAAAGATGAAATCAGTAGCTTATGCATTCATAGGAATTCCTCAACCTCTTAAAAGTTTGAGGCACAACTTTATGTCAAAAACTAATAAATATAGATGTCAAAGGCAGTGCAGACTCATTTGCAGGAAGAAAACATGATCTGAAGCAAGCTTGTTTCACTGTATGTGCAGTCCTTGTTATGTTGAAGCCATGAGCAATGTTTCCACTTTTGTAAACAACTAGAAGAACAAAGGACCTCAACTCACCTGCAACAAGAGCATCTTTAGGCCAACGACTGAACCAATCTATAGTACAACCTGAAATAAGGGCAGGGAATTTCAAAGCTCGGTTTCGGAATTTTTCACCCACTGGCGAAAAGCAGAGAACTACATGAAGGTTCTGATGGACTCTACTCATGAAATAATCGTATAAATTCTCAGTGGTTGGAGGCCGACGTGGATGCTCCTTCTTCATAACTGGTATGAGATCACCAGTAATGTCATCTATTTCATCACGGGCAAACAAGTTTGAGACCTTGGTGGGGGAGGGGTTAAAGAAAAGGTGAGCTGATATATCTCAGGTACAACCAACCATCAAAAGATTACAGGGGAGATCCTACGCAGGTTTAGATGGGGGGGGGGACCCCATCCTGCATCGCCCATGCTGTCTGGGAAACACTGGAAGTCGTATGACTTTTTTCTGTCTAGGCTTTTCTCCTAAATAATTCTTATTTAATTCTCTGCTTCCTAATGGATTGACTACCACTGTTCATTTATATAATGCATACATTATCCCCAAAGACAACAGAACCATCCTTTTGAGATAGTGAAGGTGCTGACATTGTTCGTTTTCCTTTTCATTCCACCGTATGTTAACATGATAGAACTGGCATATCTTTTTAAAAAGCACCTGTGTTTCCAATATCTCCAGCACATACATGTTTGCCCTCACTGCATCCCACCCAATGAGGCTTACTTCCAAGTCAGTATGCATAGGATTAAAATTAGATCAGCTAAAGTTATAGGACTTGATCCTTGGCAGAGTTACTTTTCCCTGGGCCTGATTTCCTAACAAGTGTGCTTGAGAATGCAGCCTTAATGGCTTGATCCAATATTAAATGCTTCTTTTCCTCAATTTAAATCAAGTGCTCAGTCTGCTATTGGCTAAAAGCATTCACTCATTGGTTCCCTCTCCCTGCTGTTTGGACACTCAAGGGGCAGGAAGGGGTGAAAAATAGAAAGCCAGAAGGAGGAAAGACAATTCCTGCCTCGCCTGATGACAGGACATTGTTCATGTACTCCAAGAAGGCCTCATCTTTTATCTCATTGTCTGTAAAAATGAAGGTGATCCCTTTTCCTTGTTGCCCTGCAGTCCTATACAGATGCTTCAGGTCTTCCATCAAGTTGGAGGTGTTGTAAGACCTAGAAAAAAGCAAGAACAAGGCAGTCAGAAATGACTGGCACTCCCTTTGGCTAAGAAAACTCTGCCACAAAATCATTTTTAAGTTTTCTTTGCCTAGGCCATTCCAAAGTGCAATTTTTTTTAATGGCCACAAGAGTTAAAAATCACACTCTTATGCAAGGCTACTCAGAAGTGAATCCCATGCACATTCACGCTTCAGTAAGGGCAAATAGAACTGAAGCTTTGCCCAGAAAATCTAAACAAGCCTACCCAAAAAGCAATCCCATCGGCCACAGCTTTGAACTTGCAAGAGCTGGAATGTCATGGACAGGGCATTTTGAAGATCTTTTATTCATTTGCAGACTTGTTTTTTTTTTTTTTTAACATTCACCCATCTTTGGAGAGGCAAGCAAGTTTTTACGAGAACTGAGCTAAAAGCTTGTGTAGACCTATTTGCAAGATAGCATTAGGTGTATTCCTAAACGGTACTCTTGTGCTTATATATAATATACATGGCTGTCCAAGGTATTTTAGCAGTCCTTTGGTGTCCTGCTTAACCTGGAAGAGGAGGAGAGCAAAGATTAAGAGTTCCTCTTCTGCATGAGGACTTCTAGAGCACAGTTCAGGATGGGCAATTCATGGCCCTCCAGATGTGGACTGGCAGTCCCACGATTTCTCACCATGGATGATGCTTGCTAGGCATGAGGGAAGATGTCTGCCAGAACATCTGGCAGGCCACAAGTTGCCCACTCCTGAGTTAGGCACAAACTTAGACTAACGAGGCTGTAACAGTGCTCCCGCTCTGGCAAGAGACGTACTTGGCACAGTCTGAATTTACCACCCACTGTAAGTCTTGACAATACTTCACACTGTGGAGCACTTGGGGAAAGAAAGCTTTGGAACACAACCACTGCAGAAAGGGCTTTTTCATAACCGCCATTATATTTCAAGCTGCCTACCTTGTTAACGTGATCTGGAATATATCATAGCCGGCTATGAATGATGCCAATTTAGTCAAACTCTGCTTTCCGGACCCACCAACTCCAACGAGCAGTGCATTTCCACGGGGTGTGCGGATCACACGGGAGATCTGCACAACACAGTAACTCTTTTGTGAGGCATGCAATGGCTTGAGGCAGTGTAGAGAAAAATCACCGGAAGACTATTGTATATTGAGGAGTTAGGGTAGTGTGACACAATTGCCTTCTATTCCTACCTTCAATGTCTTTCTAAGCTGCTTGCTGACCTTGGAACCATCCTTATCATTGTGAGAGCTGCAGACAGCAGATGCAGCTAATGAACTGTTTTGAATAGCACGTAGTTTTCTACAGCACGTAACACTCTAAGATTTGGGATAGAGTGGCTAATGCCCAGGCGAGCTCTGGTGTGAGATCTAGCTGAGCGAGGAAGGTGCTGCACATACCAGCCAAAATTAGGGCTTTTTCCTTGCCGCTTGTGAAATGGGGCTCCCGACGGCTGATAGAGGAAAGCCAGCTTATTCTGGTATAGTATTTCCTTTTTCCAGGTTATTATGTCTGTTTACATTATTGTTCCTGGTTTAGAATAACATCTCTAGACTTTAACACCCCCTGTGTGCTCATTGCTTCTGGATCCAAAAGAACCTCTTGCCTTTGGCAAAACAGGCAGAGCAGTAAACGGAGATGAAAACATGGCATTTGCACAGGAACAAAACTAAAGACCTTTTTATTTAAACAATTATTTTAACAACTTTGAATATTATCTATAGGTTTTAATTTTACAGCCAGGGTGAATCCGGATTTTATGTGCACTATTTATATCTATATAGTTGTTTATTTATTGCATGGAAGCCGTCCCAAGGCTCATGCGAATGGGACAGCATACAAAAATTCTAAATAAATAAATAAGACAAAAAGTTGGGAAGGTGTTTTCGACATTCTATGGAGTCCTTTCTTCATTAATTTTCGAGGCAGAGGGTGAAGTGCATTGAGAAGGAATGAGAAAGCATAGCATCCCACTAGCAAAAGTGCCAAGAGTGGCAGGGCTTTTGCCCAAAGCTCTCTAATCATTCCCAACATCCCTGCCAGGTTCAGGGAAACCAGCTAGTCCGCATGGGCATTTCCATGGTTGCTTTTCTCCCCCGTGCAGACCGAGGTGAAGGCCTTCCAACTTTGATGCTAATAGCTGAGGCTGGCCTTGTATGCAAAAGAAGAATATCACAGAAGCTGTTAACAAAAGCAAAAAGCAAAGTCAAAATGCTGGCCATTAGGGAAATGGGGATTCATGCTCAGGAGCTGATTCCAAACTGCATACCTCTCCTCAGGTCCAAAGCATGTGGAAAGAGCACACCACAGCTTCAAGGTGGGTGGGCACTCCTGTTTCAGGGCCAATAGCCTGGAATAGCCAAGACTTCTCAGCTGCTCTGTCCTCATAACCTGACATGGTATCAGATTAATGACATTTGGTCTGCCAGCTTCCCCTTTACGATGCTCGCTAAATTTCCCCTAGAATTTGAAACTGTCTGATTCTCAGGGACTGCCTGGCTCATCTCTGAAGCCATTGTCCTTGTCAGTTTAGTTGGGATTCTGGCCCCTCCTCTTCACCTGATTCATGAGCTTTGAAGGGTCTTTTATAGGAGTGGGCCTAGTCCCTACCAATATCGACAAAGCTAAAACTAGCCATGAATTCTCAGGGTGGCGTATTTGTGGGAATAACACCCTGCAAAGACCATGCTGGGTGATCCTCCCTGGTGGAATGCTGTGTCATACAGACCAAGGAAGCATCACGTTCAAATGTTTGTACTCATACTTCCATTCCGACAGAAACCTACAAGTTAATTTTTAAAAGTTCCCCCCCAAAACATGTATTAAAATTCTGACACATAGTTGGGCCGCACAACTGGCATTGCCCTGCAACCACAAGGCAGGTTTTAAGCCCAAAAGCAGGTCATTGTGTGTCTGCTGCAGGGCATCTGAGTGAGACCTGGGTGGCACAGTATGTGAGCATGGGAAGAGTTCCAGTGAAGCGACAAGGAACCCTGCCTACAGTCCCCTTTCGTCTGCTGCGCAAACAATGAAATAGGCACCTTTGCATCAGTTCTGTTCCTTATGCCATCCAATGCTAATAGTTCACCAGCCCTCAAAACTTTGTGCTAATGGGTACAACTTTGTGTGCAAGAAGAAGCTGGCACTTGCTAATACAACCCAAACAACTTACTGAAACTACCACTTCTGCAAGCAAAGAAGTCTGTGGAGCTGCTTCCACAAACTCCATAAGCAGTATTTTCTGCTAGATTTCTTCCTGGCAGGTAGACCAGGCATCTACCTGCCGGTTACAACCTTCTGCATTTCATATCCAAGAACTATAGGCACAAAGAATTGGGATGCTAGCAGCACCTCCTGGAGCATTTTAGATACTGCAGTCTAATCAAGGCTTCATCCAGAAAGGTCTAGCTTTTTCACGAGTTCCACTTTCAGCCTCATCACTGATACATATATAAAATTGAAACATATATGCAAACCTAGTTCAGCTCACTTGAAAAGATTCAGACTAAAGAATTCCCAATCTAAAGCAATTCCCTTTGTCCACTAGTACCTTTACTAAATGAATCATGGCATCTTCAAAAAACACCAAATCCATTCCTGTCCCACGGATGCTCTCATTGTAGATTTGCAAGAACATGTTCAAACGGTCCTTCAGGAGATCAAAAGATTCAGAGGGCTCATATACTTTTGGCATGTCAGCTTCGGCTTCCTGCGGCTCTTCTCCTGTGACAAGAAATGTCTGCTCAGTCATTCTTCCAATTAGGTGCAAGGGCTGATCTTTTTGCATCGGTTCGCTTTTGTATATCTTCTAACAGAAAGGTCTTCTCCTGCCCTGAGGTATGGAGACAGACACTGCTAGTCCAAATGGAAATGATAATTTCACACTGATGAAGGGAAATGTGATAGCAATGATAACAGTGGTAACTACAGTGCCAGGATGGGGGAGTTTGTCCTTTGAGGGCTGCATTTCCCTAGAGATGACCATTTGGGAGCTGCAAGGCAGAAGAAGGCAGTCAGGAGATGGAAGGATCTCTTTGGTCAGAGAGCTCAACTGGGTGTTTGCGGAAGGCTTTTGAAATTAGGCAGCAGCTACATGTGGACCTGAGCCCAGAGGCCACCCACCTGAGCTGCAGAACAGCCTTCCCCAACCTGGGAGTCAGACCAGATGGCCCAGGAGACCCCTTCTGACTCACTCTGTTTCTATGGTGCCTTCCAGATGATTTGGATTTCAGTTCCCATCAGTTCCCATCTAGCATGGCTAATTCTAAAGACAGTCATTCAAAACAGTTGAAGGCCACCAGATCTACTAGACTGCTCCATGCAAAATTCAAGAGGTTAATACAACTAATTAGCATGGAAAGTATATTCAATACATGCAAATAATAATCTCCACTGTTACTGGCACAGCACGGCTAAACCTGAGCTTTAAGAATCTGCTTGAATTTTCATTACTGTTAACAGTGTTTCAAGGAGCTTTTGTTGCGTCACGGCTATTTTGTTCTACTACCTTGCTGGGAAAATTACACGTCTAATTTGTGGCTTAAATCGGATGTCTTACAAGTGGACTTCCCCATCCTGTCCTTTTCTCAGAAGCCTCCCAAACACATGTGCACACATCAAACTGCGCTAAAGGACCCCACAATGCTCTGGAGAAGGCGGTGCTTAACAAGGAAGGGCAAATCCCTTCCATGGTTCTGCCGGCCAAGGCGCATCACTAGATCCAAGTTGGTGTTTGCAGCAATTTATTAACTGAAAAATAGCAAATACTTTGCATCATTTAGGATTAATTAAACCTCTTCTGGGTGTTTGCACTTCAACTGTAATATCAGAATTGTTTATTTCAACTTTTTATAGCTACCATTATACATTTGTTAATACTGCATTTTTCATAATTTTGGTTATTTAATTACTTCTATAAAATATTAATCTAAACTTGGGGCATCATATTATTATTAGTTTAAACAACCATCAAACAGAATAAAAGATGATTGAAGATTTCATAAAACTTAAAACAAACAAGCCCAGGCAGTCTGGAAGGATTTCAAATTGAACTTAAGTATGTATAAAAATTGTGTTTCATTTTGATTTTTATGAGAATTTACCCATCTATCAGATCCAACACCCCATCCGCCCACCTTTCTGCTCAAACACAGATTTGGACAAAATCTTCAGTCAAACTCTCCGCATTCCTAAACATGCAATGTGATCCATAGACCAAAACAAATGTAACATTTTGCATCCATTTGAAAATGCAATGAAAGAATTCATACTTTTGAAAAATGTGTACAATTGATTGGAGAGCTATACATTTCAAAGATATGCAGAACTGATGAATACGTTTAGAAAATATGCACAAATATGCATGAATTTTCACATAAAAAGTGGGGGGATCTTAAAATCTGATACAGAATCTAGGCAGAACAAGCTTTGAGACAGAATTTGGAGAACTTCATGAGTATGAGCCCGTACTTTGCTGAATCCCACTTCCCAAGTTGAATTATTGTTTTTGTACATGCAAGTCATGCCCTTGATGTTCACTTCAACTTGGAAGAATGAGCCGGTTCACTTCTAGTTCAACTGCTCCTCAATTTTACAGCATCAGCAACTCCACATACTACGATTTGCTGGAGTTTTGGAGCAATTTTGAGCAGCACAAATACTGAAGAAAGGATAATGGCTTTTTCCAGACATACTCTCTAAGTTCAAAGAGAACATCTCTTTGTTCTATATACTATGCATTGTTTGCATGTTAAAGCTTACTACATAACGTCATTTATATAAAAGCAGAACCTGATTTGTCATAAACAGTCGATGGAAATGAATCCTATAATCAGTTGCTTTTGATGCATGCAAAAAAGCACTAATGTTACTGTTAATTGAACGTATTAAGTTCATCTCAGAAGCTGAATCGAACATTTCATGCTATTATTTAAAGCAGCTTATAAACATTTTACAGCATAAAATTATGCAAACAAATGTGTTCTGATTTTATTTCTGCACAGGAAAGGCTTTTTAAAAATGCCATTCAAGGAATACTTCAAACTTGTAAGGTTTGGTGTAATATTTTAAATTCATTGTGACAAATGTATTGAACAGTTACCTTTCCCTATATGAGGAAAGCTCATTAGGAAACTGAAGTATTTACATTTGCTAAACCGTCAATCAGTGCTTAATTGCAGCCTGGACAGCCTGCAGTTTCAGCTAACAAGATGAAGGTTTTTTCAGCCAAGCATGGGACGTGCTTAAGTTATTTTGTGTTAAACTACAGTTGTTTTAAAGCAGCAACAACAAAAAATGGCCACTATCTTGTGAACACTTTGACATGCTCAGAGGCACTGGTTTCTATGGAACTAAACATGCACAGCTGGGTACACAGCACAAGCCCTTAAAAGACCAATCTGTGGTTTCTAGCTAACTCAGGCGTCTGTAAGCTTACCTTTTATAGATCTGTCCTTCTCCAGACCTAGTTTGAAATAAAATGGTTTTCCTTTTTAGGAAAGCAGGGTGGGAAACACAGTCTTTTCCCCTGCTGAGGACTTTTTGCGGTTCTTTCACTGAATTGGTTCTACAGCTGTTGAGAACTATCAGGAAACACCCATTCTAGTGCAGAATTTTAGCAGGAAGATTATACTGGAGCAGGAAATGCACGGCTCAAGCTTATGCATGTTGGCTTAGAAGGCAATTCCACTGAGTTCTGCTGGGTGCTACTTCCAAGTAAGCGCACAGCGAATTAGACTGAAATCCCAAACACACTTAGGTGGTACGTATCACTGAATCCACATGGACTCAATTCTCTGTAAATGTTCCTTCTCACACTTAGACAATTAGCAGTCATTTAAATCCCCCACCAAAGCTTCCTGAAGTTACAGACAGTTCACAGAAAGGAATGCTGCAAAAATTTGCCATTACTTTCACCATGCTTTCCAATTCTATAGACTACATTCCTACGAATTATCAGCCGTGATTTTGAACTTTGCTCTTTTTGCACTCTGATTCCAATATTCAAGTAAAAATACATGAGCATTCAAGCCTGAGCATGCATGTATAATATTCAGTGTTCCTGTCAGTGTAGCAAAGTGCATGAAAAATGTGTGCTTTTGAAAATGTACAAATATGCTTTCATCCATGAAAGAAAAATGCATATATTTCAAAGATATACACAACTGATTGGAAAAGATTGGAAAATATGCAGAAACATATGCCCAGTTTTTCATGGAAGAAGAAAAATGAACGACACTTGCAGACAGGGAATTCTGAGAAGCTCGGAGGACTACAGTGAGCTCGAGCTTGGCTGATTCATTATCTCTGTCTGTCCAAGACGAGAAGTCTGTGTACATGCTGGGGCATCAACTTATGTTCCTGGAAGCAGGAGAGCTGTGGGAAATGAAATGGGTCTAAAATATAGGGAGATCAGATACAAAAGGGGAGGGCAAGTTTCAGATGCTTTCAAGAGTTGTGTAGCACACCAAATTCTCCAGCTCGACTTGCCATTATTCCCTCGCAGAAGAGTTAGGAGTAGCTACACTCCTACACCCATATTCCATTTCAGAGGAGGTTTTGGGGGCAGCAGTCCAGGGAATTTGGGCAGAAACAAAGTCAAAAGGGAAAGGGACAAAAATAGCAGCTTATTTTTACTTAAAGCAATTCTTGCCAGCCTTCCTGCTGGAAAGTAAGCCACAGGAGAGCTGTTGCTAACTTTTAGGGCAGGGGAACTGCACAGAAGCTGGGGAACCATGAAACGTTTGGTGTTTGGGTGATCTCAGCAGGGCCAGAGGGAGGCATCATGGCCTCCTCTGGAACCTTGTGAGCTGGATCAGGCCTGCCTGCAGTTCCACACGCCTGCACGCCTCCATTTCCAAGGACGTCAGAGGAGCCTGTGCCAGATTCTAAGCAGCTCACTTCATACTGGATTAGCAGCTTCTGCTGTACAGGAAGCTACCTGATGCCAAGTCCGTCTAGACTGGTGTTGTCCACACCAGCTGGCAATCGCCTCCAGGGACCTTCCGCAAGCAAGACCTTCCGCTGTGCCATGAGAACTGCAGAGGCTGGGAAGAAGCTTCATGGTACTCCTATGCTCTCTGAAATTCTCTTGCTAGCCTCTTTTAAAGCCTGGGTCCCTTCCTCCCAGAATGGCTGCCACAAAGCACAGATGCCAAGATCAGCCAAGCAATTACTTGCCACTGTCTGCATGCTGTATTTCTGGTCAATGCATGAACATGTGCTTTACTCTTCCTGGGTGATTTCTTACAATGCAGGGGGAAAGAGCTTTAGAATTTCCTTATCATTACTGCACATTCCCTAGCTAAGGCACGGTATACAGTATAACCATACTTTTTTGCTACAATTCTAAATTCACTTACTGGAAAGGAAGTCTTACTGAATACAATAGAAGCTACATGAATATGGTCATTCTCTGCTTCCTCACATCCACCACTCCAGCCTGCCGTCATCCTATTTAATTCTCTTACAGACATTTCCAATCCAAGGGCAATTAGCTTTTCTTAGGTCCCTTGTGTCAACAGATAGTTTCACCTTTAGATGTTTACCTGTAGCTTCAGGGGCATCTCTTAAGAAGTCCACAAAGTAGGTGTCAATTTTGGGATCTACCAGTGCCTTTGCATCACTACCAAATTCCCCTTCAATGAGTTTTGCCAGCGTGAGATCAAACCAATCCACATCCTCGGGGGCTATAAAACGGTCAGCAATAACACGCTTACATTCATGCTTCCATAGTTTTATGAGTACCTGTTCAGAGGTAAACAGAAAGAAAGGGAATGCGAGTGCTGCTTTTTGTTACATTTTGCAACATCCAAACATGCACAGAATTTATTTCTAAGAGAATGTTGGACACACTACAAGAACGTGTTGAGAGGGCTTCATTTCTCCTTTCTGATTTCCAAGATATACAAGACAACAGCACAAATCTCTTATCTCTAAACATGTCTTTCTTTCATGTGGATGCTGACCCGCACCAAACAGAATCCCTTTATGAGAGAGACAACACGTTTCCAGAACCATCAACTGCTTAACCTATCTATCTTCTTCCTGCCTCCTGTTTGTTTCCCTGATCTAATGCTTTGGGCAACTACTTAGATGCCTTCCTCCAAACTGCACAATCCCAGCCAACTGGGAATCTTGCAGGCAGTGTGATGCTTTAACAAAGCCAGTTCCGGCTGATGGCATGTGTGTCTATCAGGGAGGGAGCAGGATGATTACCATGCCACAAGGCTATTCGCCCAATCTGCAAAAGCGTTGAAATGGCGCTTTGTGCAAAGCACGAAGTAGAAATGCACACGGAATACTCACAGGACGTGATCGCACTCCGTTTCGGTGCTGTGTGGCTGATGCTACAGCGATGTGAGCGGAGGGGAGGCACCAGCTCAAGTACTTCAACCCACCGTTGGAAGCGCATTCTGCCCAACCTCCCCGCCACCCAGCACTCCAACTGCTCTGGGCTCTCCTACTTCCTGACACAAGAAGAGGGCAATCCTTGACTTGTGTTAATGCACGAGGAGCATTTCATCTGGAGTAAACTCCTTTTTTAGGTGCAGAACCTTTTTTGAAGGTCACAGTAGTGGTTCTTGTGGTATTTCCAACCATGGTCTAAATTGCTGATTTCAACTTGTAACGCCCAAGGTGGCTTGGGACAAGGGCATTCACAGGGCCACCATTTCCCATCCTTCCCCAGTGACAAGACCAGCCTCTGAGGCCTGGCTCCATGTCCCACGCCCTCAGTGCCAAGGGGAGTGGTAACGAAAGAGAGGGCCTCAGCACCTGTGGCACCCACCCCATGTGCGCCATCCCCACCCAGGGAGCTCTGGCTTGATGGTTTTCATCTCAGCACCAGGTAAGAACCTCCTGTTTCTTTGCTCAGGCCTTTTAGATACTGTAGGAAGGACACTGGAGCTTTAGAGATAGTTCATGGTGTTCTGCTGCCTTCATTTTTATCCTGATTATTTGTGATGTTGTTGCTGCATTTGTAACTTTGTGTTTTATGAAAGCTGGGCTTTCACCAAAGAGCAACTAATAAGGATTTCAGAGAAAGTTTAGTAGCCAAGTTGATGCTGTGGCCAACATAAATTACATGCCATGGGCACAAATGACTTCAGGGAAAGCTGTCACACCAGCTGGTGCTGTTGTGGTTAAGTTCCAGGTTCTTTGTGCTACTGCTACATGAGCAGGAGTGTTGCTTTGGAAGCTGCCCAAATAAACCAAACAGAAGGGCCAAAGATTTTATTTTTTATATTTATTTTTTCAATTTATAGCCTGCCTTTTTCCTACAAAGGGCTCAAGGCAGCTTACATCATTCTCCTCCTCCATCTTATCCCCACAACAACAACCCTGTGAGGTCTGAAAGTCTGCGACTGGCCCAAGGTCACCCAGTTGGCTCCGTGGCTGAGCGGGGACTCGAACCCAGATCATCTGAGTCCCAGTCCCATGTTCTTAACCACTACACCACACTGGCTCTCCATATTAGAAAGAATAGAAAGATTCTGTTCTATTGCATTACAGGTAATGTGTGTTTGCCTCTTTGCTTCATGGGGAGGGGTTACTTGCTTCTGAAAGGGACTGGGAGAAAGAGGGGGTGTCTGCCTTCCCCTGCCAGCTGTTTTTCTCTGAGTCCCTCCTGCAAGTTGGTCTTAACCACACAAGTGTACTGGACCACAATTTACATCTGTTCCAAGATTTCATTTAAACACTTATTAATCTGAACCACAGCATCCAATTTAATGATGTACTGCATTTATGAGTCCGCCTGCACATCTGCCTCCCCTAGCATCATATTGGATGGGCTTTCCTGGAAGAAAGGCAAGATTACCAAGGATCAACAGGTAATACAGTGAACTTTCACAGCATCCAAAACCCCAGACAGTTTCTTGGAGTAACAATAGGGTCTTACATATTGCTTCTGCTTGTATTAGTTAAAGAGACAATTGCCTTGATGCCGCTTTCCCCAGTTGCTCTATAAAGAAGAGCTGCTTTTGCTGTGAGAAATGAAACTGTTTGCCTTATTGAAGGAGCTTTGTTTTCTCCCAGGAAGTGGTTTGGGGAGTGGACTGTGTCTTCTGACAACCTCTTAAAGAGGGAGCAATTTGTATAATACCTTATCTTGTTAGTCAGAACATTGGCTTTCAGCTTACTACAAAGAACATAAAAGGTGCTACGCAATGTCCACCATATAAGGAGTCCTGCAACTAAAAGAGCATCTGAAAGATGATTCTTTGCTTATTTATCTGCATCCACATTGCATCAATTTATATTTGATAAACTATATGTCATCTTTGGTATAAGTGGGTGTTTTTTCCTCCTTCTCTAATCTTAAGTGAGGTAGGTACTTTGGCTGAACCCAACCCTTGGGGTAATACTAGTTGTTACTTAATTGTGTTTATCCTCAGCATGCATTCAAAGTGAAAAATGTTGTTTGTTTGTTCCATTTCTACACTGCCCCGCAGTCGAAGCGCAAATATGAACAGGATTGCACAGATCACGACCCCCACGGCTGATCAATGAGGGCACGGCATGCACTACTTACATTGGGCTCATTGATTACGTCTGAAACGGTATTGAGCATCCCTTGCCAGATCCTGGAAAGGTCTCGAAGATTGAACACATAATGGAATTTGGCTGGCGTCGGCAGCATCTTGACCTTCGTCATTTGCCACAGCCGGCGTGTCAGCGGCACCAGCTTGGCCACGGCTGCTCTCACCTCCTCCACAAAGCCCCTGTGGCTGCAGAAGTGTCCCAGGCCAATCACACCTGAAGAAGCCAAGTGAGACCTCCTGAAACAATCGCGCACCTCAGAGCTTTGCCCCTTCCAACGGCCTGTGCAAACTTAGACAACAAACATGACATAAACCAAGACTGGATTCTTCCAGAAAACACCGCCAGGTCTGTGCATGCTGCAGGCAAGGGAAAAGCTCACATTTCCTGCTCTCATGGACAAGGAGAGTTAAATCCCTGAAACTTGTCGTCAAGGTGAAGACAAACCCCAAGCAACTCGTATGTGTAACGAAAAGGGTGCAATGCAAAACGGTAATGAGTATGAGTAATGCAAAAGGTGTTCCACATTACCAAAAATCTTGTCAATGGAGGAATTAGAAGGCAGGGTGCAGTTAAATACGGAAAACTGCCTCTTCAATCTCTGGGGGATGTCATTGCGTCCCCCACCTGGGTGGATCATGGCAGCCAAGAACTGGATGTCGATGATGTTGGTAAACTCCCCAGGCTTTTCCAGGTTATAAAACCCACTTTGCTCCATCAGCTGCCTAACTATCTCATTGGTGACCTGAAAAAGAATCTCTTGTGATTAAGAAGAAACCCATTAGCCACTCACGTAGATATCATCAGTTCACACAATTTGGAGCAGCCTGATGGGTTTTGATGTACCTGCTGTAGAAACTCTCTTCTCCCCAGATTTCCTAACCCAGAAATCTATCATTGTTTCTCCCTTGAATTTTCAAAACTATCTCCTGTATGCATGCCTTTCATTACTGCAACATAATAATACTTTAAAAGTATGCATTTTATGCTCTACTTTCAGTGGGAGATGTTTCAACATTTGATAACAATCAATTCAGAAAGCCATCTCTAGGGCTCGTTTTTACACAGGCCCCAAATGGAAAAGAGGAACTTTTCTACAAATTCCTCTTTTACTTTATTAAATCCTGTACCATGATCATTAGCCACCAGGTCGACTTAACTTGGAGTCTCAGTTTTTATCCATATGGAGGCTTGGCAGGTTGTGCTTATAAATAACAGCAATTAAGATGTAAATGGATCATGTACTATTTCCAGTCCTGCTGGAAATAGAATTCTACCTCTCCTGTGTATTTACTCCTGCACCTGCCTATGGAATCGCAGGGTAGGCATGGTCCATCGTATCTGGATGGACCCATTGCCAGAACTAATCTCGGAGTTCAGTCTTGTTGATTGTATCGGGATCTGCTTTCCCTTTTCCTCCTTTGGAACTCGTGGAACTGCTACTGCTAACCTAGTCTTCTGGTCATCCCAATTAAATGCAGGCCACATTCTCTGCCAACCCAGAAGGACTCCTGTTGGATGCATTGCTGAAACATTTAGTAAATACACCAAAAGCTGGTTATAATTATCATCCTGATACTAGCCCCTCATTCAAACAGAGCCACTGTATTGTGTTGATCATTCAGCTGACCTGGTCTCCCCACTCATTGATTACAGGCATATTCACATCATCAATGAAGACGGTCATTTTCTTTCCCGCCGGGGGGCCGTATGTTGTGCCCATTCGCTTGTCCACGTAACTTTCTATTGTGCGCTGCAAGTAAAATACTGATGTTTATAAAACAATCTAACCATCTCCCTGGGCTTAATCTGACAGTTGTGTATTTTATGTACCTTCTCCCTGGCACAAAGAAATGTTAAGAAATGTAAAGGTGAGTATAAGCACAAACAATTTACATTTCCATAATTTCCATACAATTTTACAATAATACATAATAGAAAGTCCTAAGTCAACAGTTACATCAGTAAATACCAACATCAGAACTCCCATGGCCAATCAAATATTCCTTACTTGCGCACTTCTGAAAGGTCTTCTCAAGTTTTCGAGAACATTCCCATATTCCACCTACACTGAGAGGGGTGGGAGAGAAAGAGATACTGCCACTGTCCCCGTGAAATGACTGCTGTTTCCTGTACATGCCAAGCCCAGTAAACAAAAATAATCTTAACACAGAAAATCCACAGTAGTGCAAAAATGGCGAGCACACTAGTAGAGTCCCTTGGATGCAGAATGCTGGGTTACGCCATCTGTCCTATGCTCTGTTGGAGTGATGTTGGCAAAGCAGCTCCAGGGGCCAGGTGTGTTACTATTTAATCCTCCTGTTGAGGTCAGTGGGAAGAACATTCCTTGCATTAAGCCTGAGCTTGATGCAAAATTGTACTCTTGACCAGGGCATGACTGCAGTGTGAGCCGATAAAGGATGAAGTGGGAGTGTAGCCCACCCCGTGCCACCTCCGTCCTCAGTCCTCATTTTAGATGTCCTCATGGTGAATGTTCATGAGTGGAGCTGGTACCCTGATGGCAGGGCAATGAGGCAGAGCGGATTTGCTGCTCCAGCTGTGGACTGAGAGGGCTGGTGGACCCTTCACCATTACTGGAAGGGCCCCTGCAGGCATGGTCCCCAGTGCTGCACCAGCCCTGTTCCCCTCCTGTCACAGGCAAGCCGGACTCCTTGGAGAAGCAGCTGCCACCTCCCCAGGCGCTCTCTCTGAAACTGGATTCTGAAGCGAAAGGCAAATGGGATTTCTGGAGAGGCCACCCGCTCACCAATTCGCCTCATCTCTTCCAAGGGAGACTGCAGCCAAGACATTCAAGGATGACAGAGACTTGGAAGGGCAGCAATGAAGGAACCGGAAAAGGTCATCGAGTGTAAGGAAGTTTTACTGGAGACCATGGCCAAAATCATCCACAATACGGTACTATCAATCACAGTGTAAGGGTGTGAAAGGTGGACAGGGAAGAAAACTGAAAAGAAAATGGATGTGTTCGAACTGTGGTGCTGGAGGAGAGCTGTGCACATGCCCTGGACTGACCCGAGGGTCCTAGATCTAGTCAAGCCAGGGCTTTTCCTGGAAGCAAAAATGGCAAAACTGAGGCTGTCCTACTTTGGGCACATCATGAGAAGCAAGACTCCCTGGAGAAGACAGTCATGCCAGGGAAAGCTGAGGCAGAAGACAGAAGGGAAGACCCAATATGAGACGGATTGAACCCATGAGGGAAGCCACAGCCTTGAACCTGAGAGAGTTAAACAAAGCTGTCATGGGCAGGCCATTCTGGAGGGCTTTCTTGCATAGGGTCACCATAAGCTGAAGATGACATGATGGCACGAAGCAACAACACCCTCTCACTTGCAGCCCACCCAATCCCTTGCCCAGAGGACCCTCCCAAGCCAAGTCATCAGGCAGGTCAGATGGCAGTCTGTCGAGAGAGCTTGCTCACCCCAGCTCTCCCCTGGGAGACTCCCCAAAGGAGAGGTGAGGCAGGCCACTTTTCCAGAGAGGCCCTTCAGCCCCAAAGCCAAGCTTTGGAAGATCCTTCCCGAAACAAGGCCTTGTGAGGCGGCCCAAGAGTTTGCCCGGAAGGATGGGTGAGGATCCCATTTGCACTTGCAAATTAGTTGAACATGCCCCATCCACAACCCTGAATGCACCCAGCACCAAAGCAGCATGTTCTCCAAATTTTGAAATACGCATTCACATTGAAAATTGTACACATTTCAGAGGAAAAGCAGTACGGAATGGCATATCTTCCAGAAATGCAATTTTGCATTTTATCCTATGGGGAAAGTTTCACAACTTTGAAAAATACTCTAATTTTTGAGCAATTTTCCTCTGTGAGCTCATTTGATTTGTTTGATTTTTATATTAGCACGAATCCAGCAGTGACTGAAGGTACTCGCAGAAACTGAAGGAACGACGAGCATCAAGTTGATGCTCAGAAAAACAGGCAGTCCCCAGAGCCTACTCACAGTGCTTCTTTTTGTGGAAATACCCTTCAATGTGTGGCATTCAGGCCTGGGCACCTCTCTGAAGGAGTTGGCCATGTGATCCACAGTTTATGCTTCACCACTGTAAAAGAGCTTCTGCTAAATCCTGCAGCCCATAAACCATATGTAATCCTATGTACACTTAGCTAAGTAGACGTTTAAGTGGCTCAAACTGTAAATCAAAGTATAAAAGTATAAAAATCCTTGCAACATCTAGAATAGGGAAAGGCAACTTCATGCCATCAGATGTTTTGGACTACAACTACCATAATTCAAACTATGGGTCTGTGTATATGATAGTCCAAAACATCTGGAAGGCACCAGGTTGCCAGTCCCCATTCTAGATAATGTCTGTCATTGACATAAAGAGCCGTCAAATTCCAGCATTGTTAAAGAGCTGTCAATTTCCAACTTGGTTAAATAGCTGTCAAGTTCCAACTTCTCTACACGCTGTTTCTCCTTCTTCCTTCTGTTGACTTCAACAACCACAGTGAGATGGACTGTCATACGTGAATCTGCTGCACGTTTGCATGTTTTACTGGAGATTGGTGTCTTGCTTAAAGAGGAAGAAACTGAAAGTACTACGCACGTAGGTGTCCAGTTTAGGTCTTCTGTGAATCACCAGTACAGCTTTTCTGACTTCTGTCTAATATACTTCATTGCTCATTCTTCCACAAGTTTTTGACAAGAACTTAACCAGTTGTATTCAGTGGAGTCATCCCAGCAAACAGAAGCCACTCCAGCAACAGAACCAACACAGAGGCAATGCAAATGATCCCCATAACCTCCCCCCCGCATTTGCTCTAAAGATCTGGGAAGTCCCTCGGACTGATCTTCCAGTGATGCCGATGACTGCCAGGAAAAGGAGGAAGGGGGAAAGAATCCCATCAGGCTAGCAGACTTCCAGAAGTACAATACTGGATTTAACCCAATGAGATTCACTTTGTTGAGTCAGGCATGCATTCCAAGAAAGGGACCTTGTTCTCTCCTATAACATGGTACAAACCTTTCAAGAGGCAATTTCAGAATCAGGAGTTAGCTGGAATTGTCTTAAAATGATACGAAGAAGGCCGAAGTGGCATCCTACTGGTTTGCTTCACATGCCAAAGGAACAACATAGCAGGCTATCAGAATATGGACCTCTGCTGTTCAATAACATATTTTTTATTAACCTCCTTCCCCTGGAGTGACAGGGAACCCAAAAGGGCCAGTTCCACTTTCATTTTAGACAAATGTAATTTCTAGCAATACCTGAAACATGAAAGGAGTTGTTGCCGATGAGAAATTCAGACTCTTGGCCATGTGGCTTTCAGGATTATATTTTGACATGTAGCCTTTGATGATGACAGTCTTGGCAGTCCCTTGTTCACCAATTAGCAGCACTGCCTGAAGATGAAAAGAGAATTCAAATGAGTTTGGGGATATGAGAGACAAATAGATTGGCTGAGGCTCAATTCCCCCAAATTCTTCATTTCAAGTAACGAAGTAAAAATGTAACTTTCACAAGGAAGGCGCCATTCCTTGCAGTATTGCTAATTTGGGCTGTGCCCATCCATAAACAAGGCAGAGTTTTATTTTATTTGCTTATTTATTTAAAGTTTTTGTATGCCATCCCTTTGCTATATAGCCTCGGGACGGCTCACACAAATAAATAAATATAATACAAATACAGTTAAAACCTGGAAACACCCCAGCTGGACAATTAAAACATATAAATATTAAACATTGTTAAAATATTGTTTGAATAAAAAGGTCTTAGCCTGGCGCTGAAAGCAAATAACAATGGCGCCAGGCGGACCTCTCTGGGGAGCGCATTCCACAGATGGGGCGCCACTGCAGAGTTGTCACTGGCAGTATTTGCAATGCACTCTACAAAGGGACATTGGGACTGTGGTGGAACCAGGCTGCCACCGATTGGGTGAGCCATTCTGTTATCAAGCATTTCTTTGGCTGTCGAGTGGTCCAGAAATGTTGCAGCTAAATAAACAAGAGGGCTGGCGGGCAGCGATAGGTGGCAAAGTCACAGGCAGTGGTAGATAGAAAAAAGATCCAGCGCTTTGGCCCACAGGACACGAAAATGTTTGCCATCGTGCACATGCTAATTTATATATCCTATAAAATAAGTGTGAATGTGTGCTTGTCTTCAAAGGACTCCTATCTCAGACGGCCACCCCTGTTTGCAAACAGGCCAGGGGAGAGGAGGGGATCAGGAGAAAAAAATGCAACCTCCAATGATGTGGCACCCAGACCTGGCACCTGTACCCTGAACTGGCTGTACAATCAGTACGTCCTGATGAGTGCAGGAAGAATGGAAATATTATTTCTTGCTTTAATCAACTTTAGGCAGTCTAAGCTGATTTCAAGCACATCAGGAGCTCTTAACTTTCAAGGGCGAGCTGCTTCTTCTTGAAAGAGAATCACCGTCGTGCAAAGGGCATCGTATGCCAGCTAGTGCGCCACAAAACTTGCTTTAGAGCTACAAATGTGGCATTAACCTTCAGCCTAACCTACTTCACAAACTTACTGTAGGGCTAATTGGCAGCATTACAGCAATAGCAGTCGCAGCTCTGCAATGAAACTGCCTGACCTTCTTGACCCCCTCCCTCCCCAAAGGGATGTTGCAAACGTCTCGACATAAAATATTACCTTCCCTTGCTTTGCAATTGTTTGGATAAGAAAGTCTGTCCTCACATTGTCAACATTTGGCACCAAGATAGAGCCATATTCCGGAATGCAGTTTGTGGGGTACACATATTCTCCAATGCAAGTATTCCAGTGCACCCATTTGCCTAGACAGAAGAAGAAAACAGATGTAATGGTTTCACAAACACCCGGGCCTTATCCCCGGGTTTAAAATGTCACCAAATTGCATAAGCAGAAAATGGGGCTGCATGGGAACCCCAGTGTCATATGCATTATGTAGGTCTCCCCGTGGCATTCACAGGTATGGTGCAAACATCTGTGCAAGGCAGGCCTACAAACACATATAGGCCACCTATGTAATCCAGGCAAACACGGGGGGTGGGGGGGGGGCAGAAATACAACAAGCGGGAAGATGTCCATGTGATTAGGTAAGTGAAATTTTGAATTGCACTTCAGCAGAACGGGGATGAAGAACTGTAGCAGAACTAAGGCAAGGCTTCTTTTTTCTGCTTGAATAAAACAACAACCTTCAATCAAATGAAAACAAAAGCACCTTGAACCCAGTAAGAACCATGTGAGCCACCTGGGTTCCTGTGGGGAGAAAGGAAGGATGGCAAGGTAATAAAATAATGATAGTGATAATAGTAATAACAACAATAACTGCTTTATCATTAAGGGCAGTTTAGTAACATTACTAAATTATATAGTTGGGTAATATCACCACACCCAAACTTCAGCAACAGATATCGGCTGCCCAGAGAGCATGCTGCTAATGGGCCGCTTTAAACAAATTTAATAAATAAATTTAATAACAACAATAAACTCTCCTCATCCTATAGCAACCATGAATATATAATACTACGTGTTTATCATGGCATGTATTTAAATGCATATATTGCATTTTGCTTATTTATTACACAAGAAAACAGCGATGTTCTGAAATGATTTTTGACCACTTTTCCTATTTCAGTAAGCAAAACTGAAACTTCAAGGGCAAGCCATGGCTGATGACTTAGCCAGGTTGGGTAGCCTACAGGTGTGACAGGCATTCGTGAGCCAGAAAGACAAAGGGGAATAGCCCAGCTTAGAAAAAGAGGGTGGCAACAGACATCTTAAGAGTGACAGAAGAGAGGATGGCAAGGGTAAATGAACACAGCAGCGATGCTTCAAGTGCTGAAGCGCCACCGGCAAAGGATGTGCCGTGGTCACCCATGAGCAAAATGCCACCAGAGATCTCCTGCAACAGGATGTGACCTCCCGCAAGGTTTAGCCATCAGAAGGCTGCCTTGCTCCTTCTCCTGCTTTTAAAGCAGGCCACAATGTGTGCATATTGTATTGTAAGCCATCCCGAGATGCCGAGGCATGTGAGGAGGCATATAAAAGTTTTAGATAGATAGATAGATAGATAGATAGATAGATAGATAGATAGATAGATAGATAGATAGATTGATAGATAGATGATAGATAGATAGATAGATGATAGATAGATTTTTTAGCATGTGTGTATGTTGCATAATTCCAGTTGCGAACTCTGCATGTGGAAAAACACAAAACTGACTTGCTCTGCTTTCAGTTTTCAAGTCAACAAGGCATCAAAATTTTGCCCAGTGGGTTGAGTTTCTTGGTGTTGCCCATGTCTACTCATGCTTCTCTTTTGAAGATGGCAACCTATCAAAGAGAGTAAAGTTTCAGTAGTTCACTAACCATCATTGGTAACATAGTAGTCAAACATTGTGTCTTCACTTCCTTCTGGAATATTAGGAAGATCAAGTTTTATCGTTTCGTGACTACGAAGCCAGTGTTCCAGCTTGCAACGGTCTTCCAATTCCAGCAGTGCCCCGATGCTCCACATCAAGGAGAAGATGTACAGTCTTTCCAGGAACTCTGCTGTAATTTCTCCTCCCTGCTCCTGAATAATACAAGGAAATTTATTTTTAGTCATTTAGCCACTGAGGACCTCAAACATTGGACAGCCTTTTGGGGGAATATGTCACTCAAATTCATCCACACCTCGTAGGGAAAGCCAGAACCTTGGGTGTTCTAAGGACAAGCATTACTCTATAGATAGTTTGTGACAGAAATTCCAGTCTTTTTTATCTTAAGATGCTTTTATCTGATCAATCTGATTTTATTTCTTTGACCTCAGCCAAGCACTGTTCAATAGTGGAGCCCTCTGTAGAATTAATTCTAAATGTTGTTATATTTTTTAGAATAAATGTATTTTTCCTTGCCTTAACTAACTTTAATTTTAGAATAACTTTATTTTTCTTATCTTCACTAACTATAATTTGGTGTTTTATTTGCTGGTCAATGACCGAATAAAAAACTGATTGATTGTGACAGAAATTACAGAAGGTGTCATTTGACTTAGAATAATCCAAAATCAGAAAGATATTTTCATTGATCTCTATTAATAGAATAGTTTCACCCACTGTGGAGTGTAGGCTTTCAGTCCCCTGCCTGGGGTGGACATCATAACAGATTGTCATCAGAACTAGGTCAACTTAGGTATCATTTGAAACCACTCATGATACTAAAGAGAATTGTACCTTTTTAGAACTTTCACTGGATCGATACCACTAGAATAATTAAATTTGGATATGGATAGAAGCATTTCTTTCCAGAATAGCCCTTTTTAGTTAAGTTCTGCATGCCCTGGATAAATTATATCTTTGTGGCATGTTTTATTTGACTATTAGGCCGTTAGAGTTAAATATTTAACTTCTTCACAGGCTGGTGTATTCTGAGCCCTGTCAAGGAATGCTAAATCTGTCACAGAGCTGTGACAGCCTTTTACCACTGTCACCCAAAGAGAAATCTTGGTGCGGCCCCTTCCTGAAAGAAGGAACTCTTGGATGGAGGACTTGGCAGGAGCACCAGGTTGGCAACTGATGTACATCAGCCAGCAAAGCAACAAAGATGCAGCGGCCAAGAAAACCAAAATATGCAACAGCCAACAAAGCAACCAATCTGTAGTTATCTCTGCAATACTCCCCGTCCTCTCCCTTTTCCCCTTACATGTGATCAAAAAGGAAAAGCATTAAGCAGTACAATCAAATGGATCCACTATACCTGTCCCCTTTTAAGATGCATATAAACCTGGGAGGACCAACTGAAATCGCGTGTGCTTCCTAATCAGTTCTGCAGTTAATCCAGCGATCTTGTGCAACGACTGGGCACCTGCCATCCTCGGACCACAGCCTGGTCCAAGCAGAGAGGAGCAAATGCAGCACAGACACGGAGCACTGAGGCAATCGGTTCAGGATCAGGGCCTGAGCGGGAGCTGGTGGCAGGGATGACTGATGAGAAAATGCCTTCATCCCATCAGACACACCTCTCGCCTAGTGAGCAAAGGGCCTTTCTAATGATCAGCCGGCACATTCTCGGCAAAACTCTTACGATTTCCTCTGCTCAAGGAAAGATGCCCTGACACACCACTCCAGTTGACACCAGAGTCATTCCAATTCAGTACCTCAGAGGTGAGGAATGCATGCCCCTTCAGCTATGGATGGATTGCAACTCCCATCCTCCCAAACCAGTGGAGTTAGATGCAAGGGGAAACCCAAGAACTGGAGGGCCATGCATTTCACTTCCTTGCCCTGGAGTTACTTAAACAAATGGCATCACCATTTTTCATCTCAAACTGCCCATGGGATGTGATTTTATTTATTTCTAGAATTTACATCCCACCTTTAATTTTTTTTTATTATTTTTGCTCCTTTATGTACCCCAACTGGATATGATCAAATAAATGTAGAAAATAACATTACCAGAACATTTCTAGTAAGGCCGAGGTGGACTGTCACATGCTTTAGCCTGTCATCACTCACCATTGGCTATGCTTGCTGAGGCAGATGGGAGTTGTAGGCTACAAGATCTGGAGAGCCATGAGTGGCCCACTACTATAGCAAAGCATGGTATTTTCTTGGAATGGTCCACAAAAACATCACCTGAAGCTGAATCTCATGTGTATGGACATCTGGGCCTGCCTTATGAAGAACTAGATTGCTGGTCCAGTTAGCCCAGCCTTGCCTACTCTTACAGGTAGTGGCTCTCCAGGACATCAAGCAGAGGACTTTTCCAGCACCTTTTAACGAGGAAAGCATGGGATCCGAACTTCAGACCTTCTTCTGCATGCAAGAAGAAGGTTCCACCATCGAGCTGGGCCCCTCAAGAGATCCCCTAAGGATCTATTTGAATATTTCGCATTGGCTCATCCAGATAAGACCATGACTCCAGAAAGAGGATTTGGCAAAAACGATTTTTCAACAGCACGAAAGCGGTTTACCTTGCAAGGAATCAGGCCTTGCAGCATATTGATGCTCTGCATTATCACAAAGGCCTCCAGCACTTCCATCTTGTATTCTAAGGACTGGATGCTGAACCTATACAGGTCTGGGAACGATGCCACGTACAGCTGGCGCAAAATCTCAGCTTCCTGCGCAGAACGTTTCTTCAGGAAGCCCTGTTATAAAAGAGACATAATAACCACAGCTCTTCTAGAAAAGGAACAGATTTTCCGGTATCTGCTTAAAACTAGATCTTTACTGCCTGTTTTCTAATATTAATTTTTCTTTTCTTTCTCTACTGCCCAATAGCCAAAGCTCTCTGGCTGGTCAACAGCACATAAAATACAATATAAAATACAAACAGCAATAAAAACAGCATTAAAAGGTTGCCATAGAAAAATGAAAACCAAATTTTACAGATGTAGAAAAGGTACAATACTTTATACAAATTAAACCATAACACCTGTTTAAGCAGCTAACAAAGTTCAAATATTATAGTAATCTCTGTGGCAAAGATCAGTCTTAGCCTGGTGCCGAAACGCTATTTAAACTGGCACCAGGTGGGCCTCAGTGGAAAGGAAATTCTCCTTGCCACCCCCCAGCCAAGCCTCCCTGGATGTGCCAATTGTAGGAAGGTCCCAGACTTCACTGCAGTATCCAGGTAGATTGTGACTGGGAGAAGCATTCCATCAGGTATTGTGACCCCAAGCCATGTAAAACCCAACACTTTGAATTGAGCTCAGAAGAATATAGGCAGTTCGTGCAAGTAGGACAGAACTGGTGTTATATGTTCAGACCATCTGGTCCCTCTTATTAATCTGGCTGCCAGATTTTTTTACAAGCTGTAGCCTCTGGACAGTCTTCAAGGGCAGCCCCCAAACACAGTGCATTGCAGTAGTCTATCTTACAGATTACCAGAATATTGATTACTGAAACCAGGCTGCCCCATCCAAATAGGAGCATAGCTGGACCACCAGCCAAAACTCCATCAGTTCTGTGAAGATAATATGGTTTTTCTTGTGTGTTTGCCACATGAAGGCAAGAAGGGCTAGCATGAGAAGGTAGAACAAGGTAGAACATCTGGGACCATGCACATGGTATCTGCAAAGATCTACAGGATCAGGAGCTCTGATCATGTAGAGCTTCAGATCACATGGAGAACTGCTTGCATGATCAGCCAGCTCCTCCGGAACGTCATCCCATGTGAGGAGAACATAGCCAGGGGTCCAAAAGTGAGCTTTTAATGGCCTAAAAGCAATTACTCAGTTGATATTAATCAATATTAGAGACTTAAGGAATGCAGCTATTTATACCTCAAGGACAGGGCTCCAGTTGAGAACTGAGGAGCTCATAAACACCATGCCATTCCTGGACACTGTGGCAGGGGAAGCGTTGTCTATATTATGTGGCTCAAAGACAATTTTACAGTTCGGGGCCATCGGAATCCGATCTCCATTAGCTAATGTCAATGTTTTGTTATCATCCAGCACGGAATTCAGGTTCTCGATCCAAATTGCATCCACAGGACCATCAAGAACTATCCAGATGTGTTCCCCTATAATGCAAAGGTCATTTTAAAATGCATTGAATGTGGTAATCTCATATTGGCTCAAGCTCCGTGAAGCCAGGAAATGGGAGGCGAAGGCTGATCCCTTAAGAGATGCACCAGTAACAGTGTTGTGCATTGTCACAAATAGTGCTTGCTTACAATTTCCCCTCCACACACCCACCCTTTCCCTGGGTCATTCAGGCCCCAATCCAGATAGGGAGGATGAAGTGCCCAGGACCAGCAAAGATGCTCTGTGTTGTCCTGGTCTGTACTGCTGCATGGAACATCTGAACATTGCGGCATTGCTAGAGGAACCATCATGCGAGGTAACTCACACACGCTCATTGCTTGGGAACAAGTGCAATTTGTGGTATTTTGACTGCAGAGTAGAACTGTGCACGCGCAATATAACACTGTCAGCTGTGCTACAGGCTTTCATGGGACAGAAAAAACAACTTTCGATTGCAACTCTGGCTGATTTTCTGCACAGAACAGATTCCTCACCCATCCCTAGCGATCACCAATATTTCCTTCTGTTCCCTTTCCTCAAAGGCCCCATGAGATCCTTGTCCATCGAAGTTGATGGCAAGGGGCTGTGGTTGGCTTGGAGGAATCCTGGACCATGGGATGTTTTGCAATCACAATTCTGCAACATTGTGATGTAGAAAGCACTCCTCCATTTTAACTCCGGAAGTGCTGGTGATCGTTCCTCGTATATCAAAGCCCCAACCCCTCACTCAGATTTCAGGTACCTTTCTTAGCTCTCAGCGTTTTCCGCCAAAGCGTGGAGAAAATCCCATCCGTCCAGTCGTTAGTTGCAACATCCAGCCGCCCAAACATCTGAGGTGCAGTGATGGCCTTCGGGTTCATCCGCATTTCACGGTGGGGCTGCCCACAGTCTGCAAAGGCCCATTATAAGCACAAGCAAACAAGAGGGCGGTGGCTCAGGTAGTGCTGCACAGCCCTGTGCAGAAGTGCCACCCCGGAGCCCCCGAATGTGGCAGTCCAGTTCCCTGGCAGGACCTGCACAACTTGACTGAATATCCTTTGACTCTGCTCCAATGGGAGAATTTCTATTTTCTTGCAAATTTTGTTGTACAAGGAATTAATGCCATTAAATAATGTTTAGCTATTCTCATCTTTCATCCTGGCCTCCATTTATGTTACCCTTCCCAGTTAACCTGAAGGAATAGTTTCTTGGTCATCCTTAAGGAAATTTTCTGTTGCTGCTGTCCTAGAAATTTACCTCTGCCACCCTGTTCTGAATACCATCATCATTCACCAAAACAAAAAGCAACAAAAAATAGTATCTCCAGAAAGAGTCACAATTCCCTTCCGAATCCACATCCTTTAAACAAAATTAGACCACTAAGCCAGTGGGCTCAGCCATATTGCCATAATTACAAGCTAGCCAAAGCTCTCTCTCTCTCGCTGCATTGCTGAAGTGGCACTCGGTGTTTTCCATACCTGTCATGGATTTCATTAGTATGTGGATGCATGTTGTCTTTCCGGCCCCACTCGGCCCCAGAGCCATCATGCCATGCCGCACCCTTTGGGTCTCAAACAGCTGGATCACCTTCAGTCTCCATGGAGGGTGATTAATCAGGCCAGCCTTTTCCACCTGCCGTGGTCACCAAGAATCTCATTACTGACCTTCTCGCCTATGCAGAAGCCCTCTTCCGGCATCGTGCCTGAAGAGGGGATGGTTATGCATGGAAGGGGCACCCTGATCCCATCCCTGCCTGATCAAGGGCCCAACCTGCCCTTGTTTGTTCGTTTGTTTGTTTGAAACTTTTCTAGACTGTCCCTTACCAAAGTCTCAGGATGGTTTAACAATACAATAAAAACACAGCATCCTAAAAATTCCAACTGACAATAAAACCCCAGTTCAAATAATCATATCTTAAAACAATGGGAAAATGAAAAGGTTTTAGCCAGGCACCAAAAAGAATAAAGTGACGGTGCCAGGCGAACCTCTCTGGGGAGAGAATTCTGCAATCAGGGCACCACCACTGAGAAGGCCCTTCTCTGGGTGGTCAGCCTCCTAATCTCCTTCAGGGAGGGCTCCCAGTGAAGGGCCTCTGCCCCAGATCTTAAGGGGTAGGCAGGCACATATGGAAGGAGACGCTCCTTCAGGTAACCAGGCCCTAAGCTGTTTAGGGCTTTGTAGGTCATCACCAGCACCATAAACTGGGATAATGTGGCACAGGGGCCCAGTTGTACAGGGTGTCTCCTCCCACTCAGGCAAGTGCACACAGAAGTGCCCTTCAGCCTTCCCCTTCTGACCCCAGAAGGAGAGGGAGTGGGCTGCTGCACACAGGAACATTCGAAGCGAGGCCAAAGCACTCGGCCTCGTGCCACCTACGTGGGTGGGTGGATGAACCCTGGTTGAACAGGACTCGCTTGCTGACCAGTCAAACTCACATGCATGAATGCAGCCATGCATGGGCATCAATGGAAGGAATTCCTTTGCCTAAGATCAGGGACTGGGATAAGCTTAGCCAAGGTCTGGGGTGTGTGTGGGGAGGATATAACACAGTGCAACTGTGCCCCTCCACTGGGCTCCCCATCCCATTCATGTCTCAGTGAAGCCATATGCAAAAGCAAAGTAAGAGTAATTCCGCCCAAATGTCTTCACCGGTAGACCAGCTACACGGCTGTTGTGCCCCGCCAATGTACTGGCACCGTTCATCCGGCAAATCTGCAGGATGGCGGAGTAGCTCCGTTGCACCAGTACAGTGGGAATTCCACCAGTGTTTGTTTACTGCCTCCCAGTAGTCATCTGAGTAGAAGAAAATTGAGTACAAGATCGTACACTCAAATCAAACACATTCGCACAGTTGACCTTCCAGCATCTAATTCAACTAAGCACCTGATTCAAGGGCAGCTGCTGGAGCACCTCCAGTTCAAGGGGTGCTTTTGGAGGTGAACAGCACAGCCTGCTTGGCCATTTCATTTATAAACCAAGTGAAGAATGCCCCCTGCCCAGTAGCTTTATTAATTGATGGGGGATTTTGACTCCTCTTTTAATTATTTTTTGCACTGGGGATTTTCAGCTATGGTTTTTTTAGGGGATTTGCTAATTTGGCCAGAGGCTTTTGAACAAGCAAAACAGTAGTTTGAGTTACCTGCTTGCTAATGGCAGCTTCAAGGTCCGGATAGCCTGCCTTGTCGAGCTGGATACTTGGGAAAAGATCTTCGATCAGACTCAAAAATAAGGGTTCATCTTCATCGATCTGTCAAAACACACACAGAGACCCCCAAAAGCATATAGGAAGGGTTATTTACATGCCTCCTAGTAATGTACTTCCAGATTCACAATTTCACCCTGCACTGAATAGCCTCAGCTCACCAAAATACATATATTTCCACTGCATGGCTGGGAAAGATCATGCATATTTTCTAGTTAACACAGCCTGGAGAAGAAAGAGGGCAACAGCGATAGGCAAGAAACAGGACAGTGCGAGTAAAAATGAAACCCAACCAAGATAAGAACTGTAAGGAAAAGAACATCAAAAAAATTGAAAATTATTCAGTTTGGGAGCACAGGAAGCTTGTGAAACAGGAAAGAAAGAACACAACAAGTTGAGAAAGAATGTCAAACACACAGCAAAGTTAATCAGTATGTGTCTATCACTGTTAATTTGTGATTCCAATGGCTATGGTTTTCCCAGTTGCAATGTATGGCTGTGAAAGCTGGACCATAAGGAAGGCTGAGCGCCAAAGAATTGAGGTCTTTGCATTGTGGTTCTGGAGAAGACTCCTGCGAGTCCCTTGGGCTGCAAGGAGATCAAACCGGTCAGTCCTAGAGGAGATCAACCCTGACTGCTCTTTAGAAGGCCCGATCCTGAAGATGAAGCTCCAATACTTGGGCCACCTAATGAGAAGGAAGGACTCCCTGGAGAAGAGCCTGATGCCGGGAACAATAGATGGCAAAAGAAGAAGGGGACGGCAGAGGATGAGGTGGCTGGATGGAGTCACTGAAGCAGTTGGCGTGAGCTTAGATGGACTCCGGGGGATGGTGGAGGACAGGAAGGCCTAAAGGAATGTTGTCCATGGGGTCGCAATGTGTCAGACACAACTTCGTGGCTAGCAACAGCAACACCACTGTTAATTCATTCCATTATTTTATGAACTAAATTTACATCCTGCCTTTCAACCAAAAATGGTGCTGAACATTGTGAATAAAAAATTAAGTTTCAGAAAACATGTGGAGAACAGCTTAGACAAAGAGGAAGGTAAAAATATGATAGACAAGGAGCTGTGCTGAGATGAGGAGGGGTGAGAATATGGTGCCAAAAGGAGGGATTTGAAAGAAGCCCAGAAAAGAGAGAGAAATACTAGTTCATCAACATGATATGAAGTTAATAGCAAGCTGCTACAGAAGCTATTTTTAAAACATGATATTAGGCAAAGGAATGGGTACACATATTTTTCTACCATTCCAACATAGCAAAAGAATGTATTTCCAAAAAGCAAGTCCATTTTGAAAGATGGATATGCCAATATGCACTCTTGCTATTTGCAGGACAACAGAAATAAACATCTGAACATCATAAGGAGAAATTGTACCATTAAAAGAATAATATAAGAACAGTGAGGGCAGGAAAAAAAATTCCCACAAAATCACAACAACAACAAAAACCCTGAAAAGTCAGCCACAATTCTCGGAAGGTCTAAATGATGATAAAGACACTCATGTGGGAAGGACATTTCAGGAGTACTAGGCAAAACTTTCAGGGGAAAGTATCCCATAGGCCTAGTGTCATGGCAAAGGAATACCTTTCTCTGATGTTGTGAATTCTGGGGGCGAGTCACCTCAAAGGTGTGCCTGCCACCCTTCCTGGCACAACACAAGAAAGTTTTCGGGTCTTCAGTTCCTATTGATTATTGATTGATTGGATTTGTATCCCACCTTTTTTTCTTTTAAAGAACTCAGAATGACTTACATCATTCTCCTCCTGTTGCTTTCAATCTAATCCCCACAACAGCAACCCTGTCAGATAGTTTAGGCCAAGCATCTGTGACTGGCCCAAAGTCACCCAGTTGGCTCCATGGCCAAGCAGGGAGTCAAACCCAGATTGCCTGAGTCCCAGTCCCACACTCCTAACCACTACACCACACTGCCCCCCTTTAGTTAGTTCCAAACTTCAGTCAGTTCAGTTCTTTTCCATTCCTAACTCTAGAGGACTTGTTCTCCTGCATTAAAGCACCATGGGTAGTAGAGAAAATATGGGTCCTTGTTAGAATACTCTTATTTCACCAAGGTTTTGCACTGGGTTAAGTATACTTATTCTGGCAACAATGTGTGCATTTTTAAAGAACGTTTGCTGCCTTTGCTGCATTTTGTTTTGACAGGAAAAAGTTCTACAGCTCCCACCATGACTGGCTTTACTGCTCCTACTGTGATTTTTATTAATTTGAATACCGTGAAGACTCCTGAAACAATTCTTAAAACACTCAAAAATGTGTTACAGCAACCATTTTATCTTTGTATCTGCTCTATGCTTTCATGCTGTTTCTTGTTATGACGTAAACGTTGCTTGCTATGTTGAAGAAGGAAAGATAGGCCTGGTTCTGGAAGAAACAGTTTCTGGAAAACCAGTTCTAAGGAAAGGCCTGGCATATCTTAGATGACACTTTGCTCTAGGGAAGTCAAGTGCCATCAGTTAACTGCTGGTCAGTCTCAGAGAATGCCTGGAGAAAGGGAAAATTGTCACAGTGGAATAGCCTTTCCTTGTGTTTTTCATAACAATATCTTCTCCTCCTACAGCTCAAACAAGCTCATGCAGAACCGCTTATAGTACTGACATCTGAAGTGCTCCTCCAGGGCTTTATGCTTGTGTTTCTCCAAGGTGAGGTTGATACTGAGCCCACGGCAATGCCTGTACATCTTACAGCTGTTCTAAGAATGTCCTTCCTTCTCCTCTTGCAGACAGCGTAGATACCTTGCTGTGCTCCAGCCTCTGTTCTCCCTCACTTCCTAAGCTCTCGGCCTCTGCTCCTTTTCTTCTCTGTACCTGTTGCCTCCAGTCCTCTTTCCCATTCTCCTAGCTAGTGCTCCAGTCCTCCTGCCCTCATCGACACTAGCGCGTTCTTCCTTCCTCCTCTCTGTCTCTGCTCAGGGCATTTTGGCTGCCCACCTGCCCACATGCCCCTGACTTTGTGATGGCTCATACTCTGCTGGTTCCCCTTTCTGACATACCTTGCAGGCATCTGGGCTGCTGGCCAGCCCTGAAGAACTGAAAGGCGCAATGCCAACCCCAGAGGTTCTAACTTCCCACTGTCCCGCACCACTCGTCAAGACAGAGCAGCTTGAGAAGGGGCCCCGGCAATGCTTTGGTGTGCACATACGTCAGTCCCTTGCTTACCAGCTTAGACAGGTTCATGTCCCTCAAAACTCGCATTACGATTGTGGCTTCCGTGTCATCGGGGTTTGATCTTTTGGCTGCTCCCAAGGTCCGCAACACTGACAATATGTTCCTTAGTCCAAAGTCATAATGCACCTAGGAATCGGTTAAAGGGTTTTAGATAAGCCATCAGGAGCAGTGCAAAGTTGCACCAAGGACAAAAAAAAGTCAGTTTAGTACTCTGAAGACAAAGCCTGGTTTCAGAAATTTATGCAATTCAATGGCCTGCACATGTCAACAGAAATCAGGTCCAGAAAATATAGCTGTCTTAGACTGCACTGAACCAAGACACGCCGAGCAGGGGATTGGACCCAACGGCCTTCTAGGCCCCTTCCAACTGTCTGATCCTATGTTGAAGACTAAGAACATGGAGCAACCATTAAAAATGGCAACACCACTTGTCTCCAATGTGTACTCAAGGAAATGTGTGGTGTTACTTGCCTCCCCAGCCCCAGAAGCAGCATCTCTGGAGCGGGCTTGGAAAAGTGTCTCCTGTACTTCCAGTATTGCATGTTCCCAGGAGGACTTTGGGATGAGCTTGCCCTTTCCAGTAGCGCCCCAAGTTCCTTACTGTACCTCGTTCTGTCCTTACCAGGTAGCTGCGCATTTGCGCAAGTACTACAGAGTCCCCCATATTATTTTACCCAAGAAAGTAGAGGGGCGCATAAAAACAAATACATTTATTGCCTGTTGTCCACCCTGTATCACTGCTGTGATGTCAGCATCTGGCAAATACCTGGGCCACGGCTCGCAGCGTTCCTCTCTTCCATCTGGAAAAAGAGGCGGACGAGCACCTGCCGTAGCACCTCTGCAGCATTTGGAAAAGGAACCGTACTGAGTGAAGCGATTCGCATTTCCATAACAGCCGCTTACACTTTGCCAGTACAATCCATCTACTCTTTCCGGATTCAAAAGGATTTAATCTCAGGTGAGTAGGTGCAATATTGCAGAGCTAAGTTACACGGTATTTTCAATAGAAATTCAGGAAAAGTGCAGTATGAGTTCATTTTAAGATCTGGTTCGGAAATTATCAAGAAAAAGAAATGTAATAGACATGGCTAGCGTGTGTTTGAAAGCAACATTATTTCAGCCAGTACATTGCTCTTTGCTACTTCAATTAATTAATTAATTTCTATGCCACTCAACAGCCAAAGTGCTCTTTTTGTCCTCAGTTACATCATCAAGTCCAATTGGTTGCACAAGGCCATGAGAACACGCCAGGATCCCTGATTGGCTAAGATTATATAGTGAAGGGGAAAAAATGGCTCTGGAGACAGTGCCAAAGCCTCATAAGATTAAGGGTTCAAAGGGGCAGAAAAATGCATGCAGTTCTCAGAAGCTGGCTTTAATTCTAAATTATATTTTATGCAGCCACTCTGAAAAACAGAGGCCATGGTGTCATCCTATATGTTCACAACAAACTTCTAAGGGACATGGCTGATGAATGGAAATTTAGGATTTTGCTGAGAACGTGAAAACACACATTTTAAAAAAGAGCAAATCTTTTGTCTTTTGTTTTGCCTTTACTCAAGTGATCCAGTAGAAGTAAATCCTAAAACATTAGTAAACAAATGAATAAGTCTTTTCAACAGACACTGCTTCCCCAGGATAACCTTATTAAGGTTTTTTATGCTTTGTTATGATGCCCTTTTCTGAAGGTGTACATCAGCATTCCAGCACAAAGTGTTTATTATAATTATTATTAAAACAGCATTTCCTAAGGAAAAAAGGCAAGTTTATTATTCCTTCATACAACATTTAAAAATTCAAGCATTTACAAAAGAATCTTCCAGGGAAAGCATTTGCCTTTCTTTCATCCTTTATTCTCAGTATTTGCCCTGGTTCACACCTGTATAAAGGCTACATTTACAATAAAATCTCTATGGAATATTTTAGGAGAATAAGTTTCATTTTTTATTTTATGCTATGATTTATCTAGTCATTAAATTCTTGCTCCAAATAGCTCAAGGCAGTGTCATAATACTCTGCATCTCCACTTTATTTAAAATCCCCTCCTACCTGAATACTCCAAATGGAGTAGAAGTTTCAAAACCTCAGAATGCACTATTCTTTGCATATCAAGGCAATCCCAGGGAGATGCAGAAGCTCATGGATAGTTTATCGCAGTTGCAATATTAAAAGCAATCTCTTTGCAAATGTTTCCAGAAGGCAACTGGACTTTCAGCATATTGCTGCGACAATGTTTTCCATACAAGGCCACCTACTTGCTTGGACAATTGCTCCTCACAGAGTTTGTACAGGGTGAAGAACTTCCGGGCAAGCACAATGTTATCAATGAAGCCGCAGCTAGCCAATTTGACACGGATGATGATCTGCCGGTCGGGAACCATCATTGCCACTGAGCGGAAGTTGATCTTGAGGTTTTCAGGAAGCTCTTGGCGGCCAGCATAGCCAGGGTTCTGAATGAACAGATAGGCAGCGGGTGAATGCCTGAACACAACAGCTGTACCATTTCCGTAACAAGAAGATGCTTCCAAATTTTCTTCGCAGGTCCCCTTTCGCATGCAGGAGCACTGCGTGTATTTGTGAAGGGACATCCAATATCCCCACTGTCGAGGATCTATCTTTCCTTATGGTGTTATCCTATTTGGGTTGGAAAAACTGGGCAAAGGGGGCAGACCACCTGTATTCCGCTCTGAAGCAAAGGCAGAACAAAATGGGGCTTGATTTTCATAAGTACAGACATATTCCAGGCTTCCGTCCCAATGATGATGAGCAGAAGGGGAAACAGGAACCCACATTTTGGCAGAAACACCTTCATGCACGCTGCAAGGATAGCCCTGGGAGGTGTCGAAGAGGGTGCCCGTTGGCCCCGTGCTTACTCGGGGCCCAGGCTGTCCCCCACTACTTGACAAAGTAGCCCAACATGGGCTGGCTTTAAGAACAGGAAAGATTTTGAAGAAGGCAGTGCCTTCTCCCTCTGGCTTGTCCCTACATTATATGAATCAATGGATGAGATGAATAAAAAGGATAAAATGAGCTACGTGAACTACCCTGGGTTCCTTGCAAGGGGGGAAAAGGTGGAGTATAAATACAGAGCGATCCTACTAGCCACAAAGGCAGTGTTAATAAGATCAGGCTTCGTTTGTCTCCCCTCCACCTCCCCCGCCACCTCCTCCTGACTGTCGTTTCCCAATGGCTCTGGACTTTTGTTGGTTGTGCTCAATGGGACTTCGAAGGATTTTTTTTCCTGGCTCCCAATTTTCACTTGGGAATTGCCTTCCTTGTACATAGCTAGCATTTTGAGGGTCAACCTTGGTTGCCATCTTGCTTTCTACTACTTTGTCACAACCAGATGGACACTTGATTGTCAGGCAGCAGCCATCATCAAGGGGCTTGTGACCTCAGGTTCCCAGCATGCTGGCAAGTCTGTTTCCTTAACAGGCCTTGCTTGACAGCACTCACAAACCAAGCACCAATGGGAGAAGCAGGGACGTTCGAGCTGGCCAAAATTCTCTGAATGTCTCTCCGAAATTTGGTTCAGCTCGCTTCCGTTTTCTTTAAAGCCTGGCTTTGGTTTTGGTTTGGGGAAAGCACACATTTTGAACAGAGATAAAGACTAGGTGATCTGCAACCAAAACAAAAGTCTCACACATCCCTAAGCCCAGGTCTCACCTGGTCACCAGTATAACATCTGGACCACCTAGTCAGTAGTCAGGAAGTCCCCAACATCTGATACCTTCAGCTAGTCAACTCCCCTGAGTTTGTCCCAGCAGGCAGGTTGGGGTCTTCTGAGAACAGCCAGGCTGCCAGATGACTGACGCCCTGTCCTACTGATGGCCACAAATGTCACCAGTGACTAAGAAAACTGTGGCCTGTTTGCACAGAAATGTATTCCCTTTGCTGCCCTTCCTTCAGCCCCTGAGCTCTGACAGGTTTCCACTGCGAGCACTTGGGCTGTTCCATAAACTCTTTTGCAGGAACTGGTGGAATGCTTCACACTGCGCAGGGCTACGAGGTATGTAGAGTTTTCTCGCAAAGCAAGACACAAATGAGGAAAATAAGGCCAGTAGCCTACAAGCCCATTGTCCATGGAAAGGCTTTTCAAAAGCCTTACATTAGAACTTGTGCAAACAGAGGAAAACTTCTGGGTCTGTGAGTCAGTATTTAACAAAATGTTCTTCCACTAAGTTGGAAATGGTCACTCCAAAAGTAGAAGGACATGCTTGATTCAGCCCTGAGACCTGAATAACCCAACTGATAGAGCTAAGCAGAGGTGCCTCAGTTTCCCTTTCAGTCCTCAAATAGCAGATCTTCTGCATCTGGGTATTTTTTCTACCACATGGTATGTGATCCAAAAAGAATGAATAAAGCATCGTTTTATGACTCAAAGATTGTAGTGCAAGAAACAACTGCAAATCATTTCATTAGCAAGGAGTGCCCAATTCGAAAGCACTTCTCTTCTGAAATCTACATCTTGTGTCTCCAGCAGAATATTTTCTGATACTACATCGTGGTTGTAGAGGACTGTGCACACAAAAAGTACAGAATCTTCCTCCCAACACAAGATCAGAGATCCCCAGTGAGTCTGCAGCAGCCTTCCCCCACCTTCAGATCTTTCTGACTCCAATGCCTATCAGCCTCAGCCAGTTTGGGCAATGAGTAGGGATGAAGGGGTGTGGAATCAAATATCTGGAGGGCAGCAGGTTGGAGAAGGTTTTCCTGGATAGCATGAGATTCCTTGATTGGGGTGGAATTTCCAGGGAAGCCTGAGAGGGATGGTTGAACTCAGAGGCCTGCACTGAGCAGGGGGCTGGGCCCGCTGCACTGTTCCAACTCTACCGTTCTATTATTCTACGATTCTATTCCGTGAATTAATTCACAGAGGCTGTGAGTGCTTACCATTGTCAAAAAAAGTCCAAATTCAGGATTCATTTCCACATTATCGCCATCCGTAAAAATGAAGTTCTTCTTGCGCTCTTTCTTACACGTCAGAACTATTGCGATTTGCTGGGCCGCAACAGATAACACGGGCAGATCGATGCGGTTAAACTCATCAAAGCAGCCCCAGGACCCAGACTGAGCAAGACCTTACATTCAAAAAGAAGGGTGTAAACAAGGAGCCAAGGCTGTGCTCATTTTGCATGGCTGCATGCCAAGGGCTACACAGTCCACAGTGCTTTCAAGGAGCAACCAAAGTTAACTTGAAGCAGGTCTAATGAAAAATGGACCTCAACCCCAGATGCTTAAGGGATGCTCCTGATTCCATCAGACACAATACAGGAACCCAGCCTGGCAAGAGGCGTTGTCTCTTCCTCTTGACCTGGAGAGAAGGACCGGTGCATCACTTGCCCAGGCAACCTGGAGGACCCCTGGCTTAATTGGCAAACCAATTGAGAGTCAGAGGGAAGGGAGCACAAGCTTTCTTTGGCTTGCTACGCTGCACCCCTATATCATCACTGCATTCGGTAAACTATGGGTCGTTTTTGAGGTGGGTGGTTTTATTTCTTCCTCAGGATCTTCAAATCTAAACTGAGGTGTTTTGGTTGAACCAGGCCACTGAGGTTAAAACAGGGAGCTGTAGAAGAGTTTCATAAGAAGAGGACTTGGGAAAATTTCTGTACTGACCCATTTGCAGCATTTCTATGCCGCCTCTGGGCAGCATATCTAAAAATGGTTGAAATATAATATAACAGCAACAATCACCGAACAAAATATCTAACAAGGATAAGGCAATGAAGAATTGAAGCACTGAGAAAGTCTCTTCTGAATTACTTTCACACCAAGAGTTCTGATAAAGTACATTCAGTACATCCATACTTGAACTGAACACTGGATTTTACAAAAGGGTCACAGTTTCTAAAGCAGAAGACATCCTGACCTTTGAAGATTCTCCCCAGTCCTCGAAAATCCATCTGGTCAGAGCAATTGAAGACCACGACGTATTTCCCGAGGCACCTCCCCATGTCCTTGGTTGTTTCGGTTTTGCCTGTCCCTGCCGGTCCTGCCGGGGCTCCGCCCATGCTCATGCCCAAGGCTTGAGCTAACGTGATGTAACACCTGCAGACAAAGGACCTTAGCCACCATTCTTTCCCAAGGAGACCTGTCAGGTGCTTATGTGAGCTGCATGAAGGCAGCACAGGAAGTCTAAAGCTTGTGGAAAACTCTCCTAGGCAGGAAAGAGAAGCCGGCACACGAGGAGAAGGTAGGTAGAATTTTCTCTTTCTGTGTGTTGGAGAAACATTCTAGTCCAAAACTATCAAATATAGCAAACAACCCCATCTGTCAGAGAAGTGCTCAGATGGCTAGAGAATATGATTATTACAATATCATTACATTACATTGTATCATTATTATAATATTATTACATTGCACTTATATCCTGCCTTTATTCCTCTCACCGTGAACCCAAAGCAGCTACGGGTTATGACATTATAGCTCCTAAAACCTTTTGGAATGTTTAACTTTAACATTATTGGTTACGACCACTGGACTTGAACAGTATTTGTGGAAATTTGGGAAACAAATGTAACAAATAAAATAAACTATTCAGAATCTGTATTTGATCATTTTAGCCATGCAGCAGATAAATATTTTGAAGCACACTGCATCCCTTGAAATCATGCTAAGGCAATGGAATTTGGGAGGGTGAGACTTTATCTGGCACAGCAAATTAATGCAAACGCACCAGGAGTTCCCCCGAATCTCTTTTCTGCCTTGATTTACAAACCTTGTACACTCTGCCATTTATATGCCACCAAGCAAGGCAGAATAAGGACTGGCTGGGGGATGCTGGGAGTTGCTGGCTTTTTGTCTGCACAGGATTCTACCCGAAACATCTGGGGAATGGCATTAGCATACAGAGTACATAATCCTTCAGGCACGTCTATTGACACAAGCATTCCTCACCTGTCTGTGAGAGGTGTGATGACAAGCCTGTCTGTACAGCCCAAAAATTCATTCTGGTAGGTGAAGGCCACATCGGTGATATTAATCCTCATCTTGTCTGCATCCTCTTTGAAATAAAATCTGCATTGCTTCAGCCACTCAAAGTCTGCAGGACTCTTGATGTGCATGCGGCACTGCGGGCAAGAGATGGAGCAATATCAAGAGCTTTATAAATATTGTTCTTTATAAATAAACAGCTTGCATTTAGCTCATCACCAGGAAGCAGGAATGTGTAAATGCACTGAGAAATCTGTACAGCCCCAAACCTTTGTTGTTAGGGCATTGTGGAATGGAAAATTCCTCAGTACCTTTTATACTAACAGCTTGAATTACCTCCAAATCTGCAGACATTTTTTCAACAGAACTGTTAAGTTCAAATCAGGTGTCCACAGACGGTGGGCCCTAGGCATCCTTGGTGGTGGGTGGGGATCACAGGATAAGCCAAATTCTGAATCTCATTCTCCCTGGTCCAAGTCTAACTCTAACCAGGGCACCACACTGGATCATAGCTCCGAAAGCCCTGTTTCCACACGCTTCTCCAAAACCAGCTCTGGCCACTCAACCCGATTATCCCAGTTTATAGTTTGCCAAGTTCCATTTCAGCCTTTTCTAAAATGGGGGCAACTTTGCAAAGTGGTTCAACGAATGACAGGTGCCAGTAGCATAAGCAGGGCAGCCAGCCAGAGGCAGCCGTGCTCAGAGAACTTGTGCTTTTGAACCAGAGAGGTGGAAACCTTTCCAGTCCAAAGGCCAACTTCCTTTCCGGAGAAGCTCCTGGAGGCCACCTTCACAGAGTGGGCAAACAAACCAGCACATTTTGACTTAGACCTACAACGGCCAGTAACAAGCCCTTACAAAATGCAGCTCAGCCTTTTTGGATGGGGGAGCGGGGGCTGCAGAAAAGCCAGGAAAGCACACAAGGATTGGCCATCTGGGAGAAGGTGAAGGAGCCAAGGAACGGCGGTGTGGCCCCCAGGGAACCCCCGGGAGCCCTCTTGGAGCCCCAAGAGGTCCACATCTGGTACACGGTTTTAGACAGAGGGCTTCCAACATGTGCCATCTTCCTACTCCTCCCTGGAGTGCTTCCACTCAAATTCCCTGTTCTGTACCCAGCAACAGTGGCTGTCCGTGTGGCGCTCCATCACCCTCAGCAGTCTGGACACTCCGCAGACAGTGTGGGTTGAGAGAGGAGAAGAGTACAGAAGGCTCATTGTACAGGGGGAAAACCCCTGAGGTGGGAACAGGGTTATAGGAGTAGCTGGGGGCAGTAATACTGTCAAAAAGAGACACCAAGACTTTAGCTGAGACAGTTGAAGCAAACAGCACCAATATCAGGAGGACCAGTCAACCAAGACAGCCCCAAGATGGGTGGTTGGTCCTTGGTGGCCATACTGAGCAAATGTGTGCAAAACGGGCACCCTGCGCCTTTCCCTGGTGGATCTTTGCAGTGAATAAAGTCTTCTTACCAGGTCATCAAATATGTCCCTTTGGTGCACATGAATGGTGATCAGTGTCTCGTATTTAATGCGCTCCACCGGGCTCAGGTCCTTCGTAGTCATGTCTATCAGGGTGTTCAAGAGGTCCAGGAAAAACTGGTTTGTTTTTGGCATTATCTTCTTGTCATATTTTGCATTTGTCAAAGCTTCTTCAGCATCTCGTGTCCAGATCATCTGAATTCCCAACAAGCCAACCTTAAGGAAAAGAAATCGTAAGTTCTATAGTATTTGAGCAGCTGAGCTTTCCAGACCCCTTTTTCTTATCCCAACCATTGTGCTCATTATGTTTCACCAATGGCTCATAATTATCTTTGGCTGGGGGATTTAGAATGGACTTTGGTGCAGCCTTAGTCATTGTTAAAGACTTACGTTAGCACCCAGGTTCTTGATAATCCTTACTTTAACCTGGTTTCTCAAAACACAATGAATAGTGAACCCTGCTTTGCTTTACCCGTAGCTGAAGTCAGTGAAGGGGTAAACCTGCACCAACCCCAACTGGTCATGTCAAAGGATCAGGGAGAGCAGGTTTAGAAGCACACAACATCATGAAAGCCTCATGATGGCTGGGCCAGAAGATGTGGACTGGCACCCAACACCGTCATGCTAGAAAGGGCTTGATAGAAGTACAGAGAGAAAAGCACCCGCAGAGTTTTTTAAAAGGGTCAACTGCAGGCAAGGCAGGTTGTGTTCTTGAAATGAAAAGAGAACCTGCTTTCTTGCTACACCTGTGTTGCATTCACAAAAAATATATGAGCAAGCGGTTATTCATCCTTACACTACTTGGGATACAATGATTTGATGGAAATGCAGATAATAGTGACCAAAGCCTGGCTGGTTTTCTTTCTTTGCTTCATGCAGTGTTAAATATGTTGCTTGCTGCAATATCAGATGAGGAGGAGGAGGAGGAGGACGAGGATCAAGTTTGCAGCCATCTGGACTTGGTCTACCCTGTATGGGGAGGCTGAGTCTTTCCTGCCCCAGCCCTGATGCTGAAACTTTGGGTTCCTCCCTCTCTTGCAAAGAGCAATGAGAAAAAAGCTTCCTTTAGCAACTGTGAGAGCTCTTTTTTAATTGCCATTTGCAGTGCTGCGGGGCCATTATTTTCAGAATTGCAGTGAAGAAAGGAAGAGTTAAGCCTTTTCTCCGGACCTATTGCTATTCCAAACAGGTTGGTTCCTCACACCCATGGTTAAAAAAAAGAAAGAACCCCCATGTCCTTTCTGTGATGCATTTAACAACACATATCCTTAGTTAATCTCCGTGCTCCTTTTGTTGGCAGATTCCAATACATGAATTGTTATTTCCAAGAACCCGAAAGCTCAGTTGGGAGCAAAAGAAAACCTGCAGTCCCCCAGGAAAGGGTCTCCTGTTGTGCTTAAAGAACTTGATGGAGAAAGCATCTTGAATTGCCATTGGGGTGCATCTTGGAGAGACTTCCCAGCAAACGGGTTGAACTTCCAGTTACACACCCTGCTGTCATACCAAATACAACATTGCAAAATTGCCCAGTCATCTAATTCCTGTTTTTTATTAGAAACTCACCTGAGCAGGATAGGAAGAAAGAAACTCGATCAGCTGGAAATCTGCTTCCTGAATACTTGCAGCTGCCTGTCGAATCACAAGATGCAGGGAGGACTGGGACTCCTTCAGGAGAGAATTGAGCCAAACCTCCACATTACCTTCTGCCATGACAGGCTTTTCCAGCTCAATTGTCTCGCCCTCTCGAGAGGAAATGGAAAGGATCCGATCATAAACCTGTAAGCCACACACAGCGTGACAATTGTGCATCGAACGGTGCAGTTTTCATGTTCTTGCCTCTCTGAACAGTTGAGTGGAGCTGCTTATTTCGGAAGCACGTTCCTTCCTCCAGACCAAACCCTAAATTGACTATGTGGACTACTGTAGGAAGACTTACTGTGCGTGGATGCTCCCCGTGCAACTGAATAGCAGCCTTGAGGAGGGTGACTGAGAGCAGGGATGCAGCACAGAAAGGGTTAACTAACCCCCAGCACGGTTCGCTTGAAATCCAAGTTCACTGAAGCTGCCGATTATTTCTTCCCCTCTTTCTTTCTCCCTCCCTTGAACACTTTGCCCCCCTATACAGATTCAGATAACTGCTCCTTCACGCCCCATATTGTCTACTTTGGCTGGCAGCAGCTTCCTTTCCTAGTACCCAAAGCTGACAATATGAGGGGCTTCCTGCAGGCAGAGCACGTGCTTCACCACCAAGCTCTGGCACAGATACTGCGACGCCGGTGCTCTCCCGCGGTGTACGGATCCATGCAACAGCACAAGCAAACAGCTCCTGGTGCTGTGGGCATAGATGGGAAGGCCCACCCTCCTGCACTGCAGCCCCAGAATCTCCAAGGCGCCTCCGGCGTCCCTTCCAGTTTTGCTGCCGTGGCACTGCTTGGTCGCCTGCCCACCGTAAGCATGCAAGCAGTCACAAAGGCGTGAGTCTTCCAGCCTTCGTGCTGTAAACTGTTCCCCATTCTTCCTCTCATTTTCCCTATCACTGTAAGCCGCCTCTCACTTCGCAAAAGCACATCATAGGTGTAAGCTACCAGCTTAATTATTCCACCTCCATGGCTATTTTGGACACCAAGCAAACACAGGGTAGCTTTCCAGTGGTCCTGCCCCAATTGTGAATACCCTTTCCCAGAGCCTCGGACCAAGCCTTCCTTTCTTCCTGAGCTAGTTTTTGGTGTTCGGAAGCTTTTAGTAGCTTGATTCTTCACATCTGGCCCGTTTTTGAAGAATTACAGAGCTGTCAGAAAGCTCTCACCCTCCCTTTTACTTTTTGTTCCAAGAAAGTTTCCCTTATTTGAGCCAATGAGGTTAAGATGGGGCTCACGGGGAACCAGCGTGCACCCCAGACCTCAGAGAAGCCTTATTCTCTTGTGAGCTTGATTCCGCAGGTGCACAAACCTTTTCGTGGAATTTTACAGTTTTGATGTTATCAAAGACATTTAGCAGGTGAGCTTGTATAGTGTGAGAATCCGAAGCCTGGCCCAGAATCTCCAGGAGAGCGGGGTCGGACACAAAGAAGAATCGGGGGAAAGAAAGCCGCTTTTTCTCCAGGTATCTGAATTGGAACAAAGAAGTAAAAGTGGCGAGATTACAGGACACAACTCCACCATGGCTTTTTGCTGATCCAGGGCTCTCATCATCCCATTAGACTAGTGAATGCATCATTAAGGGTGGTTGCTGCTCCAGGGGCTTACGAAAGCTTTGATGCTACGGCCTGGCATTGCAAACCACTTGCCACGTGAACTAATGAAGGCTCCAGACATTCCTAATTTAAATGATGATGAGCTAGCAAGAAAAAGCCAGAACCGCAGCCAAATGGACCTGAAGTCCTGTTGCTCTGAGAATTAACTGCTAGTTTAATTCAGCTTTCAAGTATTTCTGGATCTGCACTTCATTCAAATAAATATTCTGAAAACGAGATAAGATGGGTCTTCGGGGATCAGAGTTTGGCATTCTGCACACATTCGGGCTCACGCAGTCCCTTGCCTCCTCTTCTGGTTTGGTCATGAGAAAATCAGAAGGTTTGCTTCTGCTTTCAAAGCTGACCAATGTCCAAATTTGTTTAAAGAATGGGTTAGCAATCTGGTGCCTTCCAGATGTTTGGAATGACAATTCCCAGAAGCCTGAGCCAGCAATACTAATGGACCAGGATTATGAGAGCTGTGCTCCAATTATCTGGAAGGTACCACTTCCTACCCCTAAAGCTAACGAGTTTCTCAAGTTCAGTCATCCTGGAGGATTTCAGTAAGTTTGGGAGCAAAAGATTCTCATCTATTCCTCAAGCCTTGGGAACACCTAAATCCAGTGCTCACCTAGACACTCTTCTAAAGTCAGTGTCAAGTCCTATCTGGGCCATTGGCCACATATGGAAAAATAATATCTTGGCTTAATAAGTCATGGTTTAAAGCTTACAGTGTTCCAAAGCCATGAATTCTGATCTTTGCCTTTGGAACACACTAGAAAATAGAGTTGATTGGAGGCTTTCTCGGTTTGCCAGGCACACAATGGAGGAGCAAAGAGCCTTCACAAGCAGCCAAAAGGTTTGTTCCTGTCTTTGCTTACAGAGCTGCTTGTCTAACCATGTCAACTGCCCCCAGCCAATAAAGCCCCACTAATTCCCCCATTCCACCACACCCCCAGAAAGATGTCTCAGCAGCTAAGTGCATTTCCTGCCAAAAGCTGAACAGTACAGGCTCTGCCTTTTGATATTCAAGGCCAGTATATCAGAATACTTACAAAGGGGGAAACAAATATCCTGATGTGTTCTTTTAACTGTCAGTGGTCACCCAGACAATTGAGAGGTTTTGAGGAAGGCCTTACATTGTAGCCTTAAATTCTCTCATTTCATAAGGATCCCTAAGGTTGCCTTTCGACCCGATGTAATTGTCCCAGATTCTATTTCTGAGCACGAGAATAGCAATGGCAGCAGGCCTGTTTGAACCACGCAAGGGGGTGGCTGAGCAGGGCGCACGCCAGAGGGACATGGATAATATTCCCACTCGGTTGCCCACTGCCAAAGCATTTCCGCACAAGCGGCCTCACCCTGTCAGAGACTTCTGGCAGCTCTCCAGCTGTTCCAGCAAATGAGGCAGCAGCTGCCCCATTGTTTCGTCCCCCACACAGCACTGGACCACATTTGGTATTTCGTGGGCTCGCGTCATGATCTTCACCCACGATTTGTCGATGTTAGAGAAACGTTTGGCTTCCTGTTTTAAGATACAAATGCAGTGGCATCTCAGTTGCTGCAAGATCCATAGATACCAGGAATTAAGAGATTTATCTTCAGCAGCCCATCTGTTCCATTTCTCACACTCCTCTGTTGTGAAGACATTCAGCAGCTGTAGGCTATATGTCCAGGTGTGCGCTTTACTGCCAGGGCTAAACCGTTTAAGACTTTCAAATTGTCTTAATGCAAACTGCAAATCCCATAAAACAAAGGCTTTTTACCTTTGGAAGCTGCTTGGCGATGTCCCCACCCACAAAGACAGCCTCTAAGTAGATCCACAAATTCTGCACCGTCATCCAGTTCTCAATTACGTCTGTTGTGTTAGACAAATATTGTACCCACTTCTGTATCTGAGCCTTGAATGGGGTGTTGTACCTGAAATAATGACACTTGCTCAGCAAGGCCATTAAAAATGAGCACAGATCTACCCAAGGAGAGGAGAAGAACATCATCAAAAATGGAACGTCACCTGTTGCTCATCAGGGAGCCGAGAACCATCAGGCTGTCTTCCATGCTTGCAATGGTTTCAGAAGTGCTGTCTCCCCTCAACAGCAGCTCCCCGCGGGATTTAAAGTTGGCAAAAGTGAATGTTTTGTTGTCCCATTCGGCAATCACCTGTTTCAGCTTCTGCTCAATGTCCCTCTCCTTCACAGCACTGATGCAGATATCCTACCAAACCGATGGCAAAATTACTCCAGAGAACACAACTCGCATGTTGGAACATCCTTTGGTAGAGCAGACCTAGAAGGAGCTATGCACACATCATTTTTGGGAAGACCCAAAGCTCTCAAGGGGGTCCATGTGGCAGTTTCCACATGTTTGAGGTGCCAGCAAAGCCACGCTTAATGCTCAGCAAGAGCATGTTTCATGTGAGGGATGAGCTGATGCCCCTGAAGAATGCCCATGCAATGTATTGGTAGTGATCTCCTAAACTGGTCTTTGTCGGAAGGTTAGTTGGTGAACTACAGCTATGCTTCCTGGATAGCTGAGCGCAGCAGCTGACAGCAAGGCATTTCATCAGGTAAACCTCCCAGTGGCCACTTGCGCTTGCCCAGAGGATAGACACTGGCAGGCAGCAGCAGGAGCAGAGGCTGTTCAGTACCTGCAAGTGCATGGTAGCTGCCTGGATAGTCCTCTTGTGCTTTCAGGGTGTTGATGGGAGCATCTCCTGCTTCCAGAAGCCATGTGTAAGGGTCTGCAAGGGAATTCCTCTCCCACCTCAACTGCCTGCCATGGCCAACAATTTTGCCTAGCAATCCGTCTTACTGATGCTGCTGGATGAGAGCAGGATTCTGGGAAAAATCACCTATGGCATTGTGGGGAAGGGAACAAGGGTGCAGAGCTACAAAGCTGGACATTATTGCTTTGGGGACTGATGGAGGAGTAGGAACAGCTTGTGGGCAGATGCCTGCAAAGGACAGAACACCCAGGAGACAAGCCGTGTGCTACTTATTGTCCTGCAATTTCAACTTGCCCTTGTATGACTGATACATTTAACCACCTTTCCAGTAGCAATTGTTCGTATTTGAACAACAATTCAATTATTGTTCAAATTCAATCCAAGGTTCAGTTTAGATGCCAGGAAGCACTTCCTGACAGTCAGGACCCCGAGGGTGTGGAAGGGGCTTCCACGGGAGGTGGTTGTGGCCCCATCGGTGCGGGTGTTCAAGGATAGGCTGGAAGTGCACATGCTGAGCATGGAGCTGGGGGTCAGACTAGATGGCCCAGGAGGCCCCTTCTGACTCTGTTTTTATGTATTCATGACAGGCCTATCAGAATCATCAGAGGCCACACACAGCCTCATGCCACTTCTCCTCAGCTAAGGCAACGCGTGTTTCTGGGGATGAAAACACAACACATGAACTCCAACAGCCAGTTGATCAGCCAGTCAGTTCCCACTCTCTGCAACAGTGGCAGAAACATCTGGAGCACCAGGGAAGAAGCTGAATGCCTGGAGCCCTGAGAACTGCACCAGCATGTGTGAATGGAGCAGAGTGAGCCCTGCCCTGGGGAAACTGAAAACACTTGGCTTCTGGAGAGGTATCTACACCAACTGCAGGCCCTCCAGAAGTAGCAGAAACATTCATAGTGCAAGGGAAGAGACCACCTTTATCTCTGTCTGAGTTTTGAGAGTTCACCAGGATGAGAGTGAGGGGAGCATGAGAGAGATCAGCTGCTGCAGACCCTAAGAAATCTGACGGCTGTTTTCAGCATTGTGTATTCCTGGGGTGCTTGTTTGCAAGTGTGTTTTCCTGACTAAATGTCTCGGTACATAGGAAAGGTTTTGCATGTTGGGCTCTGGCTCGCACATGACTTCATGTGGTGTTGTGATTGTTGAGCGTGCCTATCTTATCCTTAAGCTGAAATGTTCTAATGCTAATATTAGTGAAATGAGTTGTTTGGGTTGATTGTTGTGATGAGATATTATTGGGAATGGTGTACTGGGACGCTTTCTTGCTTTTTGTGTAGCTGTTGTGCCATTAGACACTTTGAGAAGTTTCTGTGGGGATGCAGCAAATTAATTAAATGACAACAATGATAATGGACACTAGAATAAGTAGATATCTTGGCTCAAGGCATGTCAGTCAAAGATGGTTGCACAGAATCGTGTGAATTTTCCACACATAGATACTGTGCTGAATCTGCTTAAGCTACAAGTCTGACCCAAATACATATGGACCACCTGGAAACCGTATGTGCTACCAAGGGGAAGAACAGAACACTAACACATGTAAGAAACAGATATATACTTCTGACGTCCTACAAGCATCACTGTGTCCTTGACAGTCCTTGGATATCCATGGATATTCCTCCATTGTTAATTCAACTTTCCATGCTAATATGTAGCTCCCATGCCTTCCATCATGTCTGATCTGTGGGCTGATTTCAAGATGACCTGAAGGAACAGCCAGACTTCCGAAGGAGCACAAAGATGTCCTATTTTCAGACTTTCAAGGTATAATCCTGTGCATGTTTAGACAGGAAAAGATTGGGAGCATTCTGAGAACTGTAGGCCTTTTTCTGGCTAAACATGCATAGAATTGTGGTTTTTGAGATAAAATTAGCTTCAGCTATGTGCCCCAAATTTCAACTATGTGTACTAAGGTTCAGCTATTTATCTGAGTTTAAGTATCTACCTATTTAAAAGAGAAGAAGTACCTTTATTCTGTCAGCCAACAAAATGAGGCAGACGGAAGTATTATACCATATATAACTGAACAATTTGCTTGCCAACCTCCTTCTGCTATTGAACATGCTGAAGGAAATACTAACGTATTAGAACATGAGGAAAGCCAGGCTGGATCAGACCCAAGGGCCCTCTAGTCCAGCACTCTGCACGCATGCTGGCAACCCAGCTGCCCACAGGATCCCTCAGGCAGGACGGGTGCAAGGCCTCCTCCTCCCAGCTCCTCAGCACCTGGTGCCACCTCTGGTAAAGGAGGAAGCACACAGGCTGCTTTGTCTGGAACTGGGTGGAATGGGAAAGAGTGGGCAATTGTGTAGCTCCAGCTTTTCTCTACTGGGGATAGGCTACCTCACCAGCTACAGTGTCTGAGTCCAGGTCAGTGTTAATACCTCGATCTCTTCTTTATATTTCAACAAAGGTGCTTCCATGATGTTCTTCAGCTTGAAAGCCTCATTTTCAACATCAAAACTGTGGTCGGTGAGATCAGTGATGCGCTTCCAGTGCCGTGCCATCATGGCTCTGTTGGACATCAGCTCGAGCAGAGGGCAACATTCGCTGAAGTCGTCTATGGTCCTCTTGAGATCCAGAAATGCTTGCCACTCCTTCAGAGCTCGGGGCAGTTTGCGGCACCTGCACCCGTGTGCAACACCCAGCACAGTAAATTTACTCTAACAGTACTTGAAATAGTTTCCGCTTACAATCACAACCCTGTGCACTTCCAGTCCGAGGTAAGCCCTACACGTTCAGTGGAATTGTTCCCAGTAAGCATGCCCTTTTAATTACTTGTATTAGAAAGCTCATTGTGATATGCAGTACACCGTGTAATTATTTCTCTATACTTAAAACCATGTAAAATAGATTAGATTATAATAGTAATTTAGCCAACACCCTCCTCATGGAAGTGAGACAAAGCACAACAGAACTTACACAAATTTTAAAGGAATAGTATGGAGTTATATGTAGGGCATTCAAGATTGTAGTCAGCAAATCAGCTGCTTGCAGCCCTCCAGATAATGTTGGACAACAACTCCCATCATACCTTGTCATTGGCTCTGCTAGTTAAGGCTGCTGGGAGGTGTAGGGCAAAACATCTGCCCATCCATGCTGAAGTCAGCTGATTGCCCTGGAAGGGGTAATAAAAGTCCTATTCCATTCTATTCCTCCTGAATTAAAACTGCCAGAATGCAGCAGCAAACAGTATACAAGCTAATGAAAGCATCTTAGTTTGCCTCTCCACCATCACAGTTTGATTCTTATTAGCAAAATGGCCACATGCTTATTTGAAGTTTTGTCTCTGCTGTAAATGAATCCAGTTTATGGCTTGATATGCTTCCTTTTAAAAGAGGCCCTATAATGAATTCTCCCATCTGTACACAAGACACATCTAGTTCTCAGCGAACAGTCACAGTTCCTTTGTAGTTATTGGAAGTGTTGAAAACTTAATCACATCACAAAGGATGGAAATGAAATGAAATGAGTGGAACAAAGACAGAAACTAAAGAAGATTAAGTAAACAAAAAGCAATTAACTGAGGTTAAATCTTCCTCCCATTGCTCTTTCAAAGATCTGCTTTAAGCAGCTGAAGATTAGCACCCAATTTCAAGGAAAAGATATATGCTTCCCCTCCCTCCATCCAAACCTGACAACAGGTGAGAGCAACGTATGCTAAATACAGATATAGGATCCCTCCAAGGTTTCCCCACCTGTTCTGAAACTCAAGGAGCTCATTATTAATCTTCTCAATGTTCACTTCTGACCAGAGGATATCATAATATCCATTTACGGTATCAATGACATTGTTGTACAGGCTGTAAAGCTTCTGCAACAGGTTTAGCTGCTTCTTGATCTCGAGGAGCTGAGGATACTGAGTAACAGGCAAACCAAAAAGTTCTTCACCTCCAGTGTAAGTGATGTACTTCCGATAAAGGTTGTCAAATCGATTCTAAGGTTTAAAGTTAAAAATGTAAGCAAACTCACAGCACTTGAACTCGCAAGGAAGAGAATTTCAAGAAGACATTCATCTAAAACAGGAACTGTCAACAGCCCAAGTAAACAAGACTAAAGAGGCAACCCCAAAGGATGGAATTTGTCACAGGTTTTGGTTTTCCTTCTTGAACTAGAAAGCCCTGTGAATTTCTACTTGCTATCTTTATGTTTCAGATAGGAAAATGAGCCCCTGCTGCTGCTAGGAGTTTCCTTTTCTTAAAAACACATGCAATTAAGATGCTCAGGAGCCAAGAGTCAGAAAAGATACCTGAAATATGATAAGCCTGTCACTAGCTTCCTGAGGCTCAAGACCATCCACCATGGGACCATTCTGGAAGAGGAAGAGAAGAGTGATCGCATTAATAAAAGTCACACATCCATTTAAAACCCTTCCGTAAAACATACCATCCTTGTTCTAAGAACTTCCATTCTGTCATCCCTATCATGGCTCCACCGTTAGGAGTGCATGTGCATTAAAAAGGCTCGCACGGCGAGGAGTACGGCTGAAAGCCATGCTTTCCTTGGCACCTGCTGACAACAGAAGCTCTCAGATGTGACAAAGCAGTGGGCCATAAAGAGGGTGTTGCGTGTCCTAGGAAAAGGAGTAGCTTTCACCCAGGACGTGAATGTTTGCCTTCACCCTGCAGACCCATGCATCCTATAGTCTGTGCCGTGTGGATTCGTCAGGATCCTGTGGAGAAAAAAGCACCCAGGCTTTGCAACCACTCCAGCCGCTGGGGCATGGTTCACAGGTGCATCTTGATCACCTTCCACATCAACGTATGCTTTCATTCTGGACAGTCGTCTGAATGGGATGGTGTAACATGGTGTCCTGCAACAGCAGGGGGCTGGACCCAATGGCCTTCTGGCCTCTTCAGCTCTGCTATTCTATGGTTCTATGAGGGAATGGGATGTTGCACCATGACTACAACTTTCATATTACCCATGATCACTTCTAAAATACAGTTTTTCAAAGGACTTAGCAAGTCGCCTGTCATGGACAGAGCCAGTTTTGGATAGAACTACTTCTGAATAGAGATTTATCAGCAACCTGAATGACATATCTCCCTTCTTCCAAAATGTAGAAGGAGAAAAACCTTGCTTAATTTGAAACTGATAAATCCCCTGACATAATGAACCACCACTAGCTTAGGGTCCAGCCTGCACTTATATGTCTGAGTTCTTCTCTTCATTCAGGCTTTAGATTTTATAATCGAGTAATAAGTATTAATAAAAAAATGAATATGTATATTAAAATAGAACAGGACAGATTAAAGCATAGCTTCCAATGTCCTTCACAGTCTTTTTATATCAAACTGGTCCAAAACTTGGGGATCATTCTATCTCCAAACAGGTAGGCAAAACTCTAGTTTTCCTTTCCTTTCCATCTCCTTTTTCCTGTCTTTATCACGTTCCTCTTTTCAGCATCAGTAAGATCAACCTGCCCCACAGTCTCCTAGCAACCAGCCTTATCTTCATCCTGGAACACAGATTTATTGTTATGACAAAGCTGTTCTCTCTGTTCTCAGAAGCTACGAGCCTTTCTGGGGGGTGTTTTTTATTGTCTCCTGCTTTGTAAAGATGTTATAGAGGAAAAGCAGGATAAACTGTTAGTACAGCCTCTGGTCCATCCCGGAGTTCTCTCCACTAATTAAACCAATTTCTACTTGGGTCAATACATTATCCACCATTATTAGCTGGACACAGTGGGGAACACAAAACAACAAATGGCATGTACCCCGGTGTGGAATGATGTACAATGCATATGTAAACCTTATCTCATAGCCATCAGGGCACATGTTGCCCTTCCCAAAATAGGTACTGATGTTTCTTTAGAGATGTCAGAACCTTACTGGATGTAACAATTTAGTTCTGGAATTCCAACCTTACTAGAAGAACAAAAAGACTGAATTTTTTTAAAATATTCAGCTATTTACCAACGGATGCTAGCCTTTTAATATGGCCTTATTGTTTCTCAGACTTATTTTAGTCTGCCTCTGTAATTTGTTTCATGAACCCACCTTTTCCTAAGAATGGAAAAGCAGATTACAGATTGCAAATAAGTGTGAGTTGGTCATAGAACAAATCAAGTCACAACCTCTTAAGAAGCAGAAAAATTAGAAAGCAAAGAGGAGGGCAATAAAAATGATCCAGGGCTTGGAAATATTGCCCTTTGAAGACAGACTGAGAGAACTGGACATGTTCAGCCTTGAGAAGACTGAGAGGGGTCATGAGATCCCTCCATAAGTACCTCAAAGGCTGTCACAAAGAGGAAGGTCAAGATCTCTTCTCATTGGTACCAGAGTGTAGGGCTTGGAATATTCAACTCAGGTTGCTGCAACCCAGATTCAGGATAGATAGCAGCAAAAGTTTCCTCAGTGTCAGAACAATACACTAGTGGAACCAGCTGCCTGGAGAGGTGGTGAGCTCTCCCACACTAGAGACATTCAAGGCAAAAGTGGGCAGTCATCTGAGTGGGATGGCGTAATGTCGTGTTCTGCAACAGCAGGGGGTTGGACCCGATGGCCCTCTTGGTTCCTTCCAACTCCACTATTCTGTGATTGTGTGATTCTCCCTTAGAAGCAAAATGACTCTGAGCACATTGTGAAAAGGCAAGATTTCCTAGGGAAGACAGCCATGCTATGGAAAGGCAAAAGCAGAATCATAGAACAGTAGAGTTGGACAGGGTCAAGAAGGCCATCAGGTCCAGCCCCCTACTGGTGCAGGACCCCAACTAACCCACTCAGAGGGTTGTCCAGTTTCTTTTTGAAAGCCCCTAGTGTGGGAAAGCCCATGACCTCTCTAAGCAGCTGGTCCCAGTGTTGTTATGTTGTTATGCCATGATGGCTAGGATTTTTTTTCTGAGATCCAGCCTGAATCTGGCGTGTTGCAGTTTCAGTTTGTGGTTCCATGTTCTACAGGAGGGGATGAGTGAGAAGAGACCCTGTTCTCCCTCTCTGTGGCAGCCTTTTGGGCTCGTACTTGCAGAGTGCCATCTCCTCCCGCCTGGGTCTTCTCTTCTCTTCGCAAGGCTGATGGTTCCCTGTTCTCCGGACTGATGCAGCAGAGGAAGCCACAGCCCTGTGCCTGCAAGACCCATGCAGGGCTTGGGGCTGCCCTGGATGGGCCCTTTGGAGGCCTTCCATTCCAAGGGTCGCTGCAAGTTGGAGGCAACTCGATGGCACTACATAGCAACAGCAAATAAGCGTAACTGTTTTAGAAATGTTACAGTTTTGCAAATTGTCGTGTTTATTGCAGTTGATTTGATCTTGTTTTGCTTTGAATTCTTGTACCTTGCTTTATATTGTATTTTATTGTATCTTGTATCCTGCATTAATGTATCCTGTAAACCCTGAGAGCCTTCTATGCTTAAGTGGCAGTATAGAAATTTAATTTAATAATAAATAATAGTCATAGTAGAAATAATTTGAACAGGCCACTTTTGCTTTACAATCAATCAAAAGGAAGGCACCAAGAGGCCCTGGTTGCCTTCTCGCTAGCTGCCTGCACTGCACCGTCCAAAGTCCCATGGAACCTGGACCGCCATCCCCCGTGGCCTGCCTTGTACTAAAAACTAAAAGGCCTGAACCAAGGATCAAGGCAAGAGGGCAGGTATGTCAGCACCATCTACTTTCAGCTTTTAACACTTGGCATATTTGCAGGCAGCTTCCCAAAGACCTGTACCCAAGAATGAAAACGATTATTCCCAATATGCAATAGTCCTGCACCTTGTCATAATCTAAGTAGTACTGATCACAGTCGTCGACAAATATCTCCACCGTGCTTATTAGCTCTCCTCTGAACTTGGGCTGCAATGCGACCAATTCATTCTGCACCTCATTTGCTCGGACCAGCAGTTTCTCCCAGGCGTAACGCAGCGTGTCTATCTTCTCCATCTCTTCTTTTGCCACCAATAATTCATACTTATTTAACATTGCATAGGACTCCTGGCAAGACAAAGGTTGTTATCTACGACCATCGGAAAGTCTCCGTGTAGCTAGGCACATAACGAAACATTCCTTTGGGATGGAATAGCACCAAGTGGTCCTGCCAAAGATGTAAGGGAATGAGGCTAGTACAAAAGGCATCTAAAAATTAGCAATGACATGGAGCGTAAACATGGAGTGTAGTACATGTTCTTCTACCAGATACAGCCTATATGAATAGTTCAACAGGTGAGTAGGGATGAAGAGATTTTTAGAAAGTTGATCCTGAGAGTGAATTTATTCATGGCTGCAGATCAGAGCCCCAAAGGCATGTGTGTATTTCCCAACAGACATGGCAAATCTCCCAACAAATGAAACACTCCTTCAGCGTGCAAGATATTGCACAAGCTCACCTGAGTGTTGAATGGGGATTCGATGAGCAATCAGGTGCTCATCAGTGTTTCAGGCACAATCAAACTGCTCCTCTCCCTACCTTCAACATTTTTCATTTTGCACGTACAAGATGAAAGATATGCATATGGGCACTTCTGTAAATAAATGAGCTCTCCATGGGTGACATCAGTAGGAGTGAAGCTAAGCTGCAAATCACAAAACTCTGCATTTGCAGATCCTGCAGATTCACTTGGCCAGATGACTGTACTAAAAATGTGAAGTCACTTTTCAGCAATGCAGAAATACTTTTAAATGCAGCACGGAAGGCTTCCCACGGCTCCATGTGTGCTTTGATTTTATTGACATGCTGCTAACAGTTACATCAGAACCATGATAAATGGGTCGACGTCCCATATCAATCATCGTTGACCAAAATGGCTTCAGGCCATCCTTTCAACAGATTCTGCACTAAAAAAAATTGGGGCCATGGAGAAATATATGAAAGTGTCATTTATGCATTGGTTAACTTTAAAAAGGCAGTGTGGAATTAAAAGATGAAAAGCTCGTTCTTTCTTCATAATACTAAAGAATCTGTAACTTGGCATCGATACCGCTCTACAGCTTCTGAGAGTGGGGTGAGGGAGGATGTAAAGACACTGGCTAGAGCAGGGGTCTCAAACTCAGCTTCCCTGGGGGCCGCTGGAAGTAGAGTCTGGGTGAGGCTGGGCAGCATCAAGCGGTGGTGGTGGGCCACTCATCCGGAGGCCGGCCCAGCGCCGCCAGCGCTATGAAGGCTGCAGGGCCCCTCCCCGTGCCCCGCCCGTCCTGGCAAGTGGCCCACGGGCCGCGAGTTTGAGACCCCTGGGCTAGAGTAATCACCTGACCAGCTGCCCCATGCACTTTCTGAAAAAAAGATTCACCGTCCAGAAAGAATGGAGGTAAGACAAGAATGCAGACGAGCTGCACGTTTACATGATCCTGAGCCAAATGCTGTATCTCAGCACTGAAGCAAGTTGCCAATCCCCTTCAAAGTCAGAATTATATCAAGGGCCCCTTAGATGTTTCTAGTTTCCAGGATCAGGCTCAGCAGTACAAGCAGGTAACCATGAATAGGGCCAGAGGTTGAGGAAGGCCTCCAGGCCAGGAGCAGAAAGGGAGAAAATGGGAAAACTACATTCTGTCTTCCTGATTCCAAGTTGAAGGCCAACTTGAGATGATTTCCTGACTATGATTCCCAACGATGTGAATCCCTTTTCCAGTTCAGCTGTAACTCCCAGAAGCCCATTGTGCAGAGTGAATAAGGAAACAAGGTAATAACTTGCAGGCACGAAGGAGTGATGGTAGAGATCAGGTGGGAAGGCTGGGCAAGCCTTTTCTCTGGCCCAGATTCTCATTCCTCATGGTCACAACACAGACTCACAGGCCCAGAACCAAGCCAATGAGTTCCAGTCAGTTTTCATAGGAAATGTCATTGCTGTTTTTAACACTCTTAAGCTGCCTTGAATTCCCACTAGGCATGAAAGGTGGAAAAAGATTCAGTGAATCAATAATAGCAGAAAAGTAGAACAATCTGTCCTAGAACCTCAGGTGTGAGCTGGGAGGAGACAACCGAATGCAGTGCTAGGGCAGGAAACAGGTAAAGGTCACTTTGCAGTTACCTCAATTGGTCCCACTTGGAAATCTATTGAGATCTGTTGCTCTCGGATCTCTTTCAGTGCAGCCATAGCTATCCTTATATCATCCAGATCTTTAATTTGACGGTTCAATTTCTTGCTGATTTCCTCGACAAAGGTAAAGATGTTCTCCATTTCTGTCCTGTAATTCTTGTTACAGTGACGTCCGAATGCAATCATCCAAGCCTTGGTTTCTGTTGTAAGGGCCAACTTTAGGTCCACTGGGAAAGAAATTCAATCAACGATAGCTAGTTAAAGAAGTGATGCCAAATCTCTTCCTGCAACCATCTTTCCTCCTTCATTTGATCCCACAGAGCTGACAGAAATGATGTTATGATATACTTCATTAGAACCAACATGTAGCACAAACAGAGAGTTACAGTATGTTTGTATGCAATTAAATCCCACTGAATTTGATGGCACTTTACTCCCAGGTAAATGTGTGCACAATTTCAGCCTTCACGTTGTTTTAAGCTGTGGTTTCAGACTGAGAGCAGCTAAAAAGATTTGCTGACAACTAAATTATGAAGTTACTGTACCTGTATATAATGCAATGGTTCCCACACATATGTATTCAGGCTCCGAATTAATTTCAGCTGCTAAGTCTCTGTAATAAAGGATTTGGGATTCAAAGTCTGACAGCAAAGGACTTTCTTTGATGAATTCTTCTATGGTTTTTTCTTTCTCCTTCTGCCAGATGTGATGGTAACGTCTGAAACGCTCCAAGGCCACAAGGACTTCCTGAAAAATTCAGAAGGCGATTCTATACACTCAATTACAGTCACAAGGGAAGTAGGGAAGTCAGATCTGCAAAGAACCCAGCGCCCGATCCCAAGCAGCCTGTTTCATTCCATTTTGGTTGGTTCACCAAGCAAAGCAAGAAAACAAGCTGTCCAGAAAAAGTTCATCAGCATCTCATGTTGCAGAGATATACCAGACGACCCTAAAACAGCCCAAGGGTTCTGGATGGTTTGCTAACAGTTCCAACAACTCCCTCAGGCTGGGTTCACACCTAACAACAAGCCACATTGTATGCCCAACAAGGCTTGTATTTGAAAGTATTGCACTGCAATGGAAGCACCGAGGGGGAATTAACCCATGGTGGCTTGTACTATCTGCTGTCTGAATCTGTTCATACAAACTGCCTTCACCCTCAACAGATCCCCAAAGGAGGGATGGGGAAGAGAATCAACTCCCCACCCCTGAAGTTGGAGTGTTCCCCTTCCGCATGAGTTGATGAAGCTGCAGGTTTCTTAATTTGGGAACTCTCTTGGCCGACCTGCACTTTCAGAAAAATAGTCCAGAAGGAACGAAGCGTGATGAGCACATCCCCCACAAAGCAAAGCAAAGCAAAGCAAAGCAAAGCAAAGCAAAGCAAAGCAAAGCAGGAGATTGCTCCCCTGCCGTGATCATTCTCAAATCTGACAAGCTTGATTCCCCCAGAAGAAGCATCTGTCCATGCCATTTCCATCTGCTTCCATCCAGATATATATTAAAAAGTTATTGGCAGTTCTCTTTAAAAAGAGCAAAGATATGAACCCACATAGCACACAAAACCCTGCCTCTATTTCCTCTGATGTTCGGCCAGCACAGTCCCCTTCAGAGGGACCACCGCCGCTAGAAGCATCAGCCCAGTCTGAGCAAGGAAAAAGATTATAGCCAGTTTCGGATTTTCCATGGTTGTCACTAGTGTCCCCAACAATGGATTTCTGCAAAACCTTGTGTTCCTGCCCCAGCTTTTATCACTCTGCTTCACAGTTTCCATTTGATTAAGCAAAGCCCTTTTTCTGTGGAACAGTTTGCTTTTTCCATCTGTTGCTGCAACAGCCCCTCTTCATCATCCTTCTTCTCCTCTTTCCTTCTCATCCCCTGTGCTGTGACTGCATCGTTCTTTTTTAAGAACTCAGGAGCTCTGCTGGACCAGACCAAAAGCCCGCCCAGTCCAGCCCCCTGTTCGCACCGTGGCCAAGCAGCTGCCCATGTGAACCCACATGCAGGGCACGAATGCCGCAGCACCCTCCTACCCAAGCTCCCCAGCAACTGGTGCACACAGGCACGCTGCCTCAGACTGGGGGCAGCCTGCAGGACTAGGAGACACGGACAGCTCCCTTCTCCCTTCTGCCTGATCTGCCTTTAAAGCCACCCAAGTGGGTTGCCATCGCGCTGCCTCATGGAAGCTGCTTCCATCGTTTAAACCTGTTCCATGAGAAGAAGTCCTTCCTTTCATCTGTTCTGCATCTCCCATCAGCTTCACAGTGTGACCCCCCGTTCTCAGTTTAGGAAAGCGGAAGAAAAAGGTCTCCCTCTGACTTCCTTCACACCATGCATAATTTTGTGCCCCCCGTCATGTCTCTCTTTACCTGCTTTTTTCCTCAGCCAAACAATCTCAGCTGGTGTAACCTCTCCTCAGTGGGAAGCGCTTCCAACATTTTAGCTGTCCCTTTCTCCACTTTTTCCAGCACTACAATATCCTTTTCAGGTGTGGTGGCCAGAACTGTACACAGTATTGTAATTGTGGCCCCACCATAGATTTGTATAAGGGAGCCTGATGCTGGCAGTTTTATTTTCAATCCTTTCTTGAGAATGCCTAACGTGGAGGGTCACCAATCTTCATCATGAGCACTGCTTGTTCAGCTACTATCAGCCTGCACTTGGATTAGCGGACAGGACTCGCCCCAGTGTGAACTCCCTTACATTTGCTCACAGTGACCTGCATTTGCCATTTTGGGGCCCATGTACCCAGTTGGGAAAGCTTCTTTTGGATTTTCTCCCGGTCCCTTTTGATTTAAACCACACTAAAGCTTAGCCCCTGGATTGCTTGTACATAGTTCTGGGCTTTAAGGCCAGGGTTCCAAAGGTTCTCTACCCTTTGCTTACCCTTTTGGTAGAATTGATCGCAGTACTCAGAACAGACATCAGTTTGATTATTTCCTTATTCTCCGAAATGGTTTTGTAGTAGTTCTTGCTTTGGGTAGGAGAAGGCAGAATCAGGGAGCCTGTCTCTGTAGGATCTGAAAACACACATGTCCCACAATGACAAATGTCCCATTGATAGAGCAGAGTCAAAAGGCGCCTGGTGTTGCAACGACTCTTTCACCGTCTGTCTTTGCTTCCTTACTTTGTATTGTGACTCACTCCATAAATTGGAGGCCCTCTGGTTCAGGGACTTAGCTATCAGTGGAAGGAGAAATTGCCTTCTCGAGTGTGCTGAACTGGAATTTTTCCTAGTTTATCTGCCTAGTGGCCAATTGGTACCCCAGTAAAATACTGTCATATGCAGCTGCTTCCTTACGGAGGGCTTGCAATCAAAAGCCACTGGACTGGTTCACATGATCACTGCATGATTTATTTCCAGTGCATGCGGGGTGCCATTTTGAATATTCAACCCATCGTGGAGGGTTGCCACTGTCTGACAGGTCATCCGAATCCAGGTAGCAAGGGACGTTTGAGGAGTCCACCAGTATGAAAACCATGACGACCCTGAGAGGAGGTTGAATATTCAAAGTGGCAGCCTGCATGGACAGCAACTGACCACGGCTTATGATGATCAGGTGAAACAGGTAATGCTATAGCTGTGGGGGTTTTTTCTTCCCTAGGGTGGGTAATGAAAGAAGCAGTGGGGAAACATGGGAGGGTTACAGGTTGAAGGAATCTGGTTCCCCCATGACATCCCGTGAATGGGGCAGGGTGAATGCACACCAAAGGCCTGGTCTACATGCATGCTTTGTACTTAAAACCCAACAGAGGCAGGATTCACTGCATACATCCTGGGAAGTCCAAACATTACCATGGATGCTTCCACCTTCATTTGCTTTCATTCCATTCTCAGAATCGCTGTCTCCGTCATTTTGCAGAGCAGCCAGTTTTCTTTCCAGCATCTTTTTCTATGCAGAAATGAGAAAACAGGTTTCTGCCATGTCAAAAACTGAATGTAAGTTATGACAAAAGCCTCAGAAGTGCACGCGCGCATGCACACACACACACAGAGAGCCTACCTTGGATATTCTCTCCTTACTCCACTGTCCAACGCCTTTCATGACACTTACAATACTGTCCACAGCTTTGTTGAGTGTTTGCTGTACTTCCTCAAGAGTCGGCATCATGGCAAAATGTGGAATAGAAAGGATAACACTGGCCTTAAAGATGGGCTGAGCATTCAGTTTCTGCCTGGAGGCATTCGCACTCTCTAAATGGAAATGGAAATGCAAAATGCAAGCCTTATTGCTTCAGTTATTGACTGCTGAAGAAAAATAAGATCCTTGTCTTCCAAACAACCCCAGAGATTCATTTTCTCAGATTTGATAAGTCTGCTGATTTTGTGTGTGACACAGAAAAGCGGTTGAATTGGAGGTTGCCATTGTCCAGGTTGGCTTGGGCTGGGTTTGGAGAACTAAATTTCAAAAAGTATTCCAGTAGTCCTGGTGAAAAACAAGATTACTCTGTGCAATGTCCACTAGATCATCTACACCAAGAGTTCTTAATGTGGGCCAAATAGCCCCCCCCCCGGGGGGGGGCAGGACAGATGGCAATGAACCTTTTTCCCAGCTAACAGTGACTGTAAGGAGGGTCACAGAGGTACATGATCCCCAGGAGGGGTCCATGAGCCAGAAAGGTTTGAGAACCACTGGGTTATACTATCTGGTCCATGAAGAAGGGAGGACCAGTGCCTACTCTGTGGGAACTGGGTGGCCTGTCACTGCATATCCAACATCTACAAACCCCTCTGTGCAAGAAACATCTCTGAGATGCAGTTCCACTCGTACTGTGTGAATGGAAGGCTGCTGAAATCCAGCAGAGAATCCACACTTGAGGAACAGGGTGAGGAGAGGATCTTCACTGATCCCCCTGCATCGCCCAAGATGCTCTACCCTCCTGGACAGATTCTTCAACAGGTGCAGGGGGCTTGCAGGGGAAGAAAGCATCAGAAAGATCCCTTCCTTGCCCTGTTCCTCAAGGATTAGTGAAACTGCCTTAAATGTAGCACTAGATTCAACCAAGCATCTCCCAATATCACAAATGAAGCTGAGTGCAGAGTGCGCTCTCGGGGAGCACCCTCAGCCATGCACTTGGGTCTGTTCTGCACTGTGCTGTTTCTGTTTCAACAGCCACATTCTGCCAATGGCCTGTATCCATACAGGACTGTTTCACTGCAATCTTCAAAGAGAAAGTTCTTTGCATTGCCTAAAGGACTGCTGTGTGTTCCCAGCAGGCTCTTGTAATTTGAAGCAAATTTTGACTGGGATCATTTTCTGGATGGAAGATCTGATGTTCAGGAAAAACTAAATCTTGAGGAACCCTCTGTCTTCATTCAAATCAGAGCAGGTTATTCTACCACTGACAAAGGGAAGTGGGTTGCACACCTTAGGGAAGAACTCGGCTGCTCTGTTTGATCAGAGAGCCCGTGCAGTGTAGCGCTTTGAGTGCTGGACTGGGATCCAGAAGGTCCAGGTTCCAGTCCCCACTCGGCCACAAAGCTCACTGGGCCACTCTGGGCCAGTCACTGATTCCCAGCCTAGTGTTGTCGTGAGGATAAGACTGAGAAGCGGAGGATGAATATGTAAGTTCCTTGAAGGAAAAAGCTGGCATGTAACTCAATAAATAAAATCATTAATGTCTCCTTTGTGCATACTATTAACCTGTGAGGAGACGCAGGAGACAGAATAATCCATTAAAAATCAAGATATGCTGCCTCGCCCTTGATGCGTGCCACATTTATGGCATGGCTCCAGCGCTGCCATATTGGGAAATCCAGTGGGATGGCTCCAAGGACACAGAAGCTGCTGCAGGTACATTTCTAAGGGGTCTGAATGTACATGGTCTGGCCTAGCTGGATCAATCCGTACAGTTACGCCAGGCAACGCCTAGCCTGGGTGCTCTGACATGACGTAAACAAGCCAGGCATTACGGGCTTTTGTGCACCCAGCAGTGTGGGTTCCTCCACCATTTCACCATTCAAGGGGACACGACCTGGGGACTCACCGGCCCCTGGTTTGCAGTGGGAGCTCCTCCCTCCCAGCTTCCCCCAACAGTCTTCAAAAGGCATCTTGTGACACATCCTGCCCTGGGGGCCTGGGAGAAGAAAGAGACCGAGCCCCAAAGAAAAGACGCTTCAGCGAAGAAGCAAGCAAAGAGGAGCGTGCCAACCCAGAAGGACAACAGGTGCAGTGCAAACCTGAGTCAGATCAGTATGTTCGCAACCACCTGGGCAATGAGTACTACCTCTATACACTTTTCCCCCTCCCTCTCTCTTCCCCTCCCTCCTGGCCCCTTTCCTTGTATCTTTCTAGACTGTAACCTTAAGGGCAGGGCAGCCTAGCTATTAATTCTCATAAGCCACCTGGGAGACTTTTGGCTGAAGCCGGGGATAAAAATGCTTTGAATGAATGAATGCACTGCCTGCACTGCCAGCCTCCATTAAAAAGAGCTTGTTAGAATACTGAATGTTCAAAATATTAACCGTCATCAGAGGGGAAGCACTACAGGCAGCTCTCCCTGCTGAACACATCCAAAGGAAGAAAGGTGCTACCTGAGAAGGTGATCACAGAAGAGGCCTGGATACGCTTGCGCAGAGCTTCCAGGGTGTTGCGAGTGACCTTCAGAAGAGCATCCACGTTGCGGTGACTGAAATGGGACAACAGTTCCTGGGCTTCCTCCTCTAGCATTTCCATCTCCTTCTTCTTCTTCTTAGTTAAAGGGGAAGCCAACCCTACGGACATCTGGCTAGCAGTGTGTGAGGATGCCAAGGGGTCTAACGGCCCTTCTTCATCTGCTGCTGAGAACAAGAATCAGAGGACTTAAAATCAGTGCCCTTCTGGCCACCCATTAAGCAGAAACTTAGCACCACTTTCAGAGGCATGATGCCTTTACAGATGCATTTCTGCATCCATCATTGACTCTACGGTGCTCAAACAAGTCAAGTTAAACATGAAAGTCTTCTTGGAATAAGGATGTTTTCAGCAGGTGCCCAAACCAACACCATTTCAGTGCCTGCTTGAGGCGAAAGGAGCTCTTCGGAAAACTCGTCTCCAGTTGGGCCACAGGCCAGTCCAGAAAGTGCTGAGATGACAGCCACAAATGGAGTGCAAAGGCAGCACAGCATGGCTGAGTTCCTGAGGAACAAGCTTGCTTGGCATCTCTGTGTGTGCCTTTTAAGGACAAGCTTCCAGCCCTCAAGCTAGCAAAGGTGTGCTGGACAGCGTGTGTGCAATACTTCGCCAAGTCTCAGAAGCCAGAGGTGCACCAAAAGAAGAGGCAGCAGGCGTCCAGGGGCCCCTTTTTCCCTTGCTCCTCCCCGAATTGGAACAAATGATACAAAAACGGTTTGGGTTTGCTCTGTTTGTATTACGCTTACAGATTGCACAATTTTGTGGAGCATGACTTGGGTTACCTTAGTGAAGGTGCACCCAAGCCTGGCTATGAAACTCATGTTTTCATAAAGTGTGCAGGAAAGGAGAAAGATGGATGTCCTGCATTACCGTCATGGGGCTCCTCCGCTTTGCCACTGCCCGCAAGCATCTCATCCATCTCCACTTTGCCATGTGCGTCCATGTCTAACAACATGTTGATCAGCTCGTTGGTTGCTTCTTCGACCAAGGAGCTTTTCAGATGCAACACTCTGGCTCCCCTCGTACAGAGTTCCTGAAACAAGATATGGAATGCCCAACGCTAGTGTGGCGAGCTAGGCGTCCCTTCCCAATGAAGGCAAGCACTTGAGTTGTTAAAAGAGTCTTTATTCCACACAGCTACGAAGCATTCACAAGCTCTGAAACACACACTCAGGGCAGAAGGTTGACCTCTCGCTCTGACCCTAGTCACCCCAAGCTTTGCTTATGAACCCTCCGGGGCCACTCTCTGGAGGGAGCTGTGCTGTGGACACGGGCATGCCGCCGCTCCTCCCATCACGTTTCCAACTGGCCAAGCCAGTGAGAGCATCAACAGGCCGGAGCATCCCAAGCTCCCCAGCCTGTTCTCCGCCAGCTTCTTTCCCACCATCAGGAATGGGAGGGGACTCAGCGGTCATCCTTGGAGCTCTCTGATCTGCACTGTCTCGGGCTGGCGCTCCAGGAGCCCACGCAGAAGAAAGCTGTTTGTGTGGGGCTCGCCAGGGATGGCGCCCTGCTCAGCCCCTGTGCAAGCAACATCCCTCCCCTGCCCCTCTCACAGCTGTTGCATCTGACCCGGGAAAAGGTTGCCGGCTGCACGAGCATTCGCAGACTTCCTCTTGGCAAAGCTCACTTCCCAAGACTGGGCCAAGCAGGAGAGATCGTCTGCAGAGGCTGGGGGATGGATTTGGGTGAGCTTGGTCTCAGGCCTAGGCAGAAGCCCTGCACTGCTTGCCATGTCCGTTCGCCATCTCTTCTCTTCGGCTTTTCTCTTGCTTCTCTGCCAAGGTATTGCTGCCCGTTTTAACGAGGCATTCCTGCCTGGCAGAGAGAGACTGGACATTGTGGCCACTGGCTGATGCTGCCTGCTGGCTCCGTGGAGAGGCTCACCCCGACAGCTCTGCACTGATGCTTGAAGTGCACCCCCTCCTTGCAAGGTTGGCCTCTGTGATTATACCTTTGTCATGTGAAGGAACTGCTCACAGGTCAGCGGATCATCCTCGGGGAGGTCGCAGAGGGGCAGGCTGCTCACCTCTTGAAGGACAGCATTGATACGGAATTCTATCAGGTCATTTACGCGATTCAGCAGGAGCTCAAGGTCGGCTTGAAGGGCAGAGAGGAGAAAGAGCCCCGTTAACAAGACAGGTGCTTTCAGGGGCCTTCCCCTCCTTTAAGGGTGAGGGGAGAAGGGCAGCTTTTAAGGTCCTTAAAAGGTGTCCTTCCCACGGAGCCACCAGACATAAGGCAGTTTTGCTTCGTTCCTCCTCAAACCATTTAGGGTGGCAGCAGAAAATTATCAAAGCCAATCACTCTTCTTGAAAGCTTGGAAGCCGCAGCAGTGGCTTTTGACCCCGCTCTCAAGAAGCCAAGTGCAGTGACTGTCACAGCCCTTAAAATCCGGGTTGCTCCCAGGCAGCTGCATCAGCGCAAGAGGAAGACGGTGCAGCAGGGAAACCGAAGGCACACACCCGTGCTAGCCAGTTCTCCTTCTCCCCGCAATGAAAACCTCTCCCTGGGCTGAAAAGGCATAAGCACAGCCAGAGACACAGACGCATCCCTTCAAAGCAGCCCCTTTTCATGGCTTCACTCCTTTCTGCTCCATTACCAGGGCTACTAAGAACACAAGGAGGGCCTGCTGGATCAGGCCAGGGGCAAGCGTTCTGTTGACACAGTGGCCCTCCAGCTGCCCACAGGATCCCTCAAGCAGGACATGGGTCCAGCAGCCCTCGTCTCCTGCCTAATCCCCCACCAATCTACGTGGGATGAGCCCACAGTCTGGCATTAGGCGAGAAGGAAGAAAATGTCTCCCTCTCTGCTTTCTCCAAGCCAAGCATATGGCCGAGCACCTCCGTTGTGTCTTCCCTTCCTGGTCTTTTTTCGAAGCTACACAATCTCAGCGCCATATGTCACCCCCCTCCCCAAATTATCAAGCTCCATATCAAAGTGCAAAGAAAGCAGACGAATTATCGGCAACAGTGGTGCTTCTGTTCAGAAATCGTTCCTCGTTCCCGAAGCTGAGAGAGTCTCTCCCGGCATTTGAACGCAAGAGGACAAGGAGGGTCAAACAAAAGGGGCAGCTGGTAATCATCAAAGCTGACAACTTTCTTTTTGCTGTCATTTGACATAACCTCACCAAAATTGGTGCTGTTTGACCTCTCTGCAGGCTATCGAGACTGAGCAGTTTCTGGGGAAAGCTGCAGCCCCGGCAGGTCATTTCAGCTCTGTTTGCATACGCATCATTTATAGTCCCAAAGGAAAAGCACCCATATTGCTACTGGGTCTTGCAGAGACTTACCAAGTTTATCCAAAATTTGCTGCACATAGTTCTCGATGTTCAGGGACGTCCAGGTGAGTATGGTCATCCCAGGCTGAAGAGCATCATCCACTCTGGCCACATGTGGCATCATCAGCATGTGAAGGGGAGCTTGGATTTTGGATTTCACCCGCTTGTACTCTCCCAGCATCATCTGCAATGAGGCCCAGCAAGAACTCTGAACACCCGGGGGAAGCCCTCATTGACTTAACTTGCGGAGCTCTGCTCTATAGATTTCGCAGCAGAGCAGCAGAAACTGTGGCCGCTAAGCTGAGCAAAGCCCTTCTTCCATGCCTTGTGTACCAGGCAGGTGCTGGACAACCACCTTGCTTTGGCAGCCCCAGACAGGCAGCAAAGCCAGGTGTCTCAAGCTCCTGAGGGGCTGCCACATACAGCCTGATGGACCGTAAGTCGTGGAGCTTTATTTTCAGGACTTCTGAGTTACAAACAACTCGATAATTGGCACAGTTCTTAAAAAAAAAATTTAAAAAAGGAGGATGAGACAGGATTAGCAGCAGCTTATCTCATCATATTTGTTCTTGTGTAACCATGCCATGCTATATCAAAGCCTCTCATTTTTCATTAGCGTTTCAATAAGCAGGCCAGTGATTAACGGAGAGCACACCGTAATGCAATGTCCGGGCTCTTACAAAGTGGGTGGGTAGGAGGCAACCCAAGCAGATTAAAAAGAAGTCTCGTGGATGAGGTGTCAAGGCGATGGAGTGAAAGGAAAGGGACACTCCTGGCTCCTCGGCCATTGAGCCAGTCACTGCTGCAGGTAAGGGCAGGGGGAGGCGGCCCTGCAGCTTGCGGCAAATGAAAAGAAAGGGCTGCTCCCGGACTGCCCTCCGGGCTAAAGCAGGTACGCGCCCTCGTCACAAAGTATGGTGCAGGAACTTAGAAGGCTGGCCAAGTTGGACCTTGGCACCAATCCAGCACGGCCCCTAAGAACACAAGAAGAGCCCTGCCGGATCAGGCCCAGAGTCTATCTGATCCTGCTCTCTGTTCGCACGGCAGCCAACCTGCTGCCCATGGGCCGGAGGAGCCAGGTCCCGCCTTTCCATATTCTCCAGCAACTGGTCTACACAGGCCTAGTGCCTCCAATACTGGAGGTAGCACAGAAGCCTTAGGACTAGTGGATGCTGATAGCCTGCTTCGCCCAGAATTTGTCCAGCCCCCTTTGGAAGCCATTTCAGTGGATGGTCATCATGGCATCTTGTGGAAGTGAATTATAGTTTACCTATGCAAAAGTACTTCTTCTACCTGTCCTGAATCTCCCATCAATCAGCTTCATAATATGGCTCCAGCTTCTAGTATTATAAGAGTGAAAAAATGTCTCCCTTTCCCCTTTCACCACATCATATCCCTCTATCATATCTCCCCCTACTTTTTTTCCAAGCTAAACAAAACCAGATATTGTAGTAGTTTTCCATGGGGAGTCGCTTTAGTCCCTTGAAAGTTTTAGTTACCCCTTTCTGCACTCTTTCCTCCTCTGTGGCATCCTTTCCGGGTACAATGATCTGGACTGCGCAGGGTATTCCAAGCAGAGTGGCACTGGTATAAAAGGAGTATGATCCTAACAGATTTATTTTCAATTATTTCCTAACTATAGGGATTTTGACAAAACTCTATTTGCCTCATGCTGGGTTGACATTTTCAACAGGCTGTCCACCACAACCCCGAGATCTCTTTCTTGGTCAATCTCAGCTACCTCAGATCCTGTCAAGCATAGAGTTGAAGCTGGGGTTGATTTTATTTCATTTTGCTTTATTTTTGCCCCGAGGTATATCACTTTACACTTGCTTGCACTGTAATGAATCTGCCATTTTGATGCCCACTGATCCAGTCTGGGGAACATCTTTCTGCGCTCTTTGCAATCCCTTTTTATTTTTAATCAGCATGCAAAATTTGGTGTCATCAGCAAACTTGGCCATTTCTCTGTTCAGTCCTGACAAATAATGTATGAATTTGTTGGAAAAACATTCATTGCAATACAGATTCCTCTGAGTCTTCACTTTCTTCACAGCTACTTCTCAACTAATGACACATTACCAGGCATTATTGGGTAGAAAACTTAATCGACTTTAACAAATCTGTGGATTAATTCATCTGCAAATACAAACAAGGCTGGTAATAATTCACTCAAAATCAAAGTCCAGCAGATTCTTAAGTAACATGGTTTCTGCAAGTCAAAGAAGTAGGGCCAACATGACTCTGCAAGAGAACGTATTTCTGCCAAGGACACAGTTTTCCTTTTAAACCAGCAATATGACAGACTAACCCATATTTAATTTGGAATTGCTAAGGCTTGCAAAATGCTGGGATCTCCCATAGATCCAACAGATAAATGAGTTGGGCACCACAGGGTTCAGTCCTTGGACCAGTGCTTTTCAACATCTTTATTAATAATCTAGATGAGGAAGTCCGGGGAATGATATTTAAACCTGCAGACAATACAGAACTGGGTGGAATGGCCAACACCCTGGAAGTCAAAAAGAAGATCCAGGGTGACCTATACAAGCTAGAATGCTGGACAGAAAGCAACAGAATGAAATTCGGCAGGGGCAAATGTCAAGTTGTCCACCTATGGAAAAAAGCAAACGTATCGATAAAAGATGGGGAATATTTGGGTCAACAGTACTGGACAACAAGCTAAATATGAGCCAGCAATGTGACGCATCTGCAAAGAAGGCAAACACTATTTTTGGATGAATAAATAGAAGCATCACTCCCAGAAAAAGACAAGTACTAGTCCCCCTTTATTGGGCACTAGTCAGATTTCACCTGGAATACTGTGTTCGGTTCTGGGCATCCAGATTTTAAAAAGATGCAGAAGATCTAGAAAGGGTTCAGAGGAGCAGGACAGTCTGACGATGAGAGGCTGAGAGAGCTGAGCATGTGCAGCCCTGAAAAGCAGGCCAAGTATGGAATGCGCTTCCCAGAGAGGTTTGCCGGGTGCCAACGCTTTTCTCATTTTGGCGCCAGGCCAAAACCTTTATATTTTCCCAGCATCCTAAATGTTAGCATTGTTTTTAAGATTGATTTTACATATTATTCTTGATGCTATATCTTATTTATTTATGTTATAGCCGCCTGAAACACTGTGACGGGCGGGATGCAAACCCTTTAAATAAATAAATACCTCAAAGGCCGTCACAAAGGAGAAGGAAAAACTGTTTCTCACTCACCCGTGGGTTGTAGGACACAGAACAATGAACCTAAACTGCAGTACAACAGATGCAGGCCGGATATCAGGGAAGTCTCCTCACTGTGAGAGCAACACGACATCGGAACCAGGTGCCGAGAGGGGTCATGAGCTCTCTCATACCAGAGCCGAGACAAAACTAGACAGTCCTCTTTGTGGGATGGTGTGCCTTGGTGTCCTTCACCAGCAGGGGACTGGACCCAGTGACCTTCCTGGCCCCTTCTGACTCTAGTGTTCTGTGAATCGATAAAAGATATAGCAAAGCAGGGCAAAAATACCTGCAGTTTATTGAAGTTCTGTTTGTAGGAATCACGCTTTTGTAGAAGAGCAACTGCAAGTGGTGGAATTTCTAGTCCCATGCGTGACATGCACTCCGTTTCCCTTATTAAGGTGGGGATCTCTGGGTCAAAGTTCACATAGATTTCTCCCGTCTCCGGAGCTTTCACCAGCAATGATGCTTGAAGCCCTGCTTTAGCCAGCTGAACCTGCTGACAAAAAACATGCCAAGTGCTAGTGTCATCCAACTCAAGACCAGCTCAAATTGATTTTTCCAGTACTATCCAATACTATCCACAGATTTAGCCAGACTTAAAATATTTGCCCAGCTGTATAAGAATCCTACATTCCCAGTCAGCTGGAACTATTCTGAAAGAAATTTCCAGAGATTTTGGAATATTCCATCCCTGATCACTCTTCTAGCCCTGGAGTTCAAGCCTGCTGAAAAGGTTGTGACAACATAAAGCTGATGGAGAAAAGTACAGCTATTCTAGCAGCCACTCTAGCTGTAGCTCCCATACCAACAGACTAAGCCATTTCTTAGAGCAAGTCACCACCCAGTGTCTCGATTAAACACAGTCAAGAAATCACACTATATTGCCCTAGACTTGCTTGAGGATGAACCAAGTCGCTGATACAGATGCATGTGCCTGGACAACTTGCAGCCTTCAAGGAGCTGTTGGACTTCAGCTCCCATCATCCCTCTCCATTTTGTTGTGTTGGCTAGAGCTGATGGGAACTGTAATCTAACAACATCTCAGGAGTAAAAGGTGGTCCACCCTTATCTTCCCCCCCATATTCGCTTGAAGAAGTCCACCGGCATGAAACACACAACCAAAATAGCTTCCAGCAGTGCGGAAGCCCACCAGGAGATCTAGAGGCATCCCCCTAGTGCCCATGCCATGAACAGGAAGTATTAACTCAGAATGCTGCTAGACAGTCCTGTGGGTTTACACATCTACAGAATCACAGTTCAACCTTCTAGAACTGGGGGCATTTGCTACACTTCACAGCAGGAAAGCAAGCTTTGAACTTGACCTTGGTTCTCTCTCCTAGGGCATCTAGAAACAACTATCTTTATCTGTAATTTCTGTATTGGAGATGATGTGGACAGAATGTATGTGCATTCTTACTTGCTGTATCCTCAGAAATAATCTTAAAGAAATAATCTTAATCCTGTGGGAACATAGGATGCTCCATCATACTGAGATAGACCAGTGGTCCATCAAGCTGAGTGCTTTAATACCTGTAGGTAGTGGCTGCTCAGTGCTTGCATGCAGGGTTCCTCTTTTTATCTGGGAAATGTAGAGGTCTGAGCCTTCCACACGGCCCTTTCTCTATTGCTGTTGCTGTTCTGTGCCATCAAGTCATCTCTGACTTAAGGTGACCCAATCGATGAAAGCCCTCCAAAAAGTCCTCTCTGTGTCAGCTCTATTCAGCTCTTCCAAGTTCAGTGCTGTGGCCCCCTTTATGGATTCAATCCATCTCTTATTTAGCCTTCCCTTTTATCTTCTGCCTTAGACTTTCCCTAGCATGATGGTCTTCTCCAGTGAGTATGGCCTTCTCATGATGTGTCCAAAGCATGACAGCCTCCGTTTTGTCATTTTTGCTTCTAGGGAGAGCTCTGGCTTGATTTGGCCCTTTCTCTAGTCAGACGCAATACCCTGCAGAATGCCACACCCCAGATTTAACTAGGTACATCATCTTTCTACACATAAGTACTTAAAGTTTGGTAGTGTAGCACTGTAATTTGATCCAACAGATGGATACAGCATGTAGCTACAAACAGCACTCTGCCAGAAGTACCTCTTGATATTTTACTTTACTTCTAGTAACACGCTGGGGATGCTTGTGCTGCAGACCAGCCACAAAGTAAGGAGTCCAAACCAAACCACAGTAAACTATTGTGACAGTGCTTACTTTGAACAGGCATTAGCAACAAGACATGAAATCCACTACAAAAGTAGTCCAAACACGACATTACCTGCTGTAGCCATCCCCTGTGGTAGACAACCTCAAATTCCAGAAGGACTTTAGCCACTCGGTTGTAGTTGCAAATAACAGCTTTTGCTTCTGCTCTCTGCAGGACTGTGGGATGCTTTTGGAAAAGATTCATGGGTTCCTGGATTCTGTGGAACAGCTGCCGTGCCCACAAGATCTTACCAGCCATGGGAGGGAGGTTACGAGCCAGTGGGGGATCATTCTTCTGCTTGGAGTACAGCTTGGAGACCATCTCAATGTCATAGCCATAGTTCTGAAGGATGACCTGGTATTTGTCATCAATGCCAAGGTTGGGGATTCCTAGCCTAGAGAAGATGATTATGAGGATGGAGTTCAGTGCATCAGTTTGTCTTTGGAGATTCACACCATTTGAAAGGGCCCAAGTGTCGTCAAGTCCAGCTCCCAACAGATGCAGAAAACATGTTGCCTCAGCATCTCCATAGAATTCTATTCTGCCCATACTGCAAGCTTCCATAAAGCAATAACATAAACGAACCGATATGCCAAGGACTTGGGCTGAATATATCTGCACCAAAACTTGACCACAAGTCCAGCTCAGCTTTTTCTAAGTCAACCGCCTCCTTCTACTGTTTTATCTGTTTTAAACTGTATGATGCTCACAGGTATGGACCTGTTCATTTTTTATTGTTTATTTGAAGTTCAAAGGCACCAGGCACAGATATGTCACTGTATTTATAATATATTATCTATAACAATTGTCTATTATCAATTATAATAGTCTGCCAGCTCCTGCAAAAAGAAAAAAAATGCAGGTTTGGATCATCAGAGTTTACTAATCATGCTTGCACATAATGCTACTAGAGATTATTCCACCTGTCTGAGCTACTAATATGCATTAATACCTTGACATAAATTTAGGCTCCAATCCTAGGCCCTTACCTGGGATTAAGCTGCACTGGACTTCATAAATTTCATGAGTCTATAAGTCACAAAGTGAAGGCTAATTCCAGGTATGATCAATAGATATATTTATGAACAGATCAACTGCACCACTCCTATAGAACCAAGAAAACTTTAGACAGGCACTGACTGGGCCATACTGTTCCTACCAAGATGTTTCATGGTAATCTGAGATGGTCAAAATATATTTTGGGAGCAACCCTTCCAAAATGAAATTTACAGATAAGGGAGGAAAAGGTTAGAAGTGTGCCTATTTGCCCCTATTCCAGGATACCACAGATTAAAACTAATCATTTGTACCTTTCGAATTTCTTCAGCACATCAAGGGCTCTTTCAGTGTTTGTAATCTTTTCAAAGGTAACATCCATAAAACTCTGGAGTTGTTGCTGCACGGAGAAAATATAAAGCTGGTCAGTGTAGTTGAAACATATCCTCTAAGCCAGGTCTCACTCTGTGTGAGCACAAAAAATAACCCAGGAAAGGACAAGCTGGACTGGGTACCAGTTTTTTCCACTGCTACAACAGGAGCGGAGATACTGCATCTTTCTGAAGGTCATAGTCCCTTTTGGGGGCCACAAGTCATTGGTGGGGGCAGCCAAAGAAAAAGTGGGCAGGGCCATTCTCTCTCTCTCTCTCTCTCTCTCTCTCACACACACACACACACACACAGAGAGAGAGAGAGAGAGAGAGAGAGAGAGAGAGACAGAGAGAGAGAGAGAGAGAGAGCGCACAGCTTACACAAACACCATGCCCCAAAATTCAGCCAGGAAAAAACCTCTCACTGGAGCCAGTGGATTCCTTTTCCAAGCCTAATTGGCAACCAGGGAGTCAATTTTCAAGGGGTCGCGGTGCATGGAGACAGGCAAGTGAGCCCTCCCCTCCCAGTGGAGCCCCCTTCTAAAATCCCCTTGTGCAAAACTAGGCTATTAAAAAGGCTTCTATTGGCCCTGAGAGAGAGGGCATTTTTCCAAGCCAAAAGGGCAAATGACTGGGAGAGGGATCCTGCTCGTGGACGTGACACACACACACACACACACACCTGTGGTCCCTAGGCTCACTCTGTGCACACTTAGGTTTTAAAAAGGCCTCCATTGCAGTCAAAGGATTTTTCAGGCTTCACTGGAGGTGTGTAAAGGCCCCGTAATCTGTGCATAGCCTGAAGCTCCCACCCCTGGGCTAGTGGCACCATGGGAAGAACTGCATTTAATCTCTCCTCCAGCGGCATTGCAGGATGCCACCCTTTGCTTTCTTCCCTAGAAATGCAAGGTCACCATTCTATAGGGAAAGCCACAGTGCTTCCCTTGGGGATGCTTGGGGCAAATATAGGGAGAGAGAAGCTGTCGTGTGCAAGGAGGTGTCCTTCCATCAAGACGCTGTACAGGAAATACTTTCCTATATTTTATTGTACAAAAAAGGGATACAGGATGGAAATGCAGAACCTGGAGGAGCAAATTCTGACCTCTGAGAAATCTCTTCATGATAAACAGGATCACCAAAACAGATTAAGCCAAAGCCCACATTATCCATGCTAAAATAAATAAATGAATCAGTTAAAGAAGGCATCACCCAAATGGTTAACAAGGTCTAAAGCCGGAAAGCATCAAACCTACATGAAGTACATTTGTTTGCTTGCAAAACTCTTCATAGTCATCATCAAAGTCACTTTTCCTCTGATCTAAGAAGTTGTATTGCTTCTTCTTCATGGTAGCAACAATGCTCTAAATATGATCAGGAATATGCATATCATTATTAGTTGACAGTAGCCTAATCAGAAAAGCCTAATAAGAGAGAGCTGAGCATTTGCCCCTTTTTCCATCATTGACCAAGAGTACAAATGGAAAGGGCCACACTGTGCATCTTAAATGGAAAGCAGGGCAAGTTTGTAACATAGGGGATAATGCTGTATCCCTTAATTACATAATATTCTCCACAGAAGAACCTCTGAACAATGAATCCTTACTTTTAAAGAAATGGCACAGTGTACCTTGATTTCAAGTGCAGCAAGTATTTAAGCATGCAAAAATATTCAACATCTCTGCAGAACACACGCCGGTGCAATTGTGTTTGGGACAGAAGAAACGGCAGCAGTTAAACACAACATCCCAGTGTAGTTTCCCTTTATGGAAAGGCCTCCAGCGAGAGGCAAGAAGTCATAGTCAGAACCACAAGTCACAGCATCAAAAGCCCCAGCAAAAGTTACCTCCCATTTTTCCTGCATTGCTGCAGTCTGCACAAACAAAAAGCACAATCAGACAACTTATTCAGGAATCGTTAGCCACAGTTAGAGCGCTAGTAAAGGTAAAGGTAATGGTTTCCCCTTGACGTGAAGTCCAGTCATGCCTGACTCTAGGGGGCGGTGCTCATCTCCGTTTCCTAGCCGAGGGAGCCAGCGTTTGTCCACAGACCGTCTCCGTGGTCATGTAGCCAGCACGACTAAACACTGAAGTGCACGGAACACTGTTCCCTTCGCACCGAAGTGGTACCTTTTCATCTACTTGCATTTGCATGCTTTTGAGCTGCAAGGTTGGCAGGAGCTGGGACGGAGCAACGGGAACTCACCCCGTTGTGCAGATTCGAACCGGCAACCTTCCGATCAACCAGCCCAGCAGCACAGCGGTTTAAACCACTGCGCCACCTGCAGTCCACTAGAGATATTCCCAATTCCCAAATTACGATTCTTCGGGGGAACCTCTTGCAGCTAAAGGGTATAAGGCCTGCATCCAACAGGCCGAGCGAGACCTGAACGACTCCTTTTCAGCCTCCGGGGTCTCTCTCATCGAAGTGACAGCCCTACTGGTGTGTTGTGCCACTTCTGATGGGGGGGGAGCGCAGGGGGAGTCATGCAACGGAATGCTGCTTCATACAAGGAGGGAAGGCAGGCAGGCTGGCAGGCAGGCAAGCAAGAAATTTAGAGCCCCAACCCCGGGGCCAGGCGTCTCCGGCAGCATAGTGGGTGTGGGCAAGCCCCCCGCAGTGGCTGCCGCCCGTGGGAGGCGCCGGTGCTGGTCCCCGGCCGGTGGAAGCGCCGGGCTGTGCTCCAGGGCAGCCCTGCAGCCCCGCCACCCCGACGGGCAATTAGTGAGAAGCTGCTCTCAGCGCCGCCCGCATGGGTGGGGAGGCCGCCAGGCAGCAAGAGGCAGCCGCCGGGGAGACACTGCAAGCCCGGGAAAAGAGCACCAGCCCTGAGGCCAAGCCCGAGCGGAGGAGAGGGCGGGGGGCACCCATCTCCCGGTGTTCATGGCAGCTCGTCCTCCGTGTCGGGAGCGCGCCTCTCCCTTCCATTTGCCCTTTCCGGCAACCCGAGAAGCAACTCCTTAATTGAGCTCCGTGGGTTTGCCAACAGCATAGATCCCTTTGCCGTGTGGGAGTCGCCATGCGCTGCATCCCAGTGGGGACACGGCTTAGTGTCTTCCCGTCCTGTTTGGAAGGGGCTTGACTCCACCCTCAGGACTAAATGGTGGGAACAGCGGACTGTCCTTGACTGTTCCACTCTCTTGGCTGAATGCCTCTTGATGGGGTTTAAGGAATGCCCATCAGCCTCTGTCCTCCCCTTGTCTGGAGAGGCTCCCTCCTGCTCCGTGACAAGTCGGTTTCCACGCGCCGCCTAAGTCATCTTACATCCTCCTCCTCCTCCTTTTCACCTTCACAACAACCCTGTGAGGTTAGATAGGTGGAGAGGCCATGACTAGCCCACAGTCGCCCAGCTGGCTCCATGGCTGAGTGGGGACTAAACCTGGATCAGCCGGGGCGCAGTCTAGCGCTCTTCACCACTGCACCACACTGGTTCTCACAGAGTCTGCCCCAGGAGCAGACAGTTCAGCAAAGGCAGCCTTGTGATTGGCTGAGTCACTCCTGAATGGCAGGACAATGATGGGACATGTAGTGAGGCACACACAGACTGAGCATCTGTAGAGTAACCATGCTCTCAGTGGCCTTTCTGTGAAACAGGAAGAACAGCAGGGGAAGGGCAGTGGGGTCGGGACAGTAAGGTATCCTGCATACTCAATAATGTTATAACTTTCACAGCCACAATCCGCAGGATCAGGCACAAACGTGGATGGTAACTTGATCCACTTCTTTACTGAACAGCAAGCAGCAAATCGCCAGGTACCTCTATTCGTTGTGGGGTGCTTGAAAAGCAGACCATTATATTTTTTAGGCTTTTAATGCCTTGTTCTTACCAGCAAGTAGACATTTTTAAATACGGTCTATCCACTCGCTTCCATCCCCCACAAACACAGCAGGAGAGATTTGCAGCTCAGCAAATCCCATCCCCACCTGTCTTGGGGTTGGGGAACACCAAACCCAGCATAAGCAACGGGAATAAAAGGGAAAGTGGAATAGAAAGGACCTTCAGTGGTTCTAAAAACAAGCCCCATAAAGGAAGCCACAGCCTGGAATTTAGAAAAACTGAGCAGGTCTGTGAAGGATGGGACATTTTCACAGGGTTGCCCGAAGAGATGACCTGGCAGCACATAACAACAACATCTTATCAAACTGACAGGATGCGGTCTTAAACTGATGGATGCTTCCTCTTAAATCCTGTACCTTAGCATATCCTACTGGGCAAAGATTAGGTTGGTATATAATTGTGTTGCGTTCAGCTGCTGCTGTTGAAATGGGCATTTGGCTTACCTGATATTTTGTTGCCATGACTTCTAGTCCTTCCATCTTAGACTCTTGTAGAACGGCATAGGTTGTGATGGTTTCAAAGATATGTATAATTTTCAGCAGGCGACGATGAAATGTTTCAAATTTTCCAAAAATATACATCTCGCTAAAATCAAACTGTCGTTCAGCTGGATTCTGCTCCAGTTTTTGTTTGGTCTTGTGGAAACAGTTTTGATATTCCTTAAGAATATAAGCCAAGATTTTTTTTAAAAAATCAAAGAACAGAACCAGGCGCTGTGAGAAAATGTCCCACGTATTTACAACACTCATGATGACCAAACTGAAGTTGCTTTTGTGGACTCAGGTAGGTATTCCTTTGCATAAGCCAATAGATCTCTTGGTGGCATTCTATCATAATGGAATTTCTACTTTAATTAATTGTTATTACTACTATTCCTACTAGCATCGATAATCCCCTCATCCTCATCCTCACCCTTTCCATGTCATAAATCCAGAGCTGCAGAATTTGCCTGTGCTGCTTTTCTACATCACATACCAAGTTTTCCTTCGGCACATACACCTGCCTGTTGCTTTTCATGGCAGATAAGGCCATCGATGGCTCTATGCTGTTGAGGCAGTATGTCCCTGTGCCCCAGCTGCTGGGGAACATGGACATGAGGGCGCTGCTGGGCTCATATCCTGCTTGTGGGTTTCCTGTGAGTGGCTGGTTGGTCACAGTGCCGACAGAATGCTGGACTAGAAAAACATCTGCTCTGCTCCAGCACAGCTCACTTTTTTAAGTGTCTGAGTACCGTTTCCTGCTTTAATGTTTAATTTTTTAAAAATCTTGTTGTCAATTTGGCGGGGGGGGGGTGTTTTGCTTTGGTTTGAGTTAATTAAGATTTTATTTTAATCAAGGTGTTGTGTGGCCGTTTGCAAGCAGAAAAATGGGATTAATTAAATTAAATTGAATTAAATTAAATTAATGAGTCACTCATTTACCTGCTTCAGTCTTATAGCAGCTTGTATTTTTTCCAGGACTACATCTTGTGGCTGATCCCAGATGGTGGCAGTGTTGCCATTGGTAATATAAGCCTTGCAGGCAGTTATCATTTGATTAGTAACCTGTGGGCAAAACAAAAGGCCTCATCTCACTAAAAGGTTATGCAGAAGCAACATGGATCCCCCTCTCCTGCGACAGGTGGGGTGCCCATCACCATGTGGAGAGCAGGTGGCCCCGTTGGAGGCTTTCTCCCAACAGGCCAACAACCTGGAGGGGCCGAGGAGGCTGCACTTCAGGAGAAAGGAGAGCTGCTGACCACTTCATCCTCCTGGGTGTAGTACCCATAAACTAAATAGCTTGCCAATCCTATTCTTCTCCCCTTACCAGCAGTTAGGAAAAAAATAGGTGCAACATAATGTGGACCTCGGCTTTCAGACAGAAGAAAATAAGATGCCACATGGTGACCATTCAGTAGGATACTATGTGGTGACGAGCAAGTTTCAGAGAAGAGATTGGTAAGAAATTGGGTTTGGCTTGGTTTTGATTATAAGTACCTTCAGATCTTCCAGACTGGACATGGACTTGGATTTCTGTAGTTACTTTTCCAGGCTTCCAAAGTAATTTGCAGGCCAGCCCCAGAATGCGTTCAACAGCATGCACCAATTTGAAAAATGTGCATGAAAAAATATGTATTTTGCAAAAATGCACACTTACATTTTAATCAATCAGAGATAGATGCAAAGATGTTCACAACTGATGTGTACATTTGAAAGAATACATGAGGATATATTGACAGATTTTCATGAAAAAGAAAAAAAGTAAAACTTGCAATCTGGTGCAGGCTGAAGCTGGAATGACCTTCAAGGTGGAATCTGAAGAACTTTAGCAATTCAGGTTTTTGCTAATTGGCACATCTCTAGCCCCGTCTTGAAAATTAGATGTTAATAATGTGTCCATGGATCTCCACTTCAAAGCTGAATTATGCTTAATTTGGACAACTTTCCATCAATTCTTGCTTTTCAGAACTTATGTTTGCTACAGAAGGAAAGCTTATTTCTCCAACCATATCTCCAATCTTAAATTTGAAAATTGAATTAATGCTTAAATATGAATAAATATTAGCTTCATTCCAATTTCCAATGAAAAAGCAAAAATCCAAAAGTGCTGCCTGTGCATTTACCTTCACAAACAAGGAAGTAATCTTCTCTGAGGTGTTATAATAGCGTGAGATGCTGTGGATCATTTTGATGGCATGTATGAGTCCTGGAATAGCATCTACCATGGTCACCTGAAATGCCAAAAATAGTTCAATACAAATATCTAGGTGCCACATAGCTAAATATATCATTTACACCGTACATCTTGAGCTTCGTACTGAAGTCACAACTCAAAAACCGTTCATTTGGTTTAGGATTAGATGTACGTTCCAGCTATCACTGGCAAAACTGACTGGAGAAATCAATCGCGCTAGGGAAAGTCAAAGGCAAAAGAGGAAGACCAGCAGTGAGACGGATCGATTCCATACAGGAAGCCACAACCTTGAGTTTACAAGAGCTGAACAGAGCTGCGAAGGGCAGGGCGGTTTGAGGGCTTCCATTCATGGGGTTGCCATAAGTCGGAGACAACTTGACGGCACGGAACAACAACAAATCATTAGCTTGTAACCCGGGTTGCCGTTTGTTATACAGAAATGCTTCTCCATAATGAGTAAACTGTTTTTACTCACAGGGTCGCTGTGATAAAGAGGGTCACAGCATTTCTCAAGTGTGTACAAATACTTTACATTGTCTTTGGCTTCGTTTGCAGCATCAGTGATCCGAGCATCCAGCTCTCGCCAAGTCTTGGAAAAGGAAAATGACATGATTTACTTGTAAGAAAACTTACATGACAGTATTTAGTCTGCGGGGAAAGGATTCCAGTAAGTGGAGACATGAAAGAGGTGTAAAAATTTACACATGGTGGAGCAAGCAGACAGGAAAATGCTTTTCTCCCCTCTCATAATACTACAATCTGGTTCCATCCCATGATGATACTAAAAGGGCAGAGATTCCAGACAGGAAAAAAGGAGTATTTCTTCACACAGCTTATAGTTAAGCTGGAATTCACTACTGGAAGATTAAGTGATGGTCAGAAATAAGGATGGCTTTAAAAGGGGATTAGAATAGAATGCTGGACTAGAGAAGCCTTTGGTCTGATATCGCACAAGCTCTTCTTACGTTCAGTCGATTTTTTAAAAGGGCATTTCATGATAAAAAATCCACTGAGCAGTAGCAGATAATGAGCAGGATTCTCTGCCTCAAGTGAAGGAACCAGAATAGTTCATTCTGTGAGAGCAATAAAATCTTATTCCCCAATGTGAAATGGTCTCACTTAGAAGGAGAGCACCAATGTATATTTACCAGTAATTTATTCACTATCAAATTGCCACAGGTCAGTTTGTAGATACGAAATTTTTAATAGGACCCAAGATACATTATACCATCAAGGTATCTAACTAGCCCATGTGACAAGTTTTCTATTGCACGGAAGGGCCTCAGGCTTAAGCCCTTGCTTTTTAACACACATAATTTCTAATTATTTTTTCTAAGCTGTGCAGCAGCTATATGTCTTGTGTTCATTTATTATTCTCATTACTGAAAGTTGTAAAGTTAATCTTGTGAGTTCGCTGGGGTGAGCTGAATGACAGTACGAAAGTGTGTGCATTGCTAGACACTTGTGAATTACTCTTAGGGGGTACAAAAGTTCTGTTGAGTCTTTCATAGAAGGAAAAAGGCACACCTTTAGAAGCTTGGACTTAGCCGCTGTAAGTACTCCGAGTACAGCCTTGACGTCGAAGGTCTTGAGCTGGTCCACCAGGTAATTGAACTTGGACAGTCGCTTCTTCCAGTGATTCAGCTCTGCTCGTGGTCCAAGGTCATCTGCTTCCTTCCGTAGTTGGCTATTTTCAGCAATGACCTGTAATTGATGCAGATGGTTCAATGATGGAAGAAACCCATTGCAATACAGTAAAAAAACACAGTACTAGCTGAGCTGCTGGGCCTACAACATTAGCATATTGAGTCTGGTTCAGTGGTGAGGGCTTAATGCTTGGTAAACTAATAAAAAAGTGGGAGGAAACTTGCATTTTGAGTATCTTTCTGTCTTTCTTTTGGCTTCAGATGGATTGCCATTATACTATTATGCTTAAAAGTACCAGACTAAAGACAAAACTTTGGCCACCTAATGAGAAGGAAGAACTCCCTGGAGAAGAGCCGAATGCTGGGAACAATTGATGGCAAAAGAAGAAGGGCAGAGAATGAGGCGGCTGGATGGAGTCACTGGGGCAGTGCGTGTGAGCTTGGGTGGACTCTGGGAGATGGTGGAGGACAGGAAGGCCTGGAGGAGTGTTGTCCATGGGGTTGCGATGGGTCGGACACGACTTCGCGACTTACAACAACAACAAGAAAGACAAAACATTTGCACAGACTTGTGACATTCTTAGAATGGGGATGATCACCTGATCACCTTTGCAGCCCTTTTTCACCCTTGGTCTCTAAGTCATCAAGGGGCAATCTAGATAAGCACAGAGGAGGTTAACAAGCCGCAAGAGCCGATTTCCCAGGGGATCTGCACGCAATACAATTCCCAGAAAAAGAAATCGTTATAGCATTGTTCTTTAAAGTACCAGACTAAAAACTAAACATTTGTACAGGCTTGTGACTTTCGAACAGAGACTATCACCCAGTCAGAGCTTACATATGGCCATTCATGGTAACTTATGACTAACTCCCAGCAGAGTTTAAGCCAATCAAGCTAAGGAGTTGTGTGTGTGTGTGTGCGGGGGGGGGGGGGATCCACCTTTGGGAGCAATTGTCTGCATGTTTGAAGAGAAAAAAAGACCTCCAACTCCTAGTGTTCTTCAGCCGTCATGGGAGTTGAGGGACTTGTTCAATAGGATGTTTTCTGTCTAAACATGCATCCGAATGCTCCCTTAGTTTCTTAATCCTCAAGGGGCACTCTAGTTAAGCACAGGGGTGGAGGCTCAAAGTTAACAGTCCCCTAGGTTTGACATGCCATGGGTGGAAATGGACCCCACATTACCCTGATCCACATTCCAGGATGTATCAGCCTTCTTTTGATCCACCGTAATTTGTACAAATGCATCCTCTCTCCAGAGCCTATTGAGCACAATGCCCAAGTGTGTTTAGGAAGAGGAGTACCTGCCCCAAGGTAATAGAGTTAGAGATGGCAGACATGGACAATGGGGAAGAAGAGCAGAAATGAGAACTAAGTCCTGCAGATAAACCCTTTCTAATACAGTACAAATAATGCCCTGATCGCTACTTTCATTCCGCGCGCCTGTTCCAATGCCAGCACTTCACAGTCTTCCTGGATGTCACCGGCATTGCTTAAATGGGTACATTAAATCTAACTTTGGGGGCAATGCCGGTACTGTCTGTTTATTAAGCGGAAGCTCCAGCTGGTGCAATGGGAACCTAGCGGCTCTCAAAGCAACCGGAAACAAGTGGAAACACTCGTTTCCAGAATGGCGCGTGTCAAGAGACCTTGCAGAAGGGACACCCATCGGTGGTCCCATTGTGGAAACAAGCATTTCTGCTCATTTCCTGGGCTCCTTTAGGAAATGTTACTTCCTCTCGCATTTGTGGCGAGTCCTGTTAGCACAATGGAAGCAGCAGAGGCACCTGAAGCCGGTGGCACTGAGCGGCTCCCGTTTGCCATGTATTTCCCTCCCAAGCAGATGGTCCTTCGACAGTACAGAACTTCCATTTCTACGTCAAAGACAGCACTGATGGAATCAAGATTACTTAATAAACTAAAACCAAAAAATGAACCTATTAAGCTGCACCCAGCTATGATAGCATCCAAGAAGAATGACCCATACACTGTACTCACTCCAAGCAAGTGGCCGGGAGTTGCAAAAAAAAAACTTGCCAAAAGGGGAGAAGGCTCTTTCACCTGAAATATTCTCTGAGCTATTAATGCATGTTCACCGCTCCCGGGCAGCATTTTCAGACAGAAGAGCAATGTAAGGAAGACTCTTGCTGCATCGTTAGACTGGAACAGAAAAAGCTGCCTAAGAACCCCGGGGGAATGAACTTAACATTTGCTTACATTCCTCCAGGCATTCTAAGAGGTATCAAATGTGCTTGCAATGGATTCTGGGAGGAAGGTTTGGTAATACTGTGGCAAAAACTGTCCTGCTCTAGCTATCAGCATCCTCCCATAGCCAAAAGGACAGCAGATATTCAGCAGAATATCTGAATATTCAGCAGTTTGCACAAGTTGTAAGGCCATGAACTGAAACAGACGGTGCATACTTCCAGCACGGGCTCTCTCGCTGAACTCTGGAACAACAATTGATTCAAAAAAGTCATGAGTTTAGAGTAGGAGGTGCAGAAGGATCTATGGTTTCCACATCATTTTGAGCTAGACTAGAAGTGATATTAAGAATGCATATTTTTAAAGTGTATCAATTTTTGCTGTTGCTAAAAAACAGCTGTTGGGAAGTCCATTTGAACGGGGGGGGGGGCTTCAATTTTCCCCTTGCACAGATTCCCTGGGCCTTCGCTCCCCTTTGAGCTCTTTTACCTACAGAGTGGAAATGGCTAGGTTTCATCCAACATGGCACAAGGGTGGGAGGGTAGGAGACCTGGGAGCGCACGTGGCTGCAAAGATCAGGGCAGATCCACTGTGCCAGCATTTCTGTTCTGCTGGCAGGCAGCCATCCACCAACCCAAGGCTCATGAAGGACAAGGCTGCCAGTGGCTACCACTAGTCCTGATGGCCAAATGCTGCCTTCACTGGCAGAGGTGGCACACCAGTGGGCCATGCTGCTGGGGAGCTCGAGCTGGACGGTGCTTCTGCACTCACGAACGCTAGAACCAGAAGGAGCTCCACTTTGGTCCAGCATGGCTCTTGGCTCTTCCAAGGCTCTTACGTGCCTGTACGTTCCCCCTGCCTGTGATAGCGGGTCCAGGAGGCATGGTTCAAATCAAGGCCATGGTGCATGCAGAGTGGGAAGAGCAAGTTAGACCCCTTCCTCCCTTCCAGTCATGGCCTCACTGTGAGGTTCTAAGGCAGAACCAGGGCTCCCTCTTCTGCCCCGGGACCAGACGAGCAGCCCTGGGGGTTGCAGGACTGGGCCCACAGTCAACCGAGGCCCCCTGGGATGCTGTGAGCGCCACCTGGGAGCCCCGAGGGAAGGGCTATATAAGAACCGACTCTTCCCTTCAGAAGCTGTCTCAGCTTGGTGTTGTTGGTGCTCTCTGTGCTTTCCGAAGCCTGCTTCTGGAAATTCTACCTGTTGCCTTGCTCCTGTCTCTTCTTCTGGACCCTGCCCAGCTTCCTGGTCTTCGCCTGCTCCACCTTCCATTCTGGTGTCCGCTTCTCCTTGGTTTGTCTCCCTGGTTTTTGACTCCTGACTGGCTTTGACGACTCTACTCTATTTGGACTGACTTGCCTTGTCCTTCTGTTACTGGCCTCAACCTCTGGACTGTGATTTGGAATAGGCCTGTACAGCATACAGGTTGAGTCCTGGTGCTCTGATCTGATACCTAGCTGCCCACACCCCAGATGCTGACACTCACTCCAAACCACACAGCCCACAGCAGCTTCTGAGGAAAGAAAGGGTGTGCCAGGGTGTGCCTCACCACCTGAACCCTCATCCCCAGGAGGCCCTCCCATTCTGCTGGCCATGGTACACACAAAGATCCAACCAGGAAAGCTAGTTAGGCCCCGAGGGTCCCACGAAAGGAAAGCACCTCTGAAAATAAAGAGTGCATCATACGGTAAAATCTCCAGTACTGCTTCATGGTTTACTTATTGTCGAATCGTCACTGGCCTACGTCAATGCTCTGTGAGAAGGTCACTAAGCATGGTCGCAAGTCCTCAGAAGTCCATGCGTAGCAGCAGGAGTCAGCTGAACCTCACCTGCTCAATTTGTTTAATCCACACTTTCATGCAGGACTCTATTCGTTCCAGAGTGTCCATACTGTTGGCTGCAACCAGGAAGTCTGCGGGTCCTTTCAGGGTCTTCAGATCATAAGTTTCGCACTTCTTCAGATCCACCTACACAACGTTTTTAAGAAGTTATTGTTCCAACAACTATACCTTTGGTACCCACTACAGTCATCTGAGAATTTATGGCTGAGGGTAGGTGAGCTGGAACACGGTAGGCTCAGAGCTGTTACCCATGCAAAACCTATGACCAAGTCAGTTCGTAGTCCACACTGCCTTGTTCCAGATACCAGCTAACCAACTGTGAGAGACAGTGAGAAGTGGCGGTGAGTTTGTTGGCCTGGGACCCAGGAGATCCAGGTTCTATCCCCCACCTGGCCCTGAAGTTCACTGGCTGATGTTGGGCCAGTAATTCTTGAGTTCCTCCCAAGAGCAAATAAGGCAGAATAGAAATGTAATGTCATAGTAATAATGACAATAAAAATACTTCCCATTTAACACCAACACCATCAGTTGATGAGGAATAACAGCAGTAGAGTAGTATTGCCCTTATTCCCTGTTCGTGATCTTCACAGAAATATTTGCTGAGCATCTGTGAGACTATGTTGGACTTTGGCCTGATCCAGCACAGCTTTTCTTGGTTTAGAAACTGACAGCTTTCTAACTGCTTTCCAGGAAATGTCTGGGCTAGGAACTCAGTAACTTCAGAATAGCCTTTTCCAACTGCTGCCCTCCAGATGTACTGGACTAGCATTCCCATCATCCCTAGCCACTACGATTCATGACCACTGGCTGGGGATAGCCGACTCAAATGCATCTGGATGGCCTCAGGGTGGGGAAAGTCTTCCCAGGGTTCCTCTTTGAGAAGACTAGCAATGGTGAAGGAACTTCTGTGAGGAACATCTCGTCTCCCAGCATATTCACCCCCTGCAGCGTGAGGGGGGGGTGCTGACCACATTTTGGGGTGTATTCAGACAGTGCACAAGGCTCTTCCACCATGAATTGTTGTGAGAATTTCAGGAGGTGCAACTTTTATACACTAAAACATCCCTCTTCTCAAAAGTCCCTTTTCTACACATCTACAGCTGTGTCAGCGCCACATAATTCTCTTCGGTGTCACGTCTAACTCTTTCTGTGCTCTGCACAGTTAATTTTAACAACCATTTTGTTTACAGTCTGATTTTATTAGACTATACATAGACACGCAAGTGTACCTTCTCCACCAGGCTCTGCTGAGCTCCTGAAAGGACACTAACGAAGCCCTCCAGAGAAGTAAGGAGATCCTGCTTGATGCCAGCCCCTTTCTGGGTGCCGCTCAGGTCTCCCCAGCCGCAGCTCATCGTCTTCAGGGCGGGAATGAAGATGTCTGACAGCAAGTGCCGAACGCTGCCCAGCAAGCCCCCATGAGCCGTGTCCATCATATTGAAAGCCACTTCCTGACAATGGGATAGCAAATCGCGCCATTAGTTGCTCATTTGGCCATTGCCTTCCTTTGGGCTCAGTCTATGAATGAAGGGATATTTAGGACCAGAGCCTCAAATCCCTGGCTGTTTCAACCCAGAAATTAGAAAACATAGGTCCAATTAGCAGGGCTCAAACGGACAGGGCAGTTTCTGTAAATTTATTTTTTCTTTGCTTAGATGCCCATGAGAGGCCAGCCACAAACTATCCTGAAGCTCAGCAGGATGAAAAGACAGGATGCACAGAATACGTACACGATGGATATTCTCTGCAGTGATTGCTTTGGAAGGGTTGATTCTGATGAAGAAAACACACATGCCAGTCAAAGCAACGTCATTTCCCTCTGTCACAAACAACTTGGCCCCTTTGCTCTTAGCAGCAGCAGGAGGGTTAGTGCCTGCTGGGCCTCCAGAACCTGCAATATTTCAGGAGAGAGAAGAGAAAATTTAGTAGAGACCAGCTGAGGAAAGCACAGGAACAAAGCCATCTGCAAAATTCTCCCTAGGCCTACAAGAAGCTGCTCAGGCCTGCTTCAATATAGGCATGCACGCCTCCCAAATTTCTCTTCTCCTGGTTACTCAACTCTCACCGAAGTGCTGGTGATTACTCATCACTTCCACAGAAAAGCAACATATTCTTTATTTCTTGATTTGATTTGTACTCTCCTGTTTCTACCAAGAAATTGGCTCTCAAAGTATCTTACAACCCTACGTACGTGAAGGTTTGTTTAGAAGAATAGAAGAAATGCATTAAAAGCAACACTAAAACACAACATAATAAAAACAGCACCCACCCCAGCAAACCCAGAGGCCTGCATGAAGAGAGATGTCTTTGCCTGCAGAGAGAAGGTCAACAGAGGGGGAGCTCGCCTAGCCTCCCACAGCGGGGAGCAACCACCCCAAACACCCACGCTTGAATCACAACCAAAGTCACATCTGAAGAAGACGGTGCCAAAAATAGAGCCTCTCCAGGTGATGCGACTCAGAGCTTTTCAAGGGAGCACTTGTGGGAGAAGGAAAGCTTGGTCCCTCCCAATCCATTGAGGGCTTTCTCAGTCATGACCAGCACTTTGAACTGTGTCTGGGAAGCAGATGGGCTGCCTGTGTTGTGAGAAGGGAGGCACATGTTCCCTGTAGCTGTGGGGAGTGCGCAAGGCGGCAAAAACACTCTCTCTGTTGTGTTTGATCCTTGTGCTTCAGCCTTGCACACAGGCACCCGGCCAGCAATCCCTCTGCATCAGTTCATCCAAAGGTTCAAACTCCACTTTGGAGAAGGTCTCACAGTCCACATTCCAGGGTGGCCAAGCCCAATGGCCATGGAGGCAAGGGGAGGGCAAAAGGAAGAAGGTGAGTATCTCCCAAAGCTGGCATATTATAGCTTTAACATCTTGCTGCCTTAAGGGAGACTTTTCAACTTTTCGAATGGAGAGGACAAAAGCCAGGAAATCAGCAATTCATGGCTGGAAAGGGGGTGTGGCCATCTGGAGAACTCAGGGGCATATTAGGACCCCGGGAAGGGGTTGATATAGCCTGCAGTCCAGAGACATGATGCCCTTGGTTAAGGATCCATGCTCCCTATGAAAATGCAAGCATCTATGTCCAGTGGAGTACCTTCGGAGTGCTTCTACGCTGGTGTGACATCTGCACTGAAACCCTTGCGGAAAGGCATGAGCATACCATTACCTTAGAATCATGGAATCATAGAATAGCAGAGTCAGAAGGGGCCTTGAAGGCCATCGGGTCCAACCCCCTGCTGCTGCAGGACACCAGTTTACACCATCCCACTCAGGTGGCTGTCCATTTTCACCTTGGATGTCTCCAGTGTAGGAGAGCCCACCACCTCTCCAGGCAGCTGGTTCCACTGTCCTATTGCTTTGAGAGTGAAGAAGCTTTTCCTGAAGTCCAGCCTGAATCTGGGTTGCTGCAGCTTGAATTGATTATTCCATGTCCTACACTCTGGCATCAGCAAGAAGAGATCTTTACCTTCCTCTTTGTGGCAGCCTTTGAAGTACCTATAGAGGGATATCATGTCCCCCCTCAGTCTTCTCTTCTCAAGGCTGAACATACCGAGTTCTCTCAGTATCTCCTAATAGAGCAGTGTTTCCAGTCCCTGGATCATTTTTGTTGCCCTCCTGTGGACCCTTCCTAGTTTTTGTGCATCTTTCTACACTCCTGCTGCTCTGTACCAGGCACAGTATTCCAGATGTGGTCTGACTAGTGAGGAGTATAGGGGGACTACTACTTCTCATGATTTGGAAGTAATACTTCTGTCAATGCATCCCAAAAGAGCATTTGCCCTTTTGGGGGCTGCATCGCATTGTTGGCTCACGTTTAGCCTATTGTCCACAGTTACTCTGAGATCTTTTTCAGTTCTGTTGAGCCACACATTCCCCATCTTGTATCAACGTCTTTGGTTTCTTTCCCCTAGGTGGAGCAATTAGCACTTGTCCTTATTGAATTTCATTCTGTTTGTTTGTTTGTTTGTTTGTTTATAACATTTCTATGCCGCACCCATCGCCAAAGCCTCGGGGCGGCTCACAAAGAAAACAAAGCATAGAATAATATTAAAAATTTGGAGTTTCTCAGTGAGAATATAAAACCATTAAATAAAACACCGATTAACAATTAAAATATCATTTAAATAAAAAGGTCTTGGCCTGGCACCGAAAAACAAATAAGAAGCACCACAATAGATCAGCAATAGACACTATTTCCTCTAAACTTATAACTACAATTTTAGATAGTAATAGTTATAAATGATTCCTGATTAGTAAATAGCTGAATACCACTAATACTTTTGAAGAGAAAATTGCTTTAACATAGACCACAAGTAAACTATGATTCACCCCTGTTATGAGGCTGGGTATTTTTCTGGCATTTCCTTGCTCACCCACCTCTCCTCCACATGTCCCCATGCTTCCATTTGAACAGCTCATGAGAGTCACACATCCACAGTTCTTTGCCAGGATCGGTCCCCGCACAAAGGCTTAGAGGCCAATTCTAGTTTTCACGCTGGGGTGAGCTCTGAGAAGCCACCTCCTGGTGACAGGCGAACATGAAGGCAAAGGCAGCAGGGGAAAGGCAAAGGCGCTGGAGTCCAAATGCGCAAAATAAACCCAAATGTCGGGAGAAGCTTCTTCCTGCCAGTATTCATCCGCTTCGCTTCCACCAGTGAATGCCCTCTGCCAGGAATGCCCCTCCGCAAGCCACAAGTCGGTCAGGCCCACAACCAGGCCTTGACTCCATTGTAGGTCTTTTCATATGGAGAACACCCAAAATTGCTGAAGCACAAACCACAATCTCTGAATTTATGCAGTTCTTTCTTCATGCGAGTGCTTAGGTGCTTACAAAGATTCTCTCCAATCTGTGTCTGCATTCTGTACATCCAAATCATTTTTCTACACTGTGTGTTCCATGATGGCTTGTTCAACTGACTAAGCCTGAAGCTTTTTCCACATTCCATTTATTTATACACGATAGATATGAATTTTCTGATGCCTAGCAAGAGTTCCATTCCTTCTAAAGCTCTTTCCGCATTCCGCACTGTTGCTTTCAGCCCAGTGTTCAAGTTTATCAAGATCAGCCTGGACCTTCATTCTGTCTTCTAGGGTGTTTGCTATTCCACCCAGTGTTGTATCATCTGCAGATCTGATTATCTTTCCTTGTACTTCCTCATCTAAATCATTAATAACAATGTCGAAGAGCACTGGGCCCAGGACTGAACTCTGTGGCACCCCACTAGTTACCTCCATCCAATTTGAGAAGGTGCCATTGATTATCACTCTTTGTGTCTGATTCAGCAGTCAATTTTGGATCCACCTAATAGTTTTTCCATCTAGTCCACTTTTTCCTAATTTGCTTATCAGGATGTCATGGGGCACTATGTCAAAAGCTCTGCTAAAGTCTAGGTAGATTATGTCCTAAGTGTTCCCTCTGTCCATTTGGGAGGTTACCCAGTCAAAAAATGAGATTAAATTAGTCTGACAGGATTTATTTTTTTGATAAGTCCTGTTCAAAAGCTACTCATCTACTAATACTCTGGACACATGAAGGGGTGTCCTCCATCCTTGCCCGTGTATGCCGCAGACAGAGCTGCACATGTGCATGGAAGTAAGGCTCTCGCCCCAAGAGGGCCCCAAGCATGAATACCCTGCCCATGTGGTCCGTAGGGAGGAAACACACCTGGATTGCTTGGCGGAAAGTGCCTTACTTGTAATGAGCAGTCGTGATCTGGTTCGTTTGATAACGATGAGTTTGTGGTTCGGAGGCTCAAGGGAGCCTTCTGGGCCCCACCCCAAGTATGCAAGGAGAGGTTGGATTTTTCCTTATATTGTTAGAGAGATTATAGTGAAATGCTACAGGCAAGACTTTACCTACCTGTTTCAGATGCCTCCACATCTTGATAGTAGAACATGACATGACGAGAGCCTCCAGCACTGAAGAACTGATCAATGCGCTCTATCTGTTAAAATTCAGAGAGAGAGAGAGAGCTTGCTGGGAGCAACACACACCATTGTGGGCTGAATGCCATTCAGACAGAACCCTCCTGAATCTTACTATTCAGAGAGAAAAAGAGAAAAACAAAGCAACCCCCTTGGCAATCTGCAAAAATTCTGAACACCCTGATAATGTTGGTGTGTTTGCTGCAATTTGAAGCTTCACTCTGCTGTGAGGACTTATTTCCATGACAAAAGAAACAGGCACTGAACATTTGAATCAATGTTCCAAGTGCAGGTTTGCCAATCACAAAACACTCATGGTTACCTTCTTCCAGTTTGGTGTCCTGGACAACATATGCGATCATTCTAATGCTGAATTGCATACTTTGGACATGGAAATTAATTTGAAATTGAAAGCAGTGGCTTGTGCAAAAGGCCTAGGATAAAATTTGCCACTAGGGCTGCATTCCTAAACATGCTTGTGGAGTATTTATTCATTTATTTAAAACTTTTCTATACCATCCCATCACAGATCTCTCAGGACAGTTTGCAACAACATTAATAGAATAGAATAAAAATAGAAGTAAGAGTAAAAGTTGCGCAACATCCAGTGTTCGGTGTAAAACCAGAAATTTAAATAATTTAACAATTAAAATATTGGGAGATTGCACCCTGTTGAACATGGTGGGACCTACTTCTGAGTAAACATGTACGGGATTGTCTGCTTCGAATAGGAAACTTACATTGGAAAGTGGTGAGTATAAAGCATCATGGAAAAACAAGTTTGGTTGCCATTTCTGCGATATGCTTGGCACACCACAGGTGTTACCAATATCTCATTTATCTCTGATTGAAATGTGAGATAGTAATAATTAGAAGCAAGGTAATATTCTAGCAAAAGGAATCAATATTCCACCACACCATGAAGAAATAAATGCATAAGGCCAAAAACACTGAGGGCAAAAGGTATTTCCTGCCAGGATGATACCGAATTGTGTTTTTAACAAACTTGTTTCTCTTGAAGGAAGTTAAAAACTGAAAGAGAAACTGGTAAGTGTATGGTAATCTATTTACATCTGCTATAGCATGTCACTCACATGAAATTACACACGAGATAGCAAATGCCTATTTAAAGAGTTTATTGAAGGAAGTATCCGAAGGAGTGCCTCGTAAGGTCATCCATCCCTCTGCTGCTGCGGCGGAGCGTTTCCCCACAGCCTGACAAGTGGGCCCTTCTCAGCCATTTTCCAGAGAGGAAATGTCCACCATTCACCATGGGAGCAACAGCCCATGTACGGGGCACACCTCCCCCTCAGCCAGAGGGCCTTCAGTCACGTCCCCGTCACCAAACCCAAGTGGCTACGGAGCGTGCGAAGCTGCCATGTTCCCTGTGCGATTCCTGATTGGCTGGAATCTCCTGTTCCCAGGAATTATGGGAAAGAAATGCTCCCGCAGCAAAAAAGCAAATGATAGGGGGCAGCGGGCATGGGAGAAGGTGCCATATTCCCGCTATGCAGGGAATTCTCAGGAAATATTTGCTCCCTGTGAGCCTTTCTTCCAGTCAGCTTGCTAATGGAAGTAAAGTCCTTCCCAGCTTGGTCCTTTTGCCTCATGCGTGCCACCCTCAAAAGGATGGTGCGAACTGCACAAAACTAGGAACTTGGACTGTCATGGGAGGGGTGGCTTGAAGAAGGACAAAAAGTGGAGGGACATGGTCATTCTCATGAGCTGGGGTTCCGCCCTTCACACATCCAGAGCCACAGACCTTCCTTGCAAAATGTTCTTTATTGACCAAACTGTTTTCCAGAAGCACAAATACCCAGCATAGATCTCTGTGCATGCACAGAGTGGTTTGTTGAAACCAATCTAAGTTCATCTCCAAGAACTTTCCTTATCAACATGCCTGGGCCCCATCCCTTTGGGAGGGGCCTTCTGAAAATGAGCATGTTTCCTTTCTGTACGGCAATCCTCTAATTGGGCCGCCCTCCCTCCTCTGCTGATGTCGTGTCACGGGGTCAGGAGCTGCCTCTGCCCCTGTTCCAAGCCCCCTCTCACCAACTGCACATCTTGGTTATCCCCAGAGGCTGCCTGGCCACCTGAGGAGCTCGGCCTTGAGAGAAGAGTCTCCTCTTCTCTCATCTCAACATCTGGAACTGGCCCACATCTGGAACTGCCCCCCTCCTGCTCTTCCTCCTCCTCCCCTGAAGTCCAGCCAGACACCCTCTGGAATGCGTGCCAAGAGCAACTGGCTTTCTCACTGCCAACAGTCATGGCACCAATGAGCATGACCAAGCCCACCAACATCACCGGTCCATGGAAGGTCCCACAAGCCTCTTCAGAATAGTTTGCTCATCATTGTGGCATCTGTTGGGAGTGAGGAGGATGGCTTTGGGCATTTGCTCTCAAGGACTGCCGGCTGGCCTTCAGAAGACTCCAAGTGGAATGTCAAACAGACCAGGAGGGGACCAGAGCAGATGGTCCATGCCAACACACTTACCTCAAGGCCGGGCATGGAAATATTCAAGACACACAGCAGGCAGGAGAGGTCCCTGAGTGTGGGAGTTTCCCAAATGAAGGCCAGACATGACCCCCTGATGCAGCTTCGACAGAGGAGAGGGGCCCACCTACAGAATTGGCGTGGGGAGGGGAGGCGTGCCCACTTTCCAAAGGCCCCTCCCCAAGAGACGGGACCCAGGCTTGTTCATAAGGAGAGGTGAATTCTAGACTGGATTCAACAAACTACTCTGCGCAGGCTCCGGGATTCATTCTGGGTGATTTGTGCTTTGGGATCAGTAAAGAACACTTTGTGCGGGAAATGGTCTGTGGCTGCTGAGCGCTCAGAGGAGGGACATCGGCTCGCAACAGCATCAAAGCATCCCTCAGCCTGGTGGGAGTCTACGAGTGAAACGACCCTTCCTACCTGGTCCCCTTCGAGGATGGCATCTTCTACATCAGCTTTCTCGAGATCAGTGCAGGAAGCAACAATTGACAATAGATAATCATGTCTTCCATCCAGGTGAGCTCGTTTGGCCTCTTTTTCCTCTTTCAGTTTTTGCTGCAGGGGCAAAGTGTCCATCATTACATGACAGAGAACTCAACATATCTCCAGTCCCTGCATTAGAAATTCAAACTGTTCCTGATAGATGAACACACTGGTCAGAAACGCTCCACATATTCTCCTTCCAAAGTGCAGAAACCAAACCAGGTGCTGAACCCCAAGAGGGTTTATGGGAGCGGGGACAGCACAAGAAATTCTGCATGCTTGTGGGACAGAGCTGGGAGCCTCAGCACAAATTCTTAGGAGTAAATCTCTTTGGATTCATTCAGTTGGATTTCTGCGCCCCTACCTGGAGTACGACTGCCTGGCGACGGTGACACACGCGCTGGTGACTTCCCGCCTAGACTTCTGTAACGCGCTTTACGTGGGGCTTCCCCTGAAGACAGTCCGAACACTTCAATTGGTGCAAAATAGAGCTGCCAGGTTGCTGACGGGGACGGGGCGTTATGCTCACATGACTCCAGTCCTCCATCAGCTTCACTGGCTTCCCATTGAAGCCCGGGCCCAATTCAAGGTGTTGATTATGACCTACAAAGCCCTAAACGGCTTGGGTCCTGGCTACCTGAACGAGTGCTTACGTCCGTATATGCCCGACCGCCCTTTGAGATCTGCGGGAGAGTCCCTTCTCCGGAAACCCTCCATGAAGGAAATTGGGAGGGTGAGTACCCGGAGGGGGGCTTTCTCTGCGGTGGCCCCCAACCTGTGGAGTTCACTCCCCAGAGAGGTCCGCCTGGCACCGTCGTTACTGGTTTTTCGGCGCCAGGTAAAGACCTTTTTATTTAAACATCATTTCAATTGTTAAAACATATGATCTGGCCTGGGCAACTTCTTCCTTCTCTTTCTCCTCCTATATTTTTATTTTATACTGATAATTTTAATTTTGTATTTGTAAATCAATGTATTTTTTGTATTGTTATATTTAATGGTAATTTATTATGTACTATTGTATTTCAATGTATTTTATCATGTTGTAAGCCGCCCCGAGGTTTCGGCAAGGGGCGGCATAGAAATGTTATAATAATAATAATAATAATAATAATAATAATAATAATAATAAAGTAAGAAAGCATGGAATTCAGCAGTGAAGAGAGACAGAAGGAGAACAAGATAGCAAATTCTATTCCTATCATTTCAGGTTTTTTACCTGACCATTGCTAAGTTTTCTGAGCCCACAGGTTTAAATGTATTATATGTTGCTCAAATTAAGCATTGGTTTCAGGTGTGCTCTTCAGGTGTTCTCTCTTCCAGAAATCCTCAAACTCTATTCTCCAATAATATTTTATATGGTATTTCAAGATCTTTCAGGCGGAAATGCTAAGAGGTCCCCTCTCCCTTCCCCAAGAATCCCCATGCCAGTTGCTCTATTTTCTTAGGAAGAGTGGTCAAGAAGAGGGGGTGTTCACTCTCCCTCCAGTCCTCATCTAAATGTCTGGGGTGTGTGCATGTACCCCCCAGTTTCAAGCAAGTGGCACATGCAGTCCCTGGGACTGCAAAGGGTGTGCACCCCAATCTACCATATTTATAATGATTACCTTAAAGAAAGAGGCCAAAGCGGATCATAACTAAACCAGTTTGAATACAGAGGAGGTCTGCTTGAGAGCAACCAGAGTACTGCACAGGAGCAAAGATGGAAGTAGGAACTAGCCAGTCCCTCTTCAGATCTTATCTCTGCCATAGATGCATTACATGAGCTAGCCATAACTACTGTTTCCATCCGTAGGACACCCACAGTCTGCAATACATTAGGATTACAAGGATCATTCATACCCATCATTCATAACCATCAAAGAGGGTGTTCAAGGATAGGCTGGACATGCACATGGTAGGCATGTTATGAGCAGAGCTGGCTGGAGCTGGGGGTCAGACTATATGGCCCCGGAGACCCCCTCTGGCTTGCTATGTTTCTATGTTTGTAAAACACCTGCATATTTCACATTTAGACATCTCTCCAGATGTTTGGAACTTCAACTCCCAGGGGCCCCCGCCAGAAAAGCCAATGCTTGGATTTGAACACCAAAACATCTGGAAATCTATTTTCAGTCCACCATGAGCTGTAGGGGGCCCCATGCCTTTGAAACTCCCTCAGAAAATCTGCGTCCTTGCCAGGAATGAAAGGGGAAGCTTTTCTTGGTGCCAGGCAGATGTCGACTCGGAGGAGGAGGAAGAGGAGGGGAACCAGCAACCCCGGCTTTTGAGATCCGAGAAGCAGAGGGGCTTATCTCAAGTCCTCCCTCACCAGGTGTCCAGGTGGACTCAGAATAGCCAGGATCGGAGCTCCAGCAGCCAGCTGAGTGTGGTACAACCCCTGCTGCCCTGGCATAGTGTTGGGAAGGAAGGCTAGCCAGCTAGAGGAGCAGTGGACAGAGAAGAGGCTTGTCTGCCTCCAAAAGGGCCCTCCCAGAGGGAAGGGGCCCAGGGGTACCCAAAAAAGCGAGTTCTTGAAAGTAGCTGCTAGAACCACTCTGTGCATGCTCAGAGACTCATTCTGTGGTGATTGTGCTTACTGGATGCAGGAGAAAGGAGTGCTTTTGTAAAGGAACAGGCTGTTGCTTTGAATTTACGAAGTGGGGGGGGGCTAGTTTCCAATACCTCTGTCCTTGCTGGTCCTCAGGAGAACCTTAACTACATTCTTACTGTTTGTGTTTAGCTAATTTAATGTGCTGGACTTTTTTTTGTTATTGCTGCTTATACATTAGTGTGGCTGATATGGCACTTTAAGAGATGTTATCATCTGTGTGTTTGATCTGCAAACTACCTTGTGTGAACAGCATACCATGAAAAGCAGGTCAGAAATCTTTCAGATAAAAGTATAAAGTTGCATATATTGTGTGTTATTAACAAACATAAGCTGAGCATTATCCTAAGTGTGCTTCTGAAAGCATTTAATCTTAATTTTCCATTCTAAAGTTATAACCAAATGTACCTACAGTCCCCCTGAAAGCAAAATATCTCTCTCCTGCGCCAATGTGCTTTGGATTGCACAGCAGGGTTGTTACTCTGGGCACTTTTACTCAAAACTGTTACTGTGCAGCTTGGGGTGCAAAGCTATGCATTGCTACTCAAACGTAAATCCAGGTACATGTGTGCATTGATTGGTCTGCACTATAACTCTTCCTGAAGAGATACCACTGGCTGTGCTTATTGTCATACTTCTGATTAGCTGTTTTCCGTTTTGGTAATTGGTGGGACAAGGACAATATTTGTGCCTTCGTGACTTTTAAGGGAGGCTGCCTTGTAACGCCTTATGCGGAGCACAGCCTGACTCATCTTTCTTAGATGCTGATGGAAACATTTTACTTACTGATTGTTTTCAGTTATTGCAGAGGAAGAATTCTGGGTTGGGGTTTTTTGCAGATCTGCTGCTATTGTATTGGAAATTTAAAGTGGCAGCTGGCAAACGGATGAGAAAGTATAGTAAGCGAATTAAACCCATTAATTAAGCCACACTGAACTTGAGGAGACTGATGTCTGGGTAGACAGCTACAGAACGGAGCTGTTGACATTCTCCTTGCAACTTGCTCCACTCCAGGGACCTCACACAAAGCAGGCAACAACCGGCATCGTAGAGGCACAGAGAGAACGCTGTCCAAACGCCTCCGCATGCCTCCTCAAGTCCTCACCTTCGTGGCCATGACTCTGTGACTGTCATGCACCTGAGAGTACACAGCTGAGGACCAGAGAGACCGGCCTCTGTCCCTCTCTCCCTCCACCCCAAAGCCTCCAGAGAAGGCCCTGTCTGACTCATGGAAGTCCAGGCAACACCTCAATCCTGCACCTCTAGCCTGCTCTTGTTTTCCTACCACCACGTCCATTTTTTCCCTTACTGCTGGGAATCCATTAAGGAGGACAAGGTGGAATAGCTGCCCCATGCCGTCTGACTGGTGCTGCTCGGAGTGTCCCTGTGGAAGCCCCCAGGATGGGTAGAATCCGGGTAGTTTTCCCACACAGTTCAGGTGAACCAGATTAAAGTCCCAGTGAAAAGTGTTTCTTACAGCTTAGATCGGGAGCGGCGGACTCCTGCATCCAATTAATAGTGGATGGTAAAGTCAATCAATAAAAGTGGCCAATAAAGATGAAGCTCCTAGCCAAGGCCCCAAGGCTGGGCATCAGCATAAAATGAAGAGTAGAGCCGCACTGATACATCTCCTGAGGATGCAGATGACAGGGGATTAAAACCCATCAATGAGCCCTGTGCCAAACAGGGTGCTTCTGCCCAGGCTGGTATAGTAACCTGTGTGATAGCTCTGCAGCCCTCTGCTCCTTCTCACGGAGAGATTGCCAGTGATGATAAACACAGGCACGCCATTCGAGGCTGGAAACCATCACCTGGATGGGCACAGCTCAGTTCTTCCCACCTTTTCTGACACTCCACAGGCTGATGAGTCCCAAAACAGCCTCTGCCTCTTCCCTCTTGCTATGATCTGAATAAGCAAGATGTCAGCAAAACCTTAGACCCTCTTGGGCTTCTCATGACTAAAAGGGGTTCCAACCCCCACCCAGGTGGCTGCAGATCAGATTCCAGCTATAAACTATAGAGCTCAACAGCACTGCAATACGGGAGTGGAAAGGTTTTCTTCGTGGCTGACTGGGTAAAATGAACATTTTAGCAATGCCAGGTGCATCTGGGTGAAATTTCTATTGTGCAGTCGCACTGCCTCATCTGCATAATGCTATGGCGGGCTGTCCAGGCAGCACAGGCTTCTACTCTGAACCCTACTGTATTTCCCCACTATTTCTCCTGCCACCTCCCCCCCCCTAAAAAAAAACCAAAATCCCATCAAGGACTGAATGATGGAATGGCTGCACAATGTCTTTTGACTGGTGGCCCTCCACTGGGGAGCTCCCAAAGTTTTCCCTTCATCAGATTCTACAATTGGTGTTTCTCAAAATGAGCTATCCATTGCTTTGAAGTTGCACTGCCAAATGATGCATTGTTTGGCTTTTTGAAGCATTCTCACCACGGAGTTAGAAAATAAAGGCAATGATTTGATAAAGCAACCTGAAAGACTGGAGGCTCCCATTTCACCCTGGCAGCAAATTGCCTTCATCAGGTTGACAAAAGCTGCTAAGCAACAGTTTCCAAAGCTGCTGCAAACAAAACACTGCTGAGGAAGCATGCCAGTTTCTCTTCTTGAGCTATAATTGTCAGTTGTGGCCAAAGCATGTCCTCCGAAAACAAACAGGGGCTGGGCGGCCCTTTACTCTTCCATGAAGCCATGCAACAAAACCGAAGCATGAGCACAGTGTCTTGAAAGGCAGCCAACCAGATAATTTCCAGGTTCCCTGTGTGCCATTTGGGGTCTGCAGCTGAAGAAGGAAGGGCAACCAGACGTTGCTGGAGTGCAATTCCCATTCTCCTTATCATTGACTACGCAATGAACATAGGGGCGATGAACGTTCTAGTTCAACAGCATCTAGAGGGCCACAAATTGCTCACCACTGATGCAGACGGTTGCAAAGGCAGCCAGCAGTATGGAAAACAAATCGTAGGAAAGGTTCTGAACCTGCTTTGCCTGGCAAGGCTGCAGTGAGGGCAAGACGGAAAAATGCAGAGGGGAACTCTTATTTTCTAACCATTTCCTAAAATACCTGGGGGAAATGGATAATTTTTTTCTGGTGTCCCCAGAGAAAGGACATGACAGCATTCTGCAGAAATCACAAGAACTGTGGTTGTCACAAAGATGAATGCAAAGGCTTGTTCCAGGGGAAGCTGGTGACTCCGATGTCAGCAGGATGGTGTGTTAGTCAGAGCTTTTAAGCAACCGTCCAAGGGATTGAACCGTATCCTGCGAATAGGTTGATCACCATGAGCATCTTCTTCAACGTTCAGATTCAAGTGCATACACTGCCCCATCAGCATCGGAGGCATCAGTCTCCACTGGCTGGATCGCCACTTCCCCAGAGTACAGGACTGCAGCACTGCACAAGTGAGCCAGCTTTGGCTGGACAGTAGAACAACTTCCCATTGGTAAGAGCATGACTGCACCATTCAACCAAATGCCCAGAAGGCTGAGTTTCTCACTGAAGAAGTTCAAGCCAAGACTAGACAGTCCTCTACACAGGGTGCCCAGACTCTTCCAACTCTTGCACGGAGGAGAGGATGGGACAAGATGGCCTTCATGGACTCTTCCAGCCCTAGGATTCCAGGAAGCCCACAAGCAGGGTACAAGGCAATGGGATGCTACTGTCACCTGCCCCCAGTAGCTGCATTCAGGACAAAGTGACTCTTTACGCTTAGCTACCATAACTAGTTAGACCTGAGAAGACAAGGCTCCCTGGAGAAGACAGTCATGCTATGGAACGTCAAAGGCAGATTCCACAAAGGAAGCCACAGCTCTGGATTTAGAACAACTGAGCAGGGATGTTATGGACATTTTGAGAGGAGGGGAGGGGAGGGGAGGGGAGGGGAGCAAGGAGGGGGAAATGCAACCCATCAATAGCGGTACCAAGACAAAAAGTCACGCATCACCACTCCAATATCAGATTTGAAATCAAAATGTATGATACATAAAGATTTGACTTTATACAGCTCAATACATCATCCACATTAACTCTATGCATATAAGGCTTGATTTTACATCTAAGTATCTTACAAAAGGAGCAATTCTATTATATATACACTGTGACAATTCTGATCATAAAAATACATAAATCATTAGTCCATAAGGGATGAACGGTTCATTTACAAAGTAATATTTTAAGTTTAGCATGAGTAATAATCCATCACTCGCCTCCGAATGGAGGAAGGATGTTTTTCCTTTGTTTTTGGCTTATAGCTTTTGCTAAGAACACTCTGGCATGCATAGCTATGCTCCCACAGCCGTGCAACAGTCTGTTTTCCAGCATTTGCAAACCAATTTGGTATATAACTAAAAATAAATTGAACACAAGGATACAGCACATTAAAAAGAACAGTTCCAAGCAAGCATGTATCTCTTCTCTTTGTGCAACCCGTTCTTAGTACTTTAGTTAGTATTTTAAATAATTGCAATTATTTTATGGGTGTGGTAAATTAACTGATTATAGAAAGGAATACTTGGAAGTTGAACAGAGTCTGACCGGATGGATATTCTGACTGAATATCCATGTTTGAACAGCAGGTAAGGCCGGTCTGGGGAGGAGGCAGTGCCTTACTTTCTGCAGTAGCCCCTTGGGAAAGCTAAAGAAGGGAATTATTTGGACAAAATGGAACAGGAGTTAAGGGATGGGCTTTGAGGATATCATTAAGTATCCTCCATTCCCCCTCACCAAGTATTTGACCCCTGTCCCACTTTTCTTACCTTTAAAACTCTGCCAAGGCTTTGTTTCCAAAGTTTCCGCCTTCCACTTCTGAACATTTTTTAACCCAACGTTCGGGCTCTGCAACCAGCTGTTAATTTTGCTGCCCCAGAGTCTTCGTCAAAACAGAAGCGGCTTTGACAGTGGCCCAAAGCCTTGAAAGTTAGCTTCGGTTTCTCAGCAATACCATACCTGGGATATGTCTGAACAGAGCCTGACCCACCAAAGTAAGTCAGCCTGTGCCGGGCAGGCACTTGAGCTATGGAGACAAAACCAACATAGCAGTGGTGTTGTTATGGTAGTGTTGACTTATGAAACTATTGTGTGCGATTTGCATATCCATCTTACCTGCCAGTGCCCCGTGCCTTTTTAAGCATGTGTCAACCTTTTCCTCATTTGCTCTTGGGCCAACGCATACTTGCTGTGTCAGGCAAAGTCGGTTAAGGGTTCTTAAAAGGTTTTGAACCTGACAATGTGCCATATGAACTGTAGCTACACTCCGACTTGGAACTAATAATGATAACTTAATTTAATGTTTATATTTTTGATTTATAATTATTTTAACTTATTGCTGTAAGCCACCCCGAGGCTTCGGCGAATGGGGCGGCATAAAAATGTTTTAATAAATAAATAAATAAATAAATAAATAAATAACAATAATGTGGATGCCGCTGAACTCATTGCCACCAGTGTTCTGAAATCTGCTATAATGAAACGTGACAGAGGATAGGTGGATTAATAGGTAGACATTTTATTAGTTCTTCTTAGACATTTTTTTTATAACCCTGATTATTCTATGAAAGTTTGTTATCAGGGACAGCTAAGTGTAACCTCCACCTACATGGAGTAGCATAGTTTTGAACACCAAATGCTGGAAACCAATGAGGAAAGGCTTCTGCATGCAGAAGAGCAATGCTGTTTTGGGGCTTCCAAACACTTTTGCCAGGCTGCTGTTGGAATCCCAGTTCTAGCTCTCGTCCATAGTTCCTGGTCCAATTCCTCTGCCTTCTGTGTTTTTACTGACAAGGAGTTCTCTTCTTTTTTGACAAGTTCTTTTCTGCCCATCCTTGCCCTCCTGTGAAGAGATCCCTTTCCTCTGGGGTCCTTGAGAGGCCGAGTGTTTCCCGAAGGTGTCATTTCCATGGCAGATGGCAATGTAGTTCTTCAGTGTGGGGAAAATGAGAAACTCCCCTGTTCCCAGGCTTTCTGCCTTCTCTGTGTTCTTGTGCTTTATTTACTTCCATGACTCTGCTGCCTATTGTTCCTTCAAGAGCCTGTTTTGTGGGCCACTGCCTACTTCGCCCCATGAATTTAGCCAGCTTTCTCTGCTTCTCTGTCCCACAGTATATGCACTGTGGCTTATTCAGAGGCCCTTTTTGGCTCTTCCTCCCTTTCTTCAATGCCCTTTTCCTCCAGACGGACCTTTCCCTCTGGGGCTAATTTCTTAGTCTTTTGCTTACTCTTCCCAGCAGCTTTGTAGACCTTCTGGCAAACAGCCTCGCTGACCCTTAACGCTGGTACTTCCCAGGGTCCTCTCCCAAGTCCTCGCCTCAGCCTGATCACAAAGCTATCTCTGTGCCTAGAGGCTGAGCCAAGTTAAATCCCAACCCAACTGACAATTTTCCTTCCCCATAAAAGCTGGACTGAAAACAGCCGCGGTTCTGCTACTTAAGCAGCTGAAATGTGCCGCACAGCACTGTGGTAGTATTGTGCCAAGTGCAGTAAAATCAGTTTTCGTGTAAAATATAAATTAAGAAAACCCACAGAGCTGGTAGGACGCTGCCTGCAAGGCATACAAGGTGGGCTGCACTTACGCAGAAGTGGGCTTCTCTGTGAAAGAGGTGGTGTCGTGGTGCCCCCGTGTGGCAAAAACTGCGAAATGTGGAAGACCGCTCTCCATTTTGTTAGCCACAGTTCTTGCCCGGCTTTGAAAAATACTCTGTGCGAGTGAAGTTTTTAAGGCAATAGCTGACTATTTCCCAATGATATGAAAGTAATAGTTCGAGTGGTCCAGGAAAGTCTGCAAAAATGTACTGATACAGATAGCAAGAGCAAAAGTCCAGTGGATTCAAAGAAGCAAAAACAATTTATGTACATGGGCTGGTTGAATTATCATACAGGAGCCCAATTTAATGTAGCTTTTTTGATTTATGCAGTTCCTTTATTGTTTCAAAAACTGTTGTTATTGTTTTATTGCATTGCTGTATATCTCCTTGATGGCTTTTTAGCAAATGGGGTGGTATTGTTATCCTTTATTTGTTTAAACATGTTATATACTGCTTACCATATTTTATAATATTTTTATCTACTATTACATTCCCCACCCTCCCTTTTTCCTCTTCCGAGGAACCCTGGTTGGTCCACTTCTCTTCTCCTGTTTATCTTCATGCTGTGTGGTTGTCTGGGCTGGATCACCCAGGATCACCCAGCCAGCTCCATTGCTGAGTGAGGGCTAGAGCCTAAATCACTTGGTCTTGGTCCAACGCTGAAACCAGAATGGCTACCATAGATCTATACAAGATGCATCTACCTACACTGAGAGAATCAGGCCCTAATTAAGCATGAACAGAAAGTACCTGGCTGCCCTATTTATACATTGGAAAAGCATATGATGATGTTCGTCCATCGTTTTCGATGAGGACCTTGACATCTAATGGGTTGTGAGTTGTCCACGGTGTGTCCGCAGGTGGCTGATAAGGCCGATACGGGCACGGAGTGTTCTGCCACATGTCAGGCAGACATGTGTGGGCACCACTGTTGCAACATTTGCAACTCTGGCTTTACGGCGTGCTCACTTCTCTTGTGCTATGGTTGTCCTTCTGGCTTCAGAAGTTTGGCAGCCTTGTTGGATCAGCATGCACCATGTCAATCGGTCTTGTCCCAGGGTCTCCCAGGAGGTGGTGTCGATAACCAGGGACTTGAGAGAGGCTTTCAGCGTGTCTTTGTATCGCTTCTTTTGTCCCCCGTGCGATCACTTTCCTTGAGACAGCTCACCATAGAAGAGCTGTCTGGGGATGCGGTGGTCTGGCATCCTTGCAACATGGCCTGCCCAGTGTGTCTGGGCTTTCATCAGCAGGGTGTGAACTGATGGCAGGCCTGCTTTGGAGAGGACCTCTGTGTCTGGCACCTTGTCCTGCCACCGGATCCTCAAAAGTCTGCGGAGGCAAGTCGTGTGGAAGTGGTCCAGTTGCCTAGCATGCCTCCTGTATACTGTCCAAGTCTCACTGGCATACTTCAGGGTAGTTAGCACTACTGCTCGGTAGACTTTAAGCTTTGTAGCAAGGCTTATGCCATGCATATAGCATATAGAATCTGGTTATATTAGAAAAGCACATAGAATCTGGTTATAGGCGCTTTGATTCAAATGAAGCCACACTTGAACTGACTAGATGACTTGTACGTGGAGATATTTGTTGGATTCTCTAAATCCTACCCTTCCTCCTAGGAGCTCAGAGGAGTCCAAGTCCTCCCAGTAGCCTCAGAACAACCAAAAGGAAGATTAAGCCAAGAGCAGGCAACAGGGCCCAAGGTCACCCACTGTCCCTTCTGGCCAAGCACGTGCTTGAACCCAGCTCTTTCCTGCAAGGGCAGTCCTCTCTCAGCTCATCCTACAGGCAGGCCTTTTGCGGTACTCGACCGATAGGGAAGCTTCCTCCAGTCCTCCCATCTGCACCACAGTCTCAGCTTCTGTACCAGATTCACAGCAAAACATTGCTCAGCCTTGAATGAAAACCGCAGCTGGTGAGACCTAACCATAAACACCATGCGAGGAGCCTCCTCTAAGCAGGGCTAACACTGGAGTCACCCCTTTCTTCTGTGGTTTTCAGGGAAAACTTTAGTCTTTATACACCTATATACACAATGTCATTCATCACCAGGAAGGAAGCAGCATTCTGTACATGTTCAGAGGCACACTTTCTTTATTTCACTTGTTCAGCCCCCTTACTGAATATCACTTTAAGAGTTGATCCCAGTCACTTTGCTTTGCAGATTGTGTCAGTGCTGTATTTAATGAGTGGACAGTCAAAAACGAGGGTGAATTCTGCTAAAAACAGTAGCAAATGTGGAGGGGGCAGTGAGGGCATAGGACCAAAACTAACAGTACCTGTAAGAAGTTGTCCCCTATGTTTTGGGTCTCACATTAATGTCAGTTTCTCCATTGACCTATGGAAATAAGGAGGAGTTGGCCAAATGCAAGAGAGTAAGAGAACTGGAAGCTAACATACGGAAAACAAAAACACAAAGAACAAGGGAAGGACAAGAAGTCTAAGCCACATTTCAGAGCTCGCCTGACCTGGCTAGCCTGAAAGGAAACATCAGTCACAGGTAATAATATACCCATGTCATTTGCAGGGAGTGCAAAATGCTGGTTGCCAAGAGCAGAACAGACCTTCTGAAACCGATCTTTGCCCTGCAAGACAGCAGCAACTCCAGCTTCCCGCAGTCCACATTTAGGAGCAGTTGATATGCATTATTAACCCCCCTTTTTTGCTAGTCATAGTGAAGGGCTGCAGTTGCTAGAGGCAACCTGAGATGCAAGGTGGGGTGTGTTGAATTAAGAAGGGCTCTGCAGGGGGGAATTGCTGGCGGGGCCCATGGATCCTGAGAGGCAATTAGCAAGTTACGTGGGGGGGGGGGGTGAACTGCAGCAGGATTTGCCCAGTCCAAAAGAAAACAATTAATGGTATGGCAAGCTAGTTTAACAGCCAGTGTGGCAAGATCACTTTCATCCCTACAATCTCTCAGCAAGAAAGGAACTTTCCCCGCTTTATGCTTTTGGCTTCACCCCTCATTCCAAACTTTTTGGGCACTGTGCCATCATTACCATAGGAGACCGAAGGGCCACCACCAAGCTTTGGCCCAAACTGAGATCATACAGAGTAGCCAGTAGTAGGAATCAGTGCTGCTCCCTGTCCACTGGAGACACACATCTGCTGCAATGGACACTGTTCCAGCAACTCAAAGAGGCCCTTCCCTTTAAGACTCCTCTTAGCCTCCAGAGATTTGTCAAACCCCAAGTCTGTGCATCCTGTGAAGCTGGCACAAGACTTTTTTATAT